TTATAGCGCTAGTGCCCCTCCCCGTCTATATTTTGTCAGTTCTTTCCACAGCTTTAGATTGTCTTTAGTCACCTCCTAGGTTTCAAACTTAGGCCCTCGTCATCTCTGACGTGTCCTAAATGGACGAAACAGCTGTATGATACAGTTTAACTTATCGTTTGTTTCTTATCACTTTGTATTAATAGGCGCTACTCACTTGTATGTCTTTTATACAATATTTTAAATTGAAAGTACTGTCAGATATGCCTTTAACGAATCCCTCTCTACAGCTGAAAAATCCACATTAGGTGATACTAAACCACCACTATCCCTACATACTAAGTTTACAGAAACATAAAGATATATCATATATATGACGTTAACTACTTTATATACACAAGCCGTATTAGCGTCGAAAACATTGATGTATACATGTAAAAAATAAACAGACAAATGTGTATAGATGCATTTTGACTGTCTTATTAAATGTAGCGAAGGTTTCAAGTCACGGACAGCTGATAGAAGATCGTTCGAATATATGGCGGTTGTTTCCGAAAATCTATTCCCATAAGTCAAGTAAAAAACATTTGTATACTCAACAAGGATTTTGATATAGAAACCATGACTATGTTGACAAACAATGAGTGACAAGCACCCAGTTGGTAAGCAGCAGATGACGCTTGAGTGTTATAAAAATTTATCCCAGGTGCAGTGTATTCCTGTTTTTGATCAGAGGTGACCAACCACGTTATCGTATTCTGACTTTTGTCGGACGTATATGGATCTCATCCAAGAAACAACATCAGGAAGGCTTGCTTACGAAATATCATGATAAAACGAAACATTACCGACACAAATATTAATTCAGACTCGATATCTATGAGACGAAAGTAGAATAAACAATTGAGAAAAGATATACGAGACTAGAAAAAGTCCTGCATAATAGGAAAACGTGTTTCGGAAGGGAGAGCGTCTTTTTCTTGATCGATAACAGCCATTTAAATATAAATTAATGGAGTAATTTTACGATCTCAAACTAGAACCAAGTTGATAACAACGAACATTAACGTTAATCGCATAAAGAAAAATAACCCTTCCAATCGCTGTTGACCTGTATGTTATATCAAGCGAGCACCATTCGCATACCTGACCTCAACACAGAATACAGGCTAAATATAGGCTTTTTGTCACCAAGTTTCCGACTGCAACGTCCTGTAAACTAGTAATCTGAAGTAGCGAGTATATCACCGAACTTGACAATCTGCCGACACGACCTGTAGGACATACACTGTAATGGATCCTCCTGGTTGGAATGTTGGACACATTCTGTAGGCAATATGTCTTGTATAATAGACTAACTACATGACGTTCTGATGGGTTTTAATAAGGATGTAGACGTCTTGGTTTGGGTATATTTTCCTCTTGGATCTTATACATGAAAACAATTTTTTGAAGAGACAAAATTTGGAAATTTCATGTTTTTTCTAATCAAGATTGCAACATAAAGTCTATATTATATCTTTGACTCCGAATCATGCAATAGGGAAATCAAGTAGGTTTTTACACCCTGTCAGCAGGTAATTGTTAATTGTAGCCCTGACTACTCTTGATATGAATAACAATTAATATTTACGGTATTGTCAAACAAAAGTTCCTAATCATACCTGGTATTTAGTAATATAGGAACCATGTGGTTCGGTATAGCATTAACAATTTTCTAATTCCATATTGTCCCCTTATTTATATATCCTTGTGTCCAAATCAGTACTTCTCCTTTTACTGTTACTATATAAGTCGACTACATTTGAGGATGACCCCTGATATTGTAGTTGTAGGTTCGGATAATGTGGGAAAGAATTCATCATTATTACGTATTTTCGTTTCCACTTCGGCGTGACTAATGTACCGGTTCTATTTGTTTGATCAGGACATTTATAAAATCTTCATTGCTTTTACATCTATAGTTAATGCCAATCATTGCCAATAGCAGATGCTCGAAAATTTGTGTTTTCCATCAGCACACATGTTTATTCATTACTTTTAGACATAACATTGTTTATTAAATATTAAAAATATAAAGTTCCTGAATTCTCTTTATTGCTGTTTGGACGCAGAAATACATTAGCGTAAGGTGAAATCGATCCTTGTGTGTTTGACCTTATCCCATGCACTGTTTATTCAAAAGCATCACTTTGACATTTGCATGTTCTTTACGAATGCAAGGCGTCTCTCGCTTGGTTCAGATTCATGAACATTTATCCCGGATGTTCAGATTCCACTTTGTTTGGTACAATAAAACTGCTATGTTGAATGAAGGATAATGCTATATTGGCAAAGCTCCATCATTTGGTGAAGGTGAATGTTAAATGATTATACCAGGCTGGATTTGTACTTTCTCAAAAGTATCCGCGTAAATATTTCTTTTGTTCAAATATTGACCTAGTTTTATTGAATTTGAGTTTGGTTTATGCATACGTTTATATATTGGTATTATCTTTTTATTTTTGAGCTCCTAGCACAATTGACGAGTCAAATTAATCAATTTTTGTATACGATGTGTGAATGATGTTATTAGTGAAACAATGAATTCAGGCATTGATTTTTTATTTCCTCAACCGCCTCCCAGCTTCAAAATCTATGTGATTAGCATCACTGCGGAGTGCTTAGACCGTCAAACTGGTTCCGTTCTTGAGGGTATTTAAATAATAAATAAATTGTAATGCTGACCTCTTCGATGTGTTTGACCCTAAGTTTCACAGAAGAGGGAGAGAAACTAGTGGAAAAGTGCAGAAAGTACTACATAACAAACATCGCTAATTGCTAATCTAACGAGCCATGTACAATTTAATTCCTTGTCTTGTTCTACTGTATCTATCCTTATCTTACATCAAAAGGTGCTATTAGCTTGTGTGTCTTTTTTATTGTTCTTTTATCATGTTTTTTTTTACATTATAGAGTACTTAATTGTAAAGGGGGTATTTGAACAAATGTAAATAAGCGTAAGAAAGACAACTCTAGAAATAATGAATAATTCTGAATCTGCGTAAGAAAGACAACTCTAGAAATAATGCAGGGACGATATCGGCATGGCTGTGCTGTTCATTCTCTGTTTAATTGATACGTATCGTATTTTATCAGTCTTATGTAAAAATGTAACAACTCATCCTTCAATTAATTTGACATGTGTGATATGCCGGGTAATCCTGGAATGGTATTCCTATAATAAAGATTGTGCAAAAGACACACAAGTGAATGGAACCTTTTAATACAATTTTAGAGCTAGATACAGTAGAGACAAACAATGAATTAAACTGCTACTTACAGCTGTTTCGTCCTTCTAGGACTCATCGCTGATGCCAGGGACCTAAATTTTAAAGCCTAGAAAGCAACCGAGGAAAATCTAAAGTGATCGAAAGAAAAGTGAAAATCTAGATGAGGATGTACAGCAGCCAAATACTTAAATAAATGTATAAATAAATCACTGAAATGTTCACAATAAAATTTTTATTCTAATTAATCTTACATGATCCTTGTGGTCCTAAGCAGGTCTGATGATGTTGCCCACCTCCAGACCTGTTAAAATCAAAATGTTCGTCTCAGCAGGCAGCTGGCACTTTCCTGCCATTCCTTTCTTGTCTGTACATGTATGCGAACTTTTCACTACAAGAAGTAACTCGTCAGTGCCCTCGTGGAAGGAGAACTTATTTATTCACAATATTAGTATATTAATGGAATACAGATGTTGTAGGGGAAAGCATCATCCATATTGGCAGAAATGACGCCAGTCCATCGAATTCTTATACCAGAAGAAGAATTCAGTGTTACCTTTCAATGACTACACGTATTTCTCAGAAACAAAAATAATATTTATATTGGAGTTGATTTCCGAATTACAGCGATATAGCTGGACAATATTCCGACTCAAAGTATAGACTTAAGCGTGCACATGTGTGTACATTATACCTGTATCAAACCTCGTAAATCATTTTATTTGTACGTTTTTTGTACCGTCTTCGAACTCACAAGTAGTAGATTCTTCTGGTGGAGCTTTAGTCACTGAGGTTTGCCGAAATCAGCACTTTTCTTTTAGATTTTGACATTTCTTCCGATCAAGGTGATATTTTTTACAATACTTTGTTTAACGGTAATATGAGTGTACCTACATATAGAGTCATATTATGTGTATTAAGTTTCTCTTTAAACCAAGTAAAACTTTATTTTGATGTCAGATATAAGAGTTTAGGCTCAGTTAAACTAGAGATTAGTGAACAGCTGATTAAATTTATTCAAGTCGCTTTAATGTATGCCTTATATGCAATGTGATTAAGCATTTTCATTAATAAACTTTCCTATATTTCGCTTAAGGAGCTCGATTATATCCGTGATTTTCTAACTCCGTCATCAATTTTAAGAGGACTGCAGTAGCGATTTCGTTTCACGTTTCTATTATCAGGTGTGGTTCGTTTATTTCAACAAAGGACATCAACAAGTGTTGACTATCGGATCAAACATCAAGAGATGTTTCGATAGAACTTATAAAGTTGGACGTGTTTTGGTGCTCCTTATGCTCGCTGGTTCCGTTGTTCTTTACTTTGTTCTCATTTGGGAAAATGACCTGTATTCCATGAAGCAGAAGACGCTTGCCCTTCAGGAACACATGGTTTCATTCCCCTTGTACCTTTTTCTTGAACCTCTATGTAAACCTTTCTTGTCTTATTGAGTTTAAATTGTAATTCAAGTCGATATAATAATATTATGAATATTTGTATATACATATACTACCGGAGCTTTATTGACAGCCTTTAGTTACTTTTGACCTACAAAGGTTATTCAACGGTAGAGGACATCCGATTTTTCCAATCTATTTCTGTTTGTTCGAGGTGGAAAGTATCTGATAGGTCAGATATAGTATGTTTTCCACGTCACTCGAGACTTTTTACAGCCTCGTTATCGCTGTAATGTAATAGATCCCTCTTTACGCGAAATCCATGTCATAAGCTAGAGATACACAGACATCCGAAATGATGAGTACTAGGCTACAGACCATGGAAGCTGAAGGCCTTGTTTCGGAGAGCGCCAAGCCTGTTCACGTATCACCATTTGATGACGAGGATACGGAAACTGCAGAAGGCGTTAAAGATACAAAAAGAGGACAATGGGCACACAAACTGGACTCGCTGCTGTCAATGATCGGCTATTGTGTTGGGTATGGAAACATCTGGCGATTTCCCTACTTTTGCATGCGAAATGGTGGAGGTATGTAGCTGACAAACGTTGTTATAGTCTTTCGCCTTAAACAAATAAGTATGTGTTAACGGCCCTAGATCATCATCTTAGATTTTATTGAAAATAAACGCGATGCTCTACAATCAAGTCTTTGATAATGTATGTGACTGTATATACATATATTTGTTTCCGGTTACTGCTTGAAGAAAAGATATGCAGGTAGGGATTTTTTGTTTGTTTGTAAGTTTGTTTTTTCGTTGTAATGTTTTCTTGCCTTTGCTACTGTTTTTTTCAAATACCGTACAATGGTAAGGGAATGGGTCAGGCCTGTTTAAGTGTCGCATGTGCGTATTATGAGATGTATGTGTAGTCGGAAGGGCTCTGATTATCTATTCGCGATTTTGTTTTTGTCTTGGTCGCGAATAGTAGTCCGGATTCCTCCCTCTATAAAAAGTTTTAGCGACTTGTGTACAGAGCGGCATCCGGGCAATGTTTTATATGGCAATATTTCAATCGAAAGATGTAACTGTCTTTCATGTTTCTCAACGCAATTAAATATTGCGAATAAAGGATTTCATTTATTTCCCCTACCAATTGCATGTGACTGTGCATCGGTCGGAATGAGTCATATTCACCGACTTTAGGCTAAGTGATGCGTGTTGAGAGTGAAAATCCAAAAATGGTATTCCATTTGTTTTTTATTCTCGTGATCCATTTAGACCAAATTTCTGCGTTTATCTGATGAACTATACATCTAATAACATACACTGAAACGCTCTACTTATCTGGAGACGTCCACGCCCTACATTAAGCCTTGTGTCATGTACGTTACCTTATCTCTAACATCTTTCTGAACTTCATTTTAATTCAACACGAACAACAAGGACCAGGCTTCAACGAAAGCGTAAATACACTTTAACTTGTCATTTTGATACTGCGATGGTGTATTCAAAAGAAATTATACAGAACTTTTCTATTGGTATGTGCAAATGATATTAGATTATGTAAATCTGAGTTATACAATATGTTGACAGTATGTAAATAAACATCACGGTTTTGAGAGATACAGGTATATGGTCGATATGGATTTACTTCCTTGTTCGATGTTAAGATGTGCTCGAGATTCGTTATTAGGTCCTTATGGTTTTGTTGTATTTCGCCTTACTAATACTAACCAAATTGTACGTGTCATATATGAAGTAAACTGCCGAAACCTTGTCTATATTATCCTGATACTTTGTTCAGGAGTCGTCTTGTAAGTCTTGTTTGTTGATATCATTCTCCGTTTATCGAGTTTGAATTAATAGCTTTGACTTGTCGGTGTAACCTTACTATTATCGCAAAGCTTAACTCTTATGATCATACAATTTCCAGAGAGGTGTTCCCATGTGGTTAAATTTAGCGATATAGCAATGTATCTGGATATTATACGACAGTCTGACAGAGGCTTATATGTAGTTGACCCGCTCGTCTTCCTAATGTTACAGTCAGGTACGTCATTATGTAGGACCTAAGACCCCTAAATTATTCCAGGTTGGGTGGTATTTTCCCGTTGTAGGCTTGGTATAGTCAGCAATATTACTTAGGGTGGTCATTGTTTGTCAGGAGTTATGGGTGGTCAGTGAGGTTATATTCTTTTTCTGCATATTTTGTCATCACATTTAACCTTCTCATCCCTGTTGCAGCATGGACATAATAATCACACTTGTTGTCTTTCATTGATCTGTAGCCAGTTGTAAGTCGAGACCGAACCACAGAGTTGTACTATGTAAAATCACTATACGTGGCTAGGCTGGTGTCAGACACCAGAACCTTTTACACTTGTATGGCGAGAACAAGAGCGGTAATCTCAAAGGTGCCAAACACGTTCATTTGAATGGAACACATTTGGTTGGTTGAATGCCTTAAACGAGAGCGGTATTCTTAACAGCTCCAAACGTGTTCTTTTGAATGTCTATACTTACGCAGCATAGTATTTATACACAAAGAACCAAACGCATTGTTATCATAATTTCATATTAACGATGTTTGTTTATGTCCCAAAATTTAACATAAACATGGCTTAAAATGAAGATGACATGTAAAACAGAAATTGTGAAAATACAGTCATCATTAGATAATACATAATACATATATACATAATTCCTGCATCTATTATTACGGTAACATAAGCAGTCATAATGTTGTCATCTTATTATGACGTCACAACAGCAAAGGTCATTTATTCTTTATCATTTGATGAACAAATAAGTACGCAGGTCAAAAAAGAAAACTCTATGTTTGCACTAATAAGGAGAACGTTTCAATTTCTCAGTGAATATAACTTCCCGTTATTGTACAAAACAATAGTTAGGGTTCATCTGGAACATTCCATTACTGTATGGCATCCATATAAAGTCAAACATATAGATATGATCGAGGCAGAGCAACGGAGAGCAACAAAACAATTATCAGGATTTAAGGAACTGACTTATTCGGAAAGACTGAAACGCCTAAAATTACCAACATTGGCATTCAGGAGGTTTCGTGGGGATGTGATTGAAGTCTTTAAAATTACGAACAATTTTTGTGATAGTAACGCTGCAGGTTTCCTTAAATTGTGGATCGACAAAGTTCAAATTCAGCGAACAAGGGGTCACTCCAAAAAACATGCAGCACTGTAAACTTGACATCAGGAAACGTTCTTTTTCTTTGCGTGTGGTCAAAATATGGAACAATCTTCCGGAGTATATTGTATCGGCACCAACAGTTAACTCTTTCAAAAATAGATTAGATGAACACTGGACAAATCAAGAACTGGTATATGATTATAAAGCAGAAATTTTGTAGTTCCTGGATCTGACGTCTCAAATGACAATAATTATAAACATTATCATTGTATCACTGAGACCGGTATAGAGGATCGTAACTATCCTGCACTGGTAATAAACTAAACTAAACTAAACTAATTTAATGTACACTCCCACGTGGGATTAATATAATCGTTCATCAACTCTAGGATGAGATGGGAAATGCTAAGAATTTCCCTCAATTTTTACGCGCTTTCCGTATCGAGTAGAAGACAAAGAACATGGTGTGTAACGTGACGCTACCCACAATGACATTTTTGCTTTATTTTGACAAAGAGTAACCAAGAACTACCTCTCCGTGTGTTAGTACGACTTTAAGAGCGCGTGTGTTTATTAATAGAACGGTAAATATGATATGTCGTCACTTTCGGTAGCAAACAAGAAGTGTGTACCCATATTGATACCCTGCAAGAAAAAGGGGATAAAACAGACACCACAACATCTTGTTCTGTAAAAAATAACGATTTTCCAGAACAAATGAGATGTAAGTATATATTTTGAACTAAGTGTACAACATACTGATTACCTCATAATCTAATTAAATATGGAAATGAAGATAAGCGCTGCCGTGCATAGTAATACCGCTGTGGGATCACACAACGTTACACGATGTCCGATGTTTGTACGATGTGCTTACGATAGGAAAATTGGAGGAAATAAGCTACCGCACATTTGTGCGCACGTTGTGCGGTTTTATCGCACAGGTGTGCGATTCTATAGTGGTTGATATAAATTGAGAAATGCTTGATAAATAAGTGTTGGATAGGGTTTATTTATTTTCTAAATATATAAGAATACAAATAAGTATATTTCTTAATAAAGCTATTGAGATATATATAAGTTGGATAATTGTAGGTATATCAGATAAACACTGAATAGCTAGATACACTCGGAATTTAGAGGGTTTTTTTGTTTACAATGAGCCACACGTAATCCGCCTTAGTGTACGACAACAACTTACATAATCATTATATATGCAAACTTTAAATGGTGGTCTCTTTATGTCACGGCAATGAAAACTTCAAAATATCATACAGTCAAAGAGGTTGTTTTATTTCATTCACTTTGTAAACGGATTCACACCTGTCATGTATATACCTTTATACAGGTAAACTTAAGTTGCCCGTGAAACCACTACTCGGCACTTGATGAGATGTGGCACTACATACAATAAGGACTAGTTAATGCAGGTCCAGTGTTATTTCCTAAAAACTGTAGCATTAAAAATGACGTTTATAATCACCGATCAATTTTAATGTTCATGTGATCGCTATTTAGTGACAACGTTAAGAATTTTTCGTTTAGTTTTCAATCCGTCATATCAGCGAAACAGTTTGACCAAACAGCACAAAATATGCTGTTCATTGAAGGACAAAGATCTGTGCAGAGGCTAATTAAGAGGAACAAAAACAAATCCAAATTGACAGAAAATACCAGAGAATGAACACATAAAATTAAATAGAATTGCATTTTACTCTGGTGAGGATAAATCAGTTTTTGTAAATATTTAAATTGTCAGATTTATTGTTTTAGGTTAGTCATCCTCTGAGTGTTCTCCAGTTTGAAGGTTATCTGTTCATTTTCAAAGACAATGCATATGATAGCATGCTTGATAATCAATTCCAACACTCCTAAACTAAAATTAGGTACAAACAGGTATTTTTCTAAATCTTTTTATGGTTTTTCACCAAGAGACTATTTGTTTCATAGCAGGTAAGAAAAATCTACTTTTCTATCAATGTATGTAACAGATGTCAAATATCACACACTTGCATGTATAGATACCTTTCATAATTTACGTATCATACTTAATGTTCCTATTTTTCTCTCCTTCATATAACTTTCTTATAACTGACAAAGTTGGTGAAAAGTTTCTCTCCAGACACATACATGTATATGGTTGCTGCTGAAGGTGACATATTGAAAAATCGTTCTAATTAGATCCAATTAGTCATTGTTGATGTATACCTTGTCCTTAAATAGCTTATACAGTTATATAACATGTATCAAATTCATAACACTATAATGTGAATGAAATGATTTAGATATGATATTTTAGATATACAGGTAGAGTATCTGCCTCCATATATTACCATCATGTTTCTTGGTACATGTAGAGGGGAAGATAAAAGGGAGATAATCAGTTAACATCAAAATCACAATGGATGTAGTCAGTAATGTGAAAGAATGCCTTATGATGAAAGCTTATTTCTTTTTAATAATTAAGTACATGTATCGTGATGATGTAAAGATGAAAGTTAATGACTACAGTGTCTTACTAAGACATTGCATTGTTTCTTTCAGATTCAGGAATGAAAGGAATGTGTTTTGACATACAAACAATTGTTTGTAATTTTCTATTTATCAATCCTAGATTTCTCCTGACTGTGATACGTGTACCTAAGTATGGAGCTCATCCTCAGCTGGTTACAATGTGACTTGATTGACTTTCAAACGACATTCAACAATCATACGGCTCAGTTAATTATTCTTCACCGTGTTTCTATTGCTTAGTTTGTCATTTGATAGCATTCTCACTGCAAACTGCAAGTTGGATTGATGTGAATGACTTATACTTGAATCTGGAAATAAAATTTTAAAAAATTGTATCCGCACTAAATGTTATGTTACATGACTGAGTTTTGAATTTTTTTGTACTGGCAAGGTCAAATGGCATATAAATAGACATGTATGTTAATTACTCCAGTGAAATATGAATCGAAAAAAATTACATCAAATTAAACAAAGATTCAACAGAAATAGAGCATAAACTTAATCATGGAAAGATTTTTATTTGTCGGCATTTTTGTTTGTTTTGATAGTGCATGCTTTCCATGAAGTAAATAACATCTGGGGAATGTTTCATTGTGGTATCTGAAAGTTCTTCAAGGTTTATGAGTCCTATTCTTTATATACAACAAAGCAGAACATTCTTGTTCCTTTTAAATGGCCTCATCTCTACTGCAAATTAAAAAAAAAAACATTATGTATACTCTGACCAGAGACTTGGCTAGATGTAGATCCCTGTATACATTTGAAAGGTTAGTTTTCTGTTTGTGTTATTACTTAACTAGTCAGACAAGTTCAATTTCACATCACACCCACCCACCCACCCACCCACGCACGCACGCACCACACACAGACAAACATCCATCCACCCACCCACCCACCCACGCACACACACGCCCTCCCTCAAGCACACACACACACACACACACACACACACACACACACACACACACACACACACACACACACACACACACACACACACACACACACACACACACACACACACACACACACACACACACACACACACACACACAAAACACACACACACACACACACACACACACACACAGACAGACACAGAGAGAGAGAGAGAGAGAGAGAGAGAGAGAGAGAGAGAGAGAGAGAGAGAGAGAGAGACAGACACACAGACACACAGAGAGAGAGAGAGAGAGAGAGAGAGAGAGAGAGAGAGAGAGAGAGAGAGAGAGAGAGAGAGAGAGAGAGAGAGAGAGAGAGAGGTTAAACAAGTGATGTTTTATTGGTATATAAGAAACAGTTCAGTAAAAGAAATACTACTTTCTACACAGCGTATATTTGTCTATACGAATAAAAAGGAAAAATGTGCAGATAGTCAATGTTTTGTAGCTTAACAAAGTAGCTTATATGTCACGAAGATCATATCTGGATTTTCTTTTAGTCACCGTGCGTTTTTTAGTTGCGCCATGCGCAGAGCGGTCTTATAAGATGGCGGAATCGACAAGAGTCGTGTCTCGTCGATACAAAAAACGGACTACTAAAAATATACTTAGATATCTTCTACACGAAAGTGACTGTTTTGGATTTTAAGTTTATCATGTAATAAAAGACTCTTTGGTTATATGCAGAAATACCTTAAAAGGGATAGAAAAATTCCCGTCGCATGATTTGTGATAGGAACATTTATGACAGTTTTGCTCATTTCGAAACGGTCTTGCATAGGAACTTAGATGCTTTGTACAATAAATCAGTGTTGTTAGATATTGTTATTTTTACATTATCATTGTGAATTCCTGCATACTTCATTCGCAATGATTGACGGACATTTTTTTACCATGAAAGGTATCAACTTGGGTATAGTATCGATTTGGGTAGCGTCACGTTAAACAAAAACACGAGGAATGCGTATGAATATTGACGAGGCTTCACCTCGGACGATTCACACTCTGCGATTTGATCTTCCGCTTAAAAAAATCTAGTGCATATGCCAATAAAACGTCAGATAACATTAAACTCTTCAGATATTAACAATAAGTTGTGGATAACGGTGAGTTTCAATCTTGATGATAACCTGGATTTTCTGGTTTTAGGATAGTTTTTAGTAGTAGACAAGCTAGTTTGTGTGTGACCTCACAAAAGTAGTTCCACGTCACTTCAGTGACGTCACTTTTATTGTTTTAAGAACATGCAAAGCAGGGGCGTAGCTATAGTCCAGCAGAAATGTGTAAGCCCAGGCGAGGGGTCTTGGGGCCGCCTGGTGGGGGATCAGGGGGAGAAGCCCTCTGACGGAAAATGAATTTCATGATTTCAAAGATGTTTTGAATCGTTTTCTGAGACAGTTTTTTTATTCACCTAGCAACAAACTTCAACCCCTGACTAAATAAAAGACTTTATTTTGTTTGAAAAACTTGTCGATCGACGTCTGTAATCCAGAAGCCTTCTTCATTTTGAACATTTGCACTTTAACAACAGTATAACAGGAAAAGTTGATATGATGGTAAGAAATAGAACAGTATGACGTGTATGAAGTAGCGGAAAGCAATGCACTAGGTCTAGTTATTCATCAATTTTCTTTTTATATTGATAAAAAATATAAGATATTTATTTTGAACCTTAGTTTTGAAATTTTGTTCGACATACTCTATGCACGGATTTTTTTATGTGTAAGCCTGGGCTTTTTCTTTCTATGGAAGCTACGCCCCTGCAAAGAGCACGTATAGCTTGTCGCAACCCTAAGCTGATATAAAGAAATCTCACTCAGGAAAAAATATATAAATTTAACTGTCCAGAGAGCAAAAGTAAAAGAACCCCACATCAGTCACAGTGTGAATATACCTATATCGAGTTATAGAACCCGAGGGATTCACTATCAGTTCTTACCTAACTGCAGAAAATTCTTTTGTTTGTTTTATATTACAGGATCTTTCCTCGTGGCTTTTCTATTTATCCTGGTTATATGCGGACTTCCTACGTTCTTCTTGGACCTAGTGATGGGTCAATTCTCTGGGAAGACAACACTTCATGCGTGGGAAATATGTCCTTTACTGCAAGGTTACAAAACGGCTAACATGTATATTGTTATTCAACATTTGGTCATAAAGTATCTAACTCTAAATTTGTATTGAAAAGTGTTATTCAATTAAGTGTCTTAATAATGTAAACTATTTACTTTGTTACATGTTGCAATAACCCAATCATTTGATTAAAAAGTAGTAGGATAAGGCCTAATCTAATGCTAATACAACAATTTTCTGATGTCTTTCTGGAACAAAATATTTCTCATTTCTGTACTTCTCAGGTATATTTTGTTTATTATATTTATATATTAATATTAATTAACGAAACAATGTAACTATTCATCATTGATGTCTTTAAAACAAAACATATATACACTGCATTTCGTTAAAATTACAAATTACATGAAAGTTATTTTGTAAAATTTTAGAATGGCGGAGACACTGTTGCTGGATTCTTATAGACAAAACATTTTATTATATTAACTATGTTGTATTGATATTCATGTTTTTATTATCTATGCTCATAAAAATGTAAATATCAATAACATCTATAAAAACATAACTAAAGTCTTAAATGTTTGGGTGACCCCCCCATTCTGGGTTTTTCCATTCTCTTCGACCAATTTTGGACTTTGCTCAGTAGCCTCCTATGTTTTAACAATCTAGACTCTAGTATCACTGACGAATCCTAGCAGGACGAAATAGTTGTATGATGCAGTTAAATTTTCTCTTTTGTATTGAAAGGTGCTAATCATTTCAGAGTATTTTGTATAATCTGTATCAATATGTCCGTTCATATCTCGTCAATTTTGACCAATAGGTATTGGCGCTGGAGCCCTGATCGTTCTGTTTGTCATCAGTACATACTACAACATGATAATAGCATGGACGTTGTTTTATCTTGGGTCCTCCTTCCTGACACCATTACCATGGGACAACTGTGACAACAGCTGGAACACAGCCAACTGCATCATCAACAAACCGTTACACAATACCTCTCTGTACAACTATACTACAAACACTACAGAGCTGACCGAATCTGTATACAGAAACAATGTGACACTTCCTAAGAAAGTGGCGACTTCAACAGAGGAGTTCTGGAGGTGGGGATACCTTTTATTCCTTTATTTAGTATTCGGATATAGCAATTGAATATATTTGTTTTTATTTTTATTGTAGACATAGAAGAGGCAAGGCGGAGGAGAATTTCAAATATAGCCATCCTTATATTGTTGTGAATACGAGAATAATTGTGTCACGTTTACAATTTTGTATTCAGTAGTGCAATTTGAAACAATAGAGTAAAGAAATGGTACAGCGTGACAAAATAGCTTAACAATGATCATGGCTTGATGCCAACGACACACTGAGAACATCCGAGTTTACGTCTAGTCTATTTAACGTGTGGAGTGATATGCTTGTTAGTACGAAGTGATGAATTGTTTACCGAAATATTATAGACCTGAACATAACATGGCTTTTACAGGTATCGACTCCTAGATATATCTACTGGTATCGACGCTTTAGGGGATATCCCATGGCATCTAGCTGTGTGTTTGTTAGCCGCCTGGTTACTAACGTTTGTTAGTTTGATCCGTGGCATCAGATCTTCAGGAAAGGTAATGGTCAGATTAGACGCCTGTCAAGGAAGTTTCCATTATACCTTCAGGACATCAGCGACCTCTAATAGATATCATTAGATGTCGCAGAATATACCATTCGTTCTAGGTACAGAGTAAGTGTTGTGTGGGACGTATATAATGACATCATCATGTTTGTCGAACTGTTAATGTATCTTAAGTATAAATATTCCAATTAATGTGGTAAGAGAAGTATTTGGCGTTATCTTATGTTTTACACGAATGTTTGTGTTGTATTGCACAGTGTCATAGACTGAATTCCTTAGATTTCCTTATGTTGTGTACGGGGATGTACGTATTGAATGACTGTATAGTATTCGGGTTCACTATTAGATGTTCGTGTTTATGTAAATGTTTTATCTTGAGTTGCTATTGGTGGTAAATGTGACTATTTAAATGTTTTATCCTATATTTCTGTAAGTGGTGCACGTGACTATATAATTGTTTTATCCTATATTTCTGTAAGTGGTGTACGTGTCTGTATAAATCGTTCATCTTGGGTTTCTATAGTTGGTGTATGTAACTATATAAATACATTGTCTTAGGTTTCTATAGATGGTGCACATGACTATATAAATATTTCTAAAAGTTGTGTGCTTTTTGTGTAGATATTTTGTCTTTGGTATCTATATGTGGTGTTCGTGTCTACATAAATATTTTGTCTTGGTTTTCTGCATGTGGTGTTCGTGTCTATATAAATATTTGTCTTGGTTTTATATAGGTGGTGTTCAATTCTATATAAATATTTTGTCTTGGTTTTCTAGGTGGTGTACGTGACTGCTTTGCTGCCTTATTTCATTCTCACCATCATTTTCATCAGGACTTTGCTGCTTCCGGGGGCCGCGGATGGCATCATCTTTTTCATCACCCCAGACATGAACAAACTTTCAGAGGCTCAGGTAGATGTGTGACAAACATGATATTACTTTGATAATAATTGATCATAGCGTTTAAAATCTATGAATATATATATATATATCTAAACAAAAAGGAAATTTTATTGTAAACGATATTCTTGTTACAATTTGTTGTCGTCAGCGGAGTGGGATGTACTTTCTCTCGTCACACACGATTGTTCTCATAATATAATGTTATATTGTTTTGATTTAATGTTGTCTTTATATACATTCACATACATTTACATATTCAAAGCATTATTGGTGCCTATTGATGTTAATGTGTTATAACCTGATTCCCAAGTAATGATATCTTTCGTGCTTGAAAGACCTTAAACGTCACTAAATATGTTTGCTTATATACTTATATTTTCAATAAATGATATACATACTATTTATCCCAACAATAAATGCCATTAGTTTTTTCTCGTAATAGGATATTGGAGGCTATTGAACAAGTTTATCTATACATTGTTAATTTGTTTCGGAGACTGTATTAGGAAACACACTGACCTTACAGTACAGTCTATTTTAGTCTATTGATTGTTGTTTAGATTTCTGGTCTATATATTTGTAATAAACCTCCATGATTTTATATATTGGAAGCGTCTTTCAATCGTTGAAGGTATGGCTGGAGGCGGCTCTGCAAGTCTTCTATTCTTTGGGGCCTGGCTGGGGACCTTTGATCACCATAGCTAGCTACAACGACTTTCATAACAACTGTTTCAGGTAAACCATTTCACAACAATCAAGGTAAACAATTACACAACAAAAAAAGGTAGACCATGTCACAGCAAACAAGATTAACAATCGCACAACAATCTAGGTAAACCATAAAGAAACCATAATGTTTTGGGTGTCATATGAAAAGGAGACACATTAAGATAAAAAGCTTGCTCCATTTATAACAAATGGCACTGCTTTAATAAACTGTTGCCACATTGTTTTCCGGTATCCTTTGTAGAGATTCAATCCTTATGGTGTTTATCTGTGAGGGAACAAGTATATACGGAGGGTTAGTCGTATTTGCTGTTCTTGGATTCATGGCACACCAGACAGGAATGACCATATCAGATGTCGTAACCTCAGGTAAGCTCTCCTCCATGTGTTTACAAAAGGATGTAACCCAACTTTCCAAGATGGCCCACATTTTTTTTTATTTCCATCAGAAGTTGATCTTAGTACAGAGATATGACAAATATGAGTGCAATTCCTTTCAAACATTTTGTCATTCCTTCACATGTAAATAGCTTTATTCAGTATGAAAGGTTTTGGCCTTTACAGGTGTGTATAGTGGCATTGTTTATATGTAAGTTGCCTTGTAGGGTTGGTTCAATATCAGTAATACACTCGTGTCCAGTGGACAGCTATTGATAGGGCTTTTTGGTAATAAGAAGGATAGTTTACCTGTTGTTATGAGACGTTTGACTTGTGTGGGCTGTTATTAGCACCAATTTGTTTTTGAGAACGGGATGTTAGTGTCAATGAAGCACAATATGCTTACGTGTCAGTAGAAAACATCTTTCTTTCGTCTTAATATTTGCGCTGCTTCTTTATTATCGATTGTCAATGGGTATTCGAATGTTGTTTGTTTTCCATATTCCTATTTCATTGTTTTATTTAACTTATGTTTTGCCTACAAGTTAGGTACCTCAAATACCTTCTTGGGCTAGAATGTATTTAGGCATTTAACGAAACTATACACAGTTGATAGGAAAAGAAATTTGCAGACATGGAAGTACTGAAAAAACATGAAAAAACGCTCATAAAGACATCCCCAAAATCTAAAAAAAAACTTGAATTTAACCGACTCTTATTAACACGTCATCGAATCTCCAAAACTAATTGATCAATATTAACCAATAAGCGAGTTCTATGTTAGGTTTGAAAATGTCGATATCAGGTATAGCCACCGCGCTACTTGTACAATTCTTGTGTCCGTGGTCTCATACCATTGATCAGATGCCGAAACTTGTTCTGAGAGTACCTCCGCAGTTGTTTGGAATTTTGGCTCCAATGTGTTGATATTTCGTCCGCGATACTCCTATTTTCCTATTGTAAATTTTCCAATTCTGGATAGCAGCATTCATACTTCCCCAACCTATGATATTTACATGTCTTAGTTGATACGATATTCAAGGGCCTTCTTTCATCATCACGAGTTTCATGCAAGCAGTCGTCAACTGACAGAAAAATTCGTAATGCAGAGTTTCAAATGATGCAGGTTGATGAAAATTACGGTCAAACATGTAGAGAAAAGTCTTGATTTTCGTCAATACCAGTGAATTATTTGAGCTCGGCATTTTCCTTTTAAGTTACTACTATGTTAAGTTCGTAGACTACGGAGGTGTTTTAAGATTGTTTACATGAAAATGGTGCATATATACGATCTGTTTAATCCGGTTCAATGACCACGAAATGCGGCGGTGAAAGTTATCTCAGGTAATTTCTGTATAAGCATGTGCTCTAGAAGCATAGTGCGAGGGGATCGAAAAGGGATATCTACCTAAGGTTTTATAACACCTACTTAGGCGATGTGTGGTGACGCATTTATTGGCAAAACGCAGACATTTGTGAAAAAGCATCATAAATGGCAAAGTCCGTAACTGTTCTGGATTCTATCTGGTCCCATTGATTACCGGTTTAGACAGAGTGCACTGTACAAGGTGCTTCTGCTTCATCGAAGACACCCGCAATATATAAGTCTTAAACAATCAAACTATGGAGATGTAGAAATAAGATTGAATCACTTGGTATTGCTGTGTCGTCTATGTTCATTTAGGACCAGGTCTTACCTTCATGACCTACCCAGAGGCTCTGACCTATTTTCCTCTGCCCAATTTGTGGACAGTGCTGTTCTTCGTGATGATGATTACTGTTGGTATGGATAGTCAGGTAACATGAGCCATTAACCTTATATCTCCATTATCCTATTTAAGCATGTACAAACAACACACAAGTTTGTTGTTGGTGTTTTAAAGTACATCTACCGTGTATTATTTTACAAATATGTTAGAGCTCACCTGCCATATATCATTACACACATATCATGTGTCAACACACACGATATACTGTACAAATATTCATCTATGATGGGACAAGAATTGAGTTTGGCATGAGGGATTTTATGTAAATTGGAATCATATGGTATAAGGGTTAAAATTTTAGATTAATACATTTATTGTGTAACTTTTCTCATATTTTATATTCAGTCATTACTATAATGTAACCTTATATAAACAATTATTGAGTACATTTCAATTTTATAAATAAACTATGATTGAACTGGATGGAGATTATGAAGAATTTACTGTTATGTTAATTATATATATATATCATTACTCTACTACATATTGTGTTAAGAGCTTGTACTCCAATAAAGATAAAAAATATTACAATTAACATATCAAAAGGTAAATCATCATTAAATATACAATTAAATACGAAGTTATTGATAAATTGCTATACATATCAAATGGGTGGATGGTTACGGTATATATACACAAAAATGTAAGGACCTTTATCTAAGGATTATCAACAAATTTGGTTTACATGCATAATTGGATAGAATGCTCAAAGTTAAGTACTTTATATTCCAAAACAAATTTGAGTAACTCCCCTTTCCCTACTTGAACATATTTAATGCAATGCAGAATATATATTATATTCACGTACCAAGTTTGGAAAGGATTTACCTAGGCATGGCCTGTGTCCGATCTTATTAACATATAAAAAGTAAATAAAATTTCAAGGTAGCACCTTTGGGTAACTGCACATTGTTTGATCTGTCATTATCTATTTGTACCTATTCTGTAGCTTTCCACTGTTGAGAGTTTAATATCAGCAGTGATGGACCAGTTTCCGGCACTTCGTCCAAAGCGAGTCCTGATCCAAGGTATTGGATGCATACTTTGGTTTCTGTTAGGACTGATTCTGTGTACACAGGTAAAATTGTTTTCCATGTAAATCTTATAAAATTAGTGCGCCAAAGTAGCTGATTACGATTTACATTATGTTCCATACTGAATAGCATTCGTCGATTAATTATCTTCAGTAAATTAGTTTTTTTGCACAGGTCTTCATTCCGTTTATCGACATTTCAATGTACTGTCGGTTCCGTTACAGGGAGGAATGTATGTGTTTCTAGCGATTGATTGGTACGTGGCCTTATCTATCCCCCTTTTTGCTTTCACCGAGTGTATCATTGTCGGGTGGATTTACGGTAAGTTTATAGATACTCAATGAATATATCGAATGTGTTGTCTTTTTAATTACTTTTGTATAGTTTCCTATGAACCATATGTGTATATTTGGTTCGATTCTGCAGGAGCTGAACGTTTTTCTCGGGATGTTGAGTTGATGCTTGGACGTGGAATTCCTGTCCTGGTACGGATCTCAATATGCTTCATCGCACCGAGTATGCTTCTGGTAAGTGGATAAACACCTGCGTACATTTGATGACATGTCTAACGTGTGTTATTGGGATGCAACTTTGTCACATCATTTGTCGTAAACTCGTCTCTTTTGTTTTGTTACACTTCATCAAAAGTAGAGGAGGTATATTTGTGTTTACATACTAATGAACAACAGCTGTTTTTGTCACCTAATACTGGACAACTGTATACTTATCATAAAGGTAACGAAGTATCGTTTGTATCAGGTCATCACCATTTGCACCCTAACAACATACAAGGCGCCCACGTATGGTGCGTACCAGTTTCCTTCCTACATCACTATCTACGGTTTCTTTCTTGGATTTTTGCCATTGGTACCCGTCGTCTTTAGAGCAATCACAGCAATATGTCATACCAACGGAGAAACAATTGCAAAGGTATGTCACCTGTGTTAAGATACAAATCTTTGAAAGTTTCATGTTAGTGAAAAGATTTGTTATTGTTAACCTCAGCAACAATTCGTTATTTTCCCCCTTTTCACTGCTTCTTAAGCTACAGCACAAGTTTGCTAAATTCAAATATTTCTTTTCGATACATTTATCCTATACTACTCGTCTACCCAATAAGAACTACTCCTGTCAGGAGGAAGTGATTTTCTATTCGGAAACATCCTTTTTTGTAAACATTCTGGCGTATTGTGATTGTGTCTTACATCTTTATGAGTGTATACCCAAATCATTGTAACCATCGAACGGAATAGGCCTATGGCGTACGTATCCATTTCCCTGCTGTATTCGTTAAGTAATATTTTGGTTATAGTATATCATCTTATACCTGGAATAATTGTGGTCTTGTTACAACGCATTTCACCTTGTAAGGATGTTATAAAGAATGTGTACTAACAAACTGACTGAGTCTTTTCGTCTGTTTCATTTCAGAGAATAGTAAATGCGTGCAAACCATCAGCGAACTGGAAACCAGCTTCACGTGTACACGCAAAGGACTACACATATCATGATCTTAGTAAATATAAAAGTGTCTACAGCAGAGTGAAGTTGAATATCCTTGGACCACGGGGTTGAGACGTTAATGCAGCACATTAACATATAGAAACATTACCGTAACAGTTGTCATATTGTTATACCCCTGAGTGACCTAGATATGCTATATGAACATCATTATTTTCAGAAACTTTTTTATCCAGAGATGTCTCGGATATGCATATAATCAAAGGAGATTAAGACGTATAGCAAATGATGTACGTTATAGAATTCACTTGCATGCAAAACTATTACCTTGTCACTTACCGGTATTAAAGTATTCAATTAGTAAAATCTGTATCATCTCGTGCAAGTGTGTCTCTATTTATGACAGCCTCTGTGTTAAATTAGGTGTGGAAACTTGTTAAGTGGGCGCCACACATAAGCCGATAATCAACGAGCTGGTAAAGGAAAGTCATACCTACGTTAATAATCTGTGTATGATAAAGATACACCATATGTCAGCCGAAAAGCGAAAAGGTCGAGAAAGCACAGTCATACCTCAGCCTTTATCCGGGATCTGGTCAAGGGGTAACATATAGCAGTTGAAATCCGGGAACTGATAAATAGAGAATGCAAGGCCAGTGTCTTAAAAGCTGTATTTTGGCGAAGAAAAGACAAAAGTGGCGTGCCTCTGAAGAGCCACTTTTGTGTTTCTGTCTCGAGCCAAAATGCATATATATATATTATATTTTAAGACGCTGACACTGTTTTCTATTTATCCTGCAACTTTGATTGAAAATCAGACACTCAAAACATCAACAGTTTTTGTTTACCTGATGTTGACGTTACAATGAATTTTGCCTGATGACGTATGTCAAAATAATTGCTCCGCGCAGAAATAGTTCCAAACATCAACGGATATGACAGCGATTTTAGGAATTTTCCTAAATAACCTAATTCACTTCAACGTATAAAATAACCTTTTTCTATAGTTACTTTCATTGTTTGGTTTTAATTTTTTAAGTTATCACATAAAATAATTCTATGGAAATGACGCACGCTAAGATATAGTTATTTTCCGTTACTGCCGAATACAGCAAAAATATATATGGTAGGTGTATTCTTACAATGGCAGAATAGATGGCTATCATACATTATAGCTTTATCATTAGCTGGTGGTTGATGAAGCTGCGTGTTACATTAGTCGATAATCAAAAGGTTAGAAAGATGCATCCCATCTCATCCAAAAACCAAACGGCTTTAAAAGATTCACCGAATGTCACCATACGTCCATAAGAAATGGTTTAGAAAAGCGGCATCGAAAACCAGTCGATAATCAATGCGGCTGGAAAAAGGCATGATACGTCAGCCGATGTTGAAAAGGTTGGAGGAGATATATCGTATGTGAGCTGATAACAAGAGGAGTGGCTTCATTATCAAATCATATATTATATATATATAAAATATTTTTAACACCATCGAGTACATGTGTGTATTCTGAACAGTGTCACAATTCGAATAGATTTAAACGTGACAAGCAGTTTACTGCAAACCTTGAGGACTTCAGTCCTCTGGCAGTGTCGATGAGTAAACACGAAAGACACCAATGAAGAAACCTTTCTTAATGTAAATAGAAGGTATTTTGATGCGTTCTAAAATATTCTGCCTGCTTCTTTGTAAACACTTTGATTAATTAATGTTGTTAAACCACTGTCCAGATGGCAGTTTAAAATGTCTGTCCACTTCATTACATGATCATGTCCTACTACACTAAATCTGAACAATTTTGAAGTTTGTCACATCGTCTATGATATACACGTTATTTATTTTACAATAATTTGGAAACAAGTTATTTTATTTTGTTGCACTGGATGTAAGAGAGCGGGAGTCTTACTGTAGGAGGAAACCGGAGTACCCTAAGAAAAAATACGTGGTTGGACAGGCCATGGTGAAAGACAAATGTGCTATTATTGCACCACCCTACCACCACTGTTATATCACCTTTAATAATTAAAAAATATCAACTCTCCTGGATGTAACGAAACTAATGTATAATTCACTTTGGAGCATGCACGATGTCGGCACGAAAGAAAACCGGACAAAAATCTATGCGCTCGTTATGCGGTTCTATTGCACAAATACATATACTGTATAGCTCAATTGTAGTGGCTTAAAATAATTTTCTAAAATTAACTTCATGAAATATGTGGAATAGATTGAATGCTTCAGGTTTGTTGATTAAGATTTGACATTTAACAAATATTGTAGGCCTAACAGCCGTTGTTCTTGGTTGTTGTTGCAGCTATTGCTTGTTGTTTCACCATGGGAGTAAAGTAGTTATAGTGGTGAATTTAATCAATGTTGTGTGCTTCATGGTTTATATAGTGTTGTGATCAGTATTAGACATCAGAAATATGAAAATGATATGTATAATAAGAAAATTAAGTTCTCATCAACGAAGATAAAAGTGAATTTCATGCTTCAAAGCTACATGTACTAGATTCATGAGAGTAATCTCTCTGTACTACTAAAACAGATAAACGATTGTGTGAGTTTGTCATACCGAGACTGCACTCTCTTTTCTTTCGCTATTTATTTTTATTCATTTATTCGCGTAGTTATATGTAGAGATGTCATGACTGAATGCCACAAAACAGCCGACCCCTGTCTGTTTTCATTCAACCATGAACTCTACGCTACTCCCATTATGGGTATGAGGCTAGTGGTATGACCAGAAACTACACAATATACAGTGAAAGACGATGGAAGGTAAGACAATTTTTTTTACATATTTTGCAATGAGCTTATTGAATTCAATCAGTAGTATTAAGTGATATCGTTTACTCAGTGGCATAAAACATTTTTACAGAGTGAAATATAAATAATATATAAGTATGTTGTTGCTGTACCATTATCTGTCATACCTCGCAGTGAAAAAATCATTTAAGGTATAACAATTATGTTTATATTATCAAATATAACCTTCATTTGTTTGTATCAAAGCATTCCCCAAATAGTTATGTAGTAGATTCCGTCAATGAATTTAACTGCATCATGCAGTTGTTTCATCCTTTTATGACTCCCCAGTGATACTCAGGACCTAAGCCTAGGAGGCGACGAGAAAAAAAGCATAGGTTATTGTCATAAATGCATACAGTGAATGGATCTGACACACTTTAGAGCAATTGTTGGGTTTATAGTCCCGTGAATCTCAGGGTCATTTTAATATGGGTCTCCTTGTAGTAGCTGTTGATTACCAAACTGAACAATTTACGATAGATTTGGTGCCTGTTGGTTCCATTGTTGTATACCTTGTTATCTTTTGAGAACGTGGCATTACTGACTTTACTTCAGATGTCCAAGGTTTACATGGTAGATGTCGTCGATGAAGCAGAAGGCGGAACAACTTGTCTTAAACTCTCTGTCCTTTTTCAGGAGTCTACGTGTAAAATTGAGATCTAGGATTAAACATGTTAAGATCGAGTCCACAAGGCACGCTAACTAGCAACGAACATGTAGAATATTTCGAATGTGTATGGCGGTGCATCATAAAAGAATAGTTGTCTAAACCATAAAAGTCTATTTTGCTGAAATACACACTAGATATCAAACCTTGATTATAGAAAGAAATCCTTTTATATTGATCAACACTGTAGATATGCATTTTTTCAAGATATATGACAACGCGTGCCCTTGAATACACTCCTACTTTAAACAAAAAATGACTACCTCTGTGATCATCGGGGTAAAAATCAATGACTTCGTCAGTTTCAAAGCAGAGTACTTCTAACTGATGCAAAGATGGCCCAGTGAAGTCAGTACAAACTTGAAAAATGTGCTGTGTCGGCACTATAAATAGTGGGAGTTCCGAGTACTCAGCGTCGACAATCAGAACTGAATATAAGCAATGAGACAGCATCTGGACATAACATGCTATGTTCAACTTTTATATCTTTTGACCGTGATGTGTCTTTAGATATCATTGCCAGGATGTTAAACCATTAAAACACCAATTGCGAGAGAATCAGTCGAAGTGTGGTCAGTACATTGGAATTGGCTGAAGTAGGTACATTGAAATGTCTCATATATTTCATTTTTATTTCTGTTTTTAGCGTGTTGGAAATATGGCATGTTTTTTTGCAACAGTTTCATGATTATTGGAGCTTATTATTTCATGGAACTTCCGGTTGGTCTACAAAACGAGATTATGAATAGCCGTGTAAGTATGATGAGAAGACAATAGGGTCTGTAAAAGTGACTAAGACATATTATAGTGTCCGGTATATGACTTAGTAGCCTCCAAACCCTTCTCATTGATCGGGGACTACACTTCCGATCTCTATTTAAGTTGACCATCTATGTGGTAAACCAAAACATGGTACTGATAGCACGTGACTGTTTGGACACCAACAAAGAACTGATTTATTGGCAATTCTGTACATGTTAACAATCGTCTTACTTATATCTTACTTCCGGCCTTGCTCACATCAACAAACGTCTAACGTACATTGTACTATACTATACATTAACGAACGTCTAACTTATATTGTACCGACAACCTCATGTCAACTATACATTAACGAACGTATAACGTACATTGTACCGACAACCTCACGTCAACTATACATTAACGAACATCGAACTTACATTGTACCGACAACCTCATGTCAACTATACATTAACGAACATCTAACTTACATTGTACCGACAACCTCATGTCAACTATACATTAACGAACATCGAACTTACATTGTACCGACAACCTCATGTCAATTATACATTAACGAACATCGAACTTACATTGTACCGACAACCTCATGTCAACTATACATTAACGAACATATAACTTACATATAACTGTATTGACAGTTGTCTGCTACACAAAACCATGAACGTCTGAAGTTTTGTCAACGTGTTTACCTTTATCTGTGTTAAAAGAATTTCCTATTGATGTTGTGTTAGAATTGACTTATTATGATGAATGTAAAGGTTTCTTATTACAGTTTTCTTATATGGGATCTAACAACACCAGCAATAGGACAGACTGTAAATTATGTCTTGGTTTTGGAGAGGTCCGGTACAATGTATTATTTGCTATCTCTAGATGGACGTAAGTACATTTTATATGCTATTCTTTTCTACCCTTTATGCATTGAATGGTGAAAAAATATGCTTCCTATACCGTCCTTTACAATGAATACATCGTTTACGAGAGAGGGAAACGTACCTTCGTATTGTTTCATTTGAAAATGTCACGAGAAAGTAAATAATGATTGAGTTTGATGTGAGAGAAACTGATCAGCTGATATGATTTTAAGACTGCCAATACCTAACGAATATCAATATAATAACCGTTTTCTTCACTGATGAGACTTTGGTGTTTACAGCACCGCCCGCACATGTCTAATTTTAGAATTCGTTATATACAGTACCTCCCTTATGAACATTTTAAACTCATTTGTTTTAAGTTTAGGCTTTGATATCTACAGTTCAGTCATTACTCCTCTGCTTTTATTTTTGTGTTTACCGCAGCGATGAGTATAACTCAGAATTTATTATTTACAGTTCTGCCGTCCTGTGTCTTCCTTTAGGTTTCCTGATAGACAAACTTGGAAATGGACGTACGTATTATACATGATTTTTGTTGTCATACATATGCTTAGACTGTTTCAAAGTGTTAACAAATAAATAGTACTTTACAAAACAAAAAAATCCTGTCTGAACTGTATAACTCCGCGTCATGGAATTGTCTAGTGACATCACGCTTTGAGACGATGGTCAATGGTCAATACTGTAATAATGACACTAAATCTGTGCACATATCCATTGGCGATATTCAGAGTATGGAGACCACGATCTCATGACTACATTCATGATAACCGCAATGTCTGATGATTTAAATCCATTGTCCCGATCAAGAGCAGGTAATCCAGGTGATTTTAGTTTACTGTAATTCGCACTGAAATTGTTGGCTGTGTTTCATATTGGGGATGCATATATATGTTATAAATACCAATAACTATTTTATATAAGTAATATTTGAGCAATAATCGCTTCATCAAATTGTTAAAATATGTCGATTATTGAACAAATCTCAACCATATAGTCCCGATCTTTATCTTTGTTTATTACATGACTACCATTATTGTTTCTAGTGTATATCTAACTTGTTTGTTTAGGTTCTGCAATACTGTTCAGTTTAACGCCACTAATAGGCTCAATACTGTTCGCCCTGGGAGCCATGTCTCACACCCCTGTGACTACGCCTACCTACATACTGATGGTGGTAGGATATGGCTTGTTAGCGTTTGCGTACGGAACTCTGCGGTGTAGGTATCTGCACCTTAAAACCAATGTTCAATTATAATATTTGCTATACATGTATATGCTTGAAAGCAATTGCGCTGCATATGCCAAAATGGTTTGGTCTGCACGATCCCGAAGTCTTTGCTCAAGTGGATATGAAGAAGGATTGTTGACTATGGACAACTTTATCAAGTTCAGAAGAATAGTTGATTTAACACTGCCTCGAAATGTAACATTAGGTAAATTATTTGGATTCTTATAACATGTGTGTCCTTTGTGTGCTCCGTACAACAAGTATCTAAATGTAAAGTATTCTAATAGAACTTTCCTTTTCAAATCTTGACATGTATTGGACCATGTGTTTCAGTTGTAAAGGCCAGAGTGATAGCCCATTGTTTTCCAGACTCCACATTTATCGGCATAGCGTTCAGTTCACTTGGATATACCGGGCAAGCTATGAGTCTCTACTTGTCGCCTTATGTTGCAGTACACGTAGGGGCAATAGCTGCCGCGTGGTTAGGTATGTTCGAAAAACCAAATACTCTAAACACAAAAGTTACTCATAGTAACCCAAATATTAACATAATGATAATCGCATAAGTCAAAACACATGCATGATCTCTGTCATATTTACAAACATGAAAAACAAAAATGTCTGACTAATAAAACTTGAATATCTAAGACAGGAACCTCTCAAAATGACAAAAGGATATCGCTCTCTTATCAGTAGTAATTAAAAAAAGAAATGATTAGCTTCCGTTTTCAGAATTCTATTACTGCAACTACTAGTATGTAATTATATTTATGTCTTATGACTGACCTGTGGTCACATATACAATACAAGCGACCCTCTACAACATGTACTTCCGGTTACAGCAACAGCAGCCTGTGGATTTGGAGTTTTGTGTGCTGTTGGTTTGGCTCTACTTCTCAAACATCAAGTACCAAAGATGTCTACTGATTCTGAATACAACAAAATGTTGGTATGCAACTATAAGTGATCCTTAGTACTGCTTTTGTTTAAAGAATTTTGATACTTACAATACATGCAAATGTCCTTGTAACTTCTAAATAAACACTGTGTATTTTCCTCACAAGGAAGCAAAAAGAGTATTCCGGCATACTGTTTTATATTAAATAAGTATTAAATTTTGTTACTTATGCAGTTACTACTCCCGATAAAAACTGTCTGAAGGTAAAGGTCACGAGTAAACAATGATGAAATCGACAATGATAATGTATGTTAAGCATACTCAATCGTATTACTGTGTTGTAGACTCTGAGCGATTTAAGGGCACTACCGGGATCGTACTGGTTCTTTATAATGACTACAGCGTTTTCGTCAGCCTGTTGGACTGTTAAACAAGCCAATTTACCGTAAGGAAACTAGAAAGGACATGGATACTTACAGTATTTTAAATAGCGTTTTATCTTTATACATAGATATAGCATCTTCCTTTGCTATTTTGTCCTACAAAAGAAGTCTCCGATTTTAGGTGACAACATAGAGGAAATGTTTACTATCGAATACATAGTCTTGTTTTCTGGTTTAACCGATTTTGAAATCTAAGATCACAGACGTCATTTTTGATGGCAGAAAATTTATATCATTACAGAGATTACTTGGTATTACGACATGGTTACACAATGGAAGAAGCTAGTCATATAACTGGTATACCTTCAATCATGAATTTACTGACACCTTTCTTATGTATCCTACTGGTAAGTATACTTTTTTTCTTTTACTGCTGTCGATACAAATATTTTTTTTGTTACTGAAAGGTTATAGATTAAGTACATGGAAGGTAAGTATGTATGAACATTTTGATTGCTTTAATTAAACATTTAAAGTGCTGTTTCGATAAAATATAAATTACAAGATGACCACTGGTAATTGTATCAACAGAATTTATATTCATGTTAAATAATTACCTATTTTGTATATGAAAAACATTTCAGTGGATTATTATATAGTCTCGGGATCACGGTATAAATTGTTAAGAAACAATCAGTGCTCCAGTCGCTATACCGCTCGACGAGTAAACTTGAACAATTATTTGAGTGTGATATACTGCAAAACCAAATTATACATGTTGTGAATATTTGTGAATATACCCGTTATCAATTTCAATGGCTGCAGGGCCTGTTGCGGGGTGCTATTTTTGCTAGTAGTGCGATTTGATTTTTGGAATTTGAGAAACATCTCTCATGTGATGTTGATGTTATACGAACACTACATATGATTTTATATGTGATTTTTATTAATATTATTCATTTTTATCCGAGGTGTTGAATAGCAATTCCTCCTAAATTAGTTTGGTGTACATTTGCTATATATGGACACGTTTTTACAAGTTTCCTAACACATGTTTTTAAAAAACCATCAAAGAAGATACCGATTTTGCTTTATTCAAACACAGATTAGATGTAAATATGGGAAATTATAACAAAGAAAATGTTAACACGGAGACTCCTGAAGAAGTGCAAGTACAATTTTCTTAAATCAGGTTGGAGTTCCAGCTGATGATTGTTAAAATAGTTATCCACTTCTTGTTTATAACCTTGTGCGTCAAAATGATATTTTAAATGGTCATTTTGTTTGTTAACATACTGGAGTAGATTCGCAGTTTTAAATATACACTGCTGTAATTATAAATTCCATTGGGTTTAAGAGGTGTTGTTGTAATGGACATTTTTGTTTACCAATGTCAAACGTATGTAGATTTATGTAGGTATAATCTTATAAAAAATCATATTTAACTGTAGAGGAAGGTCGACTCTGATGGACTCATGAACACGGGATTTCTAGCGTGGTTACTGATTTTCTATGCCTTACTGGGATTCTGTCCGGCTCTCAACGTTTATGTCATAGCCATTGCAGACGGGTTTGGAGTTACAATGTCTGGGGTCAGTATATTATACAACATGCATCTACTGACGGTTATTTTCCGGGAAATCGATGTGCAGTGGTATCTAATTCAGGTTGAATTTACAAGATAGCAAGAAAGATGTGTATTTGTTTATAATCATATTTAATACCCTAAAATTTATAAATGATATACATGGTCATTTGAAAGAGGTGATATCACGTACCATTCGATCTTATGAATATAAAGTGAGGGTGAAGAAAGACAAAATTGACGAACTCTTTTGCAAGCCACTTCTGACCTTTTTTGGTCTGAGCCAAAGTACAGCACATATATTTTGAAGTCAGTGACAATGTATCACTTTTAATCCTGCAATTGCTACTTAAATTTCAGACTATTTAGACTATTTAATCTTTCAAGAATACAAAAACATACTTAAATATAGCAAAAATATACTTGGCAGGTTTATTTCGACAACGGCAGCAAGAGTTGTTAAAAATAGATATAAATATATCAGTAGAGATAACACAAATTTAATTATGTTTTAAGCATGTACTTGTTTCCAACAAAACAAAATGACTCGTACATAAATCTCCGGTCGGTAAATAAACGATGAAAAATTATTTTGGTTCAGTGAACTAAACCCCCGCTATTTCAAATGAACTAGGATTTAGTTTTATACCAGGAAAGGGGTAAATATTGACTCATTTTTGTTTGTAGGTAATGATGTGGCAGGTTCTCTTGGATCTTAGTCCCGCGTCTCACGTAGGCACTTTGGGTGGGTTGATGTTTTTATTCAGGAGTTCGTGTACAGCATTGATCTTCGTTGTCTCGGGATATATTCTGAAGAGACATCAAGTGTAAGTATATTTTACTCTGAAATTGTCTGATTAGTATTTCTCTCATTTGACCAGCTCGGATAAGAACATTGTGACAGAATATTTTTGGCAGCATTTCTATTTGCTGAACGATTAATGTCATTGAATAAAAACTAATCGCATTCGTTGTTTGTTAGATTGGTTTTTATTTGCTAGTAGAACCAGCTTCGTTATAATTCTAAGGAGAAAATCCTTTTCAAAAAGTCTGAAAGTGAATAAATCACTTTAGAAATCACAAAATCGAAGTGTGCATTCTGATAATCGCGATTGGTTTTAGGCGAAAAGGAAGAAAATTTATGTAATTCTAGATATGTCAACAAATCCATTTAATCAGCATATACATTGCATAACATTGTTTATTTACGCTCAAACAGGCTGGAGTTAAATGAAGCACTTCTTGGCTATCAGAATTTGTTTATCTTGCTGGTAACCTTGTCGTCCATCGGGGTGATAAGTGGAGTATTGATGAACATACTGGATTTCCGAAAGGTAAAGTCAAAACAGTGAAGTAAAATATCTATGAAAATGCATTTTTGATCATTCTTAATTTAAGAGATATATTTGTTCTGGAATGAGTGAGATATTAAGATTCTTTTCTTTTCAATCTGAATAAACGTCATATTAAATCATCATAGGAGAAGGACGTGTTGAAACGAAATGTAGAAATGATATCAGTTTAATCTATTTCAGGACTGCGCTTTGAATTCCACAATAAGAGGATGGAGACAATCTAATATCGAAGCTATAGGATTAATGTCGATGATTCAACCGTCCAGCAAATACAGTGGTATTGACAACATTAATAACGATACCTTGAATGATGACACATCCTCTCGAAATTCAACAAAGTCAAATGACGAATAAGCAAGAAAAAAAGCATTCTACGGAAATAACTAAGAAAAAAACATTCAACGGAAATAACAGAGAATAACGTTTTACAGAAATAACCAGCCGGTAATTATTTTCTGAAATAGCTTTCTATAATTTAGACTATGCGAACAAATATTGAATAACACAGCATACTCTTAGACATAAGTAGTGTCTAGTAAGCATCTGCTAAACGCTGAAGACTTGATTAAATGAATAGCGAAATTTATGTTTATTGTACTGGTAAATGTCAGTCTTATTGCAGGGTAATGCAGTTTTTTCTTTTTTTCTTTTTTTTTTGTTTTGTTTTTATTTTTTGTTTTTGTTAACTTTTCATATATTAAAACAAAAATTGTCGCCCAAAATTAACCCGGAGATGTTTTTCGCCTAATCAGTTTTCATCCGTCTTTTAATCAGTATTATGTTGTTTACTTTTCACACTCAATGATATCGATTAAATTATTCTGTTCAAGGATAAAAATAATCATTTCGTTTTGAAGAGTAGAATAAAAAGTCGTCTCTCTTTGACCTCCTTAAAATAACCAAGAAAATGTCAAATAAATACTGACGACGCAACTCGTATGCAACACAGAGGCACCATACATCAACCGATAACCAAGGGGTGGAAATATGTATCATTTCAATTCCAGCTAATTGTTTATAAGTTCATAGGATTAGACATCATGCTGAATAATTTCCGAACTTGTATGCATGGGATTTTTACTGTAGTTAAGCTAAACATATTTAATGTATAAGGGAACCAACCGTGTTTTAGGGTATGTTATGTGAATATCTCAGCGATTAATGTTTAACAATCATAATCTTTGCAGTGTCGTTTTGAGAAATGACAAATTGTAAATTATGCAAAATTATCAGGATCATAACCTTGATACAATCCGTAGGATACAGGCCATAAAGTCCATGGATCGAATTAAATTCTAATTACGGTCTAAAGAAATAGAAAAAAAAAATCGTATTTAATTTTTGAGTTTAAATAATCAATTTATTGATATTTGACATTTTTTTATGATAGGAATATTAGTACTATTAACTATCCATTCTATTGATAAGCGCATAGTAGTAAACAACAATGATAACAATATATACATCACATTTCTATCTTTATTATCTATTGAACTTTCAATTTGTGTGTGAGATTTAAATTTCAAATCCATTTTTAAGGTATTCCAATACACTTTGAAAAGCAAATATATCTATATCTTCCATGCATATAGTACATCCATTTTCAGATCGCGGTTGACATGAGTGTTAAATTAAAGTATTCATATATTACCTATGGATGGTTTACAACGACCGTTCAACTATATACACTTGGCCCTAAGTAAGGGACTACTATTTTAGTACAAAAATTTAATCAAAACCTTTTTTTCCTTTTTAAAAAAATAAAATAACTTTTATGCATTCCTTGCATGGTCTTTTGTGTTTGGTTCCGCTTGCTGCCAAGCGTTACACTCAATGATACACATATTAAAGTGGAGTACCCTGTGATCTATTAAACACAAATTTGCTTAGCCATTTAATGCAGCTTATTCTCGTGTATTACTGGTAAATCGTACACGAGCTCTTGCAATGTTTTAAAATGACATGTCGAAAAATGGCAGATGCAAAAGCTCAGCAATGGTTCAAGTTGGTATGAGATACAGGCAAGTTTTAATGTAAGTCGTTCAGTCATTTTAGGTCAATGCAGCGACTGAACAAAACCGGACATGCCGGCGAGCAATTCAGGTATGACAGACCTCGGACGAATATGTATAGAGAATTCGCTTTAGAATTACTTCTCGTCCTCATATGTTAAAAGGGCGTTAAGTCTCGTAAATAAAAAATGAAATTACAGAAATCATACATTAAGGAAATCATATATCATAACATACAAATAAAGCATAATCTCGTAGGTAAACAAATAATGTAGAATCACACGAATTTGACAAGATGGCAGAGAATGTTTTGTCGTTTAGTAAAATGTCATATTTGTAAAATCTATATTGTAAACTTAAAAACAACAGGAAAATACCAACATAATCATAATGCAAACACAAATTCAATAAAATGACAAAATATGAACCAAAAGAAAACTTTGCAAGGAAACTCCCGAAAAAGTACAAAAGAAAAAGTCCATGTGATCCAGAAGAGTAAGCATCTTCTGCTCCTTGGCAAGTCCAAGAAACAAATGTCACGTTGTCAGTACGAACAAGGTATACAACAAAAGAACCAACAATTAACAAAATAGCATAAAACACACACAGCTTCATTAAAAAAACAACAGAACATTTCGTAATGAGATCAATAAGACGATGGTGGTATATACGATATTATTTAAAAACAAGACGTCAATCAATATACCTGAAAGTGAGATTTGTCGACTTAGCAAGGTCTTTTTTGAGTTGTTTTGATAAACTCTTCCATGCATTTCACCTCCTATGAAAACAAAAAACAAGTCAACTAAAATGGGGCACACTTAGTTCCCTCAGGCATGTCAGTAGACTGTTGGAAGTTCGTACCACCAAACTCCACGAAGATGTTGTCAATCAGAAACTAGATCAACATGTTGTTGTGACAGTTGTTTCAGCTATTAATTGTGGTTTCACCATAGGGGTCCAGTGAATTCTGGCGTTGTCGTATAAATAAGGATTTATGAAAAATATTGGATATCAGAAATATACATTTACAATTATATGACAAATAGAAGTTCCTGTACACACAATAATATTATCAATGACAGCATAAAGCTAATAAATCATATACTGTACGTAAAACATCAAAGAATAGCTTATATCATGCTTACATGTTAGATTTACCACTGTGAAAGGTAACCAAATTTATTACATTTTCAGGTTTTACAATGAAAATATAACTGATATTTTTACTCCAGTACAAAAAACAAGTATTCATCTTTTCACTCATTTTTCACCAATTGAATCATTGTATTTGCTTACTGTATTTTACATTCCGTTAATGCATTGCGGACTTTAGGAACGATAACTCGGGCAGAGATAACCATAACCCTACTGGTAAGAATCTCGCTTTACTTTAACAGATTGACCCTGGCCAATCTTAATTAAAACATAACTGTTATTGTAAAAATTGCTAACTTGGTGTCAAAGATGATCGGTGTCTTAGATGCGGAACTACGCATTCGGCTAGGTAATTTTGAGAACGAGCATTTCAGATAAAAACAGAGTGGCAAATTCAAACTGACATCAATGAAAACTGAAAAATGTCACTGATATTCATCAAGAAACACATGTGCTAGCAACACGGCGTATTTGGCTGTGGCTGTTTGACAGACGGTTGTGTAGATATGACATAATGAGACTACCTTCTTTTCTTTCATACATTTCATTGTCGTTTATACAGGAATGTTATGGTCGAATAACGCAAAAGCAGTCAACCTCTTTCTGATTTTATCCGACCATAAAATATACACTACTCTCGATATAGGTATGAACTTAGTGGTATAACCAGAAGCCACACAATATATAGTGATAGACGATGGCAGGAAAGATTTATGTTTAAAACATTTTTCATAAAGATATGGATTCATTTGACAGCTCATTACATTATCCTACATCTGGTAAAACAGTGAGATGCAGCTGTATTATTTGCCATGCCTTGCTAAAAGATATAACAAACAAATTGAGTGTTTTTGTTATTAAATATGTTTTCATTTTTATGATTGTTTAAAATGATAGCAGTAATAATTTTATAGTCATTGTTATGTATGTATTATCAATCAAATACTTTATCTATGAAAGCATTTACTCAGTTATATCGAATTTATAATGCATTGCCATCGAAAGTTTTCTGAACATCGGTTGTCGTCACACAGCGGAGAGATCAAACACGAGTTAGCGGAGGAGCAATATACAATATATATACATAAAAGGAAGGCTGGTTATAACAAGAGCAAAACACACACAAAGAAAGTAAAATAAGTGAATTTAGATATTGTACACATTTAGTGTCAAGCATCCTTATACGCTACAGGACAAAATAAGATGACAAATCAAAAATATATCATACATCACTCATGCCAGTACATAAATAGATTCAGAAAAAAATGACAATAAAATATGATATAGTGCATACTGATTTAATAATTTTGGTATACTAACATTTAACTTTTATATTCTGATAAGCATATCACTCAAAAGTCTTTATATCAACTTAAACTGTACTTAAAACGTAATTACTTGAAGGCAAAATGCAAACAGCAGAAACAATCAGCAAAATGCTATTATTGCCATAAAAGAAAAACGCCGTTTATCAAAATTGTTCAGTACATCTTCGAATGCGAGTGGTATCACTTCGAACATTGGGAAAAATGAAAACACGGCAAAGGCTTTCAACGGCATTGAACTTACATGGAAGGATTTTCTCGGGAAGTTTTCTTCCATTTTTACTCGCGTTGATATCGAGACAAACAAGATTTATTAAGATTAAAAGTTAGACTTCTTACTACTATTACATATTCAACATATAGCATATTTATTAAATAAGAAAATTAGGTAGTAAATGACTCATGGGAAACATTAACTTTGTCAAATGTTGACAGGTGTACGTATTTCACCTGCTTGTTAAGCTTTTTTTACACAGTGAGAAAATGATATACATACACAGTAAGCTCTTTTAACACAATGAGTATATTATATACATACAAAGTAAGCTCTTTTAACAACCATGAGAAAATGATATATATACTCAGTAAGCTCTCTTAACAACGTGAGAAAATAATAAACATGCACAATAAGCTCTTTTCACAGTGAGTAAATGAAATATGTCCAAAAGGTCCAACAATTGTTTTTTTTTTAAAGAATTCAGGAGAAAGTAAATAATGTTTTTTATGATTGATGATCAAGTTTAAGATTATTTTGAGTTTGATGTTCGAGAAATTTATCAGCAGATTCTTTTAAAACTTAAAGAGGTGTCGCGATAGCTATGTCTGTTACACAGTTAGTCTATGTAACATCTAGTGAAGATGTGGCGGTTTGTGTTTCTCATGAAGCTGATAAACGAATAACCAGTCTGTGGCTGACGTGGTTGTGTCCTTAGGCAAGACGATAATTGCTCTTTACGGCACGCGACCGGCCTCCCGTATGTTGTTCAATGAGGTTGCAAGCGGCTACTTTAAAGAGACCCCGCCTCGAAATGACCCTGACAATTCACGTGGCGATAAACCCAACAAACAAATATCAATTTAAAACTTAATATATCAGGTGGACAAAAGAATTGAATGTGTTAATAAAGACCTTCCTTTTTACATTACCGTCGTCACTTTGGTATTAATAGTATCGCCATCACGTGTCTGATTTCAAAGTTTGATAATTAGAGTTGTGCTGTGATTTGTCTTCCCTTGGGATTACTTTCTGATAATTTCCTTTCAGGTGTTATAGAATGAATATTGTTTCTACAAAACAGAAGAGAATTCTGCACTCTAAGATTGTCTAGTCACGTCACTAGTGTAACAACGACATAATTCCAAAATTCTAAATCAATGTGCATATCGATTAACGATATTCAGATGACTTCATTAATGATAACTACATTGGCCGGAAGTTTGAATGATGTCAAGGGCAGATAACTATAAGGTGAGTGCTATTATTCACTCCATTCTAATATTTCATATTGTTGAGGCAAGTATAGTAACAATAACTGTTTTGCATACATGCAATTACTAATGGGGCAAGAGTCGGTTCATCAAATGAATTGTTAAAATGTGTAGATCAATGAACAAATCTCAACCATACAAATGTTCCAGTCTTCATCTTCATTTGTTTATTATATGATTAGCATTGGTATCACAAGTGTATATCTAACTTGTTTGTTCTAGGATCCGCAATACTGTTCAGTATAATGCCACTAGTAAGCTCAATACTGTTCGCTGTGGGAGCCATGTCTCCCCTGCAACTACGCCTACCTACATACTGATGGTGGTAGGGTATGGCCTGATAGCGTATCTTTGCGCTGTATGTTTTTCATTTCTAACTAAATATGCTTCAAATCATTTTCGCTGTAAATGCCAAATGAAAGTGGACAGTCAAAGGAATAATATGGTTCTGCATAAATACAATATACCACCTAGTACACATTAAATGCAACTCATTGATATGATAAATAGGAGTTATATATGTGTATAGATATTAATCACCTATATAATATCTTGTCAAATATCCGCAATACTTAACAAAATATATGTAAACATTTAAAACCAAAAAGTAATATCAGCCGATCGCTTTATTCGCTCTGTTGTTATGCAGCTCAGACTCTTTCAGCAGACCAATAGTAACTGTCATAAAAAAACGTGCCTTGCGATTCTTTACTATCTCGTACACTACGTACGTCAGCACTAGGTACGCCTCACACTGGTAATTTGTCTAATGAAAGTGACAGTCATCGAAACACTCTTCTAATGGTTGTGCTATAAGAACTGTAATGCTAATACACACAGATTATTATAGATTGATTTGTCCACTGAGTATCGTGACACAAACGTAAATATAATTTGCATCGTTTTGGCAGCTTAATATGAAAATCTTTTATTCCTTTTCTTTGTTTAATTGTCTAACTTCTCTCTCACTTTTTCTTTGTTATCGGTATATATAGTAATATAACAAAACACGCGTGTTGTATTATTTTTCTATAGAGGAAGATCGACTCCGATGGAGTCATCATGCACACGTGCTTTGTAGCGTGGCTGTTACCTCTCTATACCATAATAGGTTTCTTCCCAAAATTCAACAAAGTCAAATGACGAATAAGACAAAAGTACAATACAAGGAATTTAAACATACAATCACTTTCTGAAGCAGCTTTCTATGCGAACAAATATTGAGAAGATGAGTATCGTGTTAGGCATTAGCAACGTCTAGTAAGCGTCTGTCAAGCAGTGAAGAACTAATTTGGTTTATTGAGTAGTTAAATTCATTTGTGGTATTGGTAAATTGCAACATGACTTTTTTTTTTTTTTTTTTACTTTTCATAGATTGTAACAGAAAAGTCGTCCAACATGAACCCGGGGAGATTTTTCGTCCTAATTAGTTTTCGCTTGTGTCCTAATTGGTATACTGTTATACTGTTAACTTCCCATTTATTCAATGTTATTGCTTTAATTATTGTGTCCAAGGTCAAAACACATTTTCAAGCATAGAATTATTGAACGATCTCACCATCATACTTGGTTAAAACAACCAAGGTAAAGTTCATATTATACTGGTAATGCAACTCATATACAACATTACTCGTCCCCAACTGCTCGAATAAGGGATAGAGTGATATATTGCATATTTTTCCCTTTTGCTACAAAATCAAATTCTTCCAAAGTTTAATTCGCTTTCACATCATCACTTTTTTTAATAAGGTAGATTCTATTTCATTATCTTACATGGGCCCAAATCTACCACACTGGTTCGCTGCTGGAGATACAGCCTAATTTCTGTAAGTACTTCTGAAGATTTGGTCTTGTTACCAGATTACAATAAGACACATACTTTTCGGTTTTGTGTTTGGTTACGCCGATGCAATTTGACTTATGCATGATGAGATAATAAGCAAACACTTTACAAAGTGAGAATTTGGTTAATTCTTGTGTTATTCCCGGATAGAATGATCGGGGTGGGGGGAGGGGAGGGGGGCATGTTGTTTTTGTGCTGTCGATTTGTTTGTCAGGTGTCATCTTTAACCTTGTCCATTACTATTGCAGCATAAGAGACAGAGATTTGGCATGTGTGTTTCTTGTGACAAGACGTTTCCGGTGGATGAAACTTTTTGACCATGTGACCTTGACCGTGATGTTTGACCTAAAGTTAAAAAGTACATTGGTCAGAAGTATTGAACTAAAACTGTTAAATCATTACCCGATGAAGACTTAAGTGTTTCAGAAAGTATGCATGCAATTAACATGTGATAACGCCTTTCAAAAGTCGTAATAACGTGGATAGAGTCGTAATAACGTGGATAGAGTCGTAATAACGGCTTTTTAAAACACGAAAAACCCTGTCATAATGACTTTTAGAGGTATGAATTCAAATCCAGTTCACGTTTACGTGTGTGCGTGCGTGTGTGTGTGTGTGTGTGTACATGCGTGTTTTCCCCAGAAACTCCAACATACCTCCACCACTAAAACATGGTGCCAAGAAAGTAGTATACACATGATGTAGTATATGTGGTAAAAAGTAGTTGTATTTTTGTGTTTAACTTCATTTAATGATCTTTGGTGGGGAAAATGATGCAGAATTTCATGTATTGTGTTGCACACGTTACATCTGTTTATGAATATTGCAAATGTCGAGTGACCAAGATGTATCTGATTGAAGACAAAATGCAAATGTGTACATAAAAGAAAACTATTTATTCGTGTTACGATTCACATAAAATATCAGAAACAATAACACTTACATGCGAAGTTATTTGCAAGCACGTACTTCAATTAATTCCGTCCCTCCACCTATATACACACACGTATGGTAAAATACACAAACGGAATGTACCATCACATTATATCAATTCAACTCCGATGCAATGTTCCTTCTAAGTTCAATATAAAGGTGTTAAGATTCATGGCCGTCTGAAAACATGTTGAAGTTTTTCTTTCCATGATGATACCACTGAGATCTCCGACTATTTCGTCACAAGGAACCTCAAGTTTTCGGAGAATTTCTTCTTCACAGATAATCTTCTGTGGTTTTAGTTTGTCACACGAGTCGAGGTGCCCTTTACTTTGTACTAACGCATTTTAAGTCAATAACTCTTATACAACCGCTCGCCCGCTGTGTCCAACAACTTTAACAGTTCATAAACTATGTGCCTTGGAGCTTTAAATCCTTCTGTATCCATACAATGTACCCGATGTTCCAAATTCGTTTTGTACAAACAAAGCCACTTCTTAATGTCTGAATACATTTTATACAAGTTCATTTCTTTTAAATGTTGATTTGCTTACGACCGTATCATGCAGAATCCCTAAGTAATGAAGTATTTCTTTGACTGAGGCCCAAACTGTAATAAAAGATAAGATACTTGTCTACACCAAGCTCGTAAACGCGATTTGTTTTTTCCTTCGATTATTGATCATTCTAGGTTTTCCTATTTCATAAACACATTTTGTTTTCATAAAAAATGATCACATTATTACCTGCACTTTCAGCTGTAATTAATGTTATTAGGATTGTAGAAAATGTATCACCTATTTTTCATACCTTTGTGAACCACCTTTAAGAGATACTATCAATGTTTCATTATTATGTGTCTTACTTTTTTCTCTTTAACGACTTCGTGGTCTATTTAGCTGAATATCGACAAATAGTGCACCCGAGCTTGTCTCCATCTCTGCCCCAGGTGAAGATCGCATTATCTCTTATTTACGACATTGCGATTTTCACCTGGGACCAGGATGATGGGGCAACTCCTCAAGGTTGTTGTCACTATTTCCTATCACTTCAGTTCTGTTTTGTTTACAGTTACACGAGTTCTCTCCAATCAATAAGTTGTTGGAGGTTCTTTCTGGGAACTACTTTCTCTTGTTGTTGGCGATGGTCTGATTACACGAGTTTTCGTGTACCCGGCATGTCTCTGAAGAGATCGTATTGTTTCTGAGTTTTGACTTCCTTTGTGTTAAATTTTCCGATGTCCATGTAAATTTGTATCTATTGAAATCAGATGTTGGAAGATCGTGCAGTTAGGTTTTTAATATATATATATTTTTCATTTCATATGCGATTTGAAGAAATAGCCTTCGAAGGTTTTATTTGGGCCAGCCTGGATGAATGGTAGATTACGTAATATATATAAAAATAATTCAACAGATCAGTTATCGATTTAGTATTTTATTTATGATAACAAGAAACATAAACTTGCAATAACAATAAATCTGTGGTTATTACGACAAAATACCAGTTCTTCCTTGGTTCTTTGTTGGCTCGGCGCCCTATTTGCTGACTGAATAATACCACCAGTGGACTGTGGTGGGTACACTTGCCTCTGGATCAGACAACCTACAGTATCTATAAGTTTACTTACACGTAAGTCCAGGAATACTGAACACCATGGACTGTCTTTGTGTGGCAGGAATATTCCAAATGGATCCATGAGAACTATCCTTTGTTCTGTGGTCAATCAAGGTGACCACTCCGTGGGTCATAGAGCCCCCAGAGGTATTCAGATTGTGGTATTCTGTAAGCAGCGTATGGTTGCTGAGACCAGTAGGTCCCCCTATCCTTTGTCCTGTGGTAAATCAATGTGACCTCTCCGTGGGTCAGAGCCCCAAGAGGTATTCAGATTGTGGTATACTGTAAGCAGCGTATGGTTGCTGAGATGAGTAGGTTCCCCTACCCTTTGTCCTGTGGTAAATCAATGTGACCTCTCCTGGGTCATAGAGCCCCCAGAGGTATTCAAACTGTTTGTGGTATTCTGTAACCAGCGCATGGTTGTTCGAGATCAGTAGGTTCTCTTGGTTGCCTGTGATGGCCTGTCGGGTCCAGTTAAATGACCCATTGATCAGTGTGTTCCCATCGATAACCACGAACTTATGATGCATGAAGAATGAGGACTCGTCTGTACGTACAGCAATACCTGAAACAACACAAATCAAATGTTTATTATATAATGTGAGCTAGTCTAAGTTCATATATTCAAAAGGGAGAAAAGAGGTCAAATTAGTCACTGATCGTAATGGTATTACAATTCTTTAATTTAATTAATTTCATTTAATGAAAAGATTTTGTTCAATATTTTTGAGAAAAATGAACAAATACTTCGATTTTATAAATCTGAAATTGTAGCTGACCTTTCTAGACAAGATAGAAATATGAACACCGCCATTCGATCTCATTTAACGTTAGTCTGCTTTCACTTTAGGCTCATCTTACCATTTTTATACAGAATGCATGTAAGAAAATTTGGCGAGTGTAGGGAGAATACCGGTAACAAAACATTGTAATTAAACAGACTACATTTATGTACATATTTTTAGGCTTTACCGATCGAAAGACCATATATTCCTTTTGACAATTGAATAGTAAATGTAATTTCTTGAGTCCATTCTATTATGCCTCTTTCAACTAGGTCTGTATAACACTGACTGTGACTAGGTAGTGTACATGTCTTCACCTTCACTACGTAAACGCCAGACTTGAGAACCAGTGGCACCTTCCTGTTCACAGTCCGTGATCACTCGGACACGCACTCCTCTCCAATGTGCCCGGATGAGCAGATCCGTCAGGTCAGTGCAAGTCATAACAAACACGCAGACATCCATGCTCTGTGTGGACTTTGACAGCATCATAAACAGTTTGCTAAGTGAATTATCCTGGTGTGAAAATTTGCATCCCCTTACCACACAGCCATCGGGTTTTGTGAAGAAATCTACACACGCCACTTTGCTATCGGGGAAAAATATCACCTCTGTCGTATCTCTCTTTGAAACTGCTTTCTTTATCAGTCTTTTATAAATCGTGTACACAATCTCAGATAAAACGCCAAGAGCCACAGTATACCCAGCAACACGGAGAACGTCTTGTCCCTTCATAATACCTAGGTAAGGGAAATTCCACCGGAACTGCGGAAGGACTTCCCTGTGTCTAAAAATATCGTAGATAGTGTAACATCGAATGACCACCTGCAAGCAGCAAGTAACACGTTAAGTCCATTTGAAACTCGGCTAAACACGGGCTTGAATGTAGAGATATATACAGTTTCTTGTTGTGTGTATAATTATTAAGAATAACATAATAATTACGGGAAATATTGCACTTTTACAACTCAATGAAGAAACAAGATCGAGGGGAAGTAACTCCTATAAAAAAGGCAGAAATATCACGTTATACCGATGCGTGATATGGACCTCGGACGTATAATACAAATCATCTGTATTATACGTCCCTGTACGGACGAATAAAAAAAATTCAAAACTCATTTTCAAATAAAATGTGGATTTAGATGTTACAGATGTACGCCTGATATACAACAAAGCAAAAAGAGAAAAAATAAAATAAGAATTGAAGAGGTTGGGGCATTAAGTTCAATTGTTGATTCGCTTCTACTAGATGTCTAGGTCCTCTTAGTAAGACCAAAACTGGAATATGAGGTTAGGGTATGGAACTGTATTGCAATTAGACAGAGAACTAACTCCGCTACAGTTTGAGACTACGTTAAGTCTAACTCTAACTTACAGACGATGATACAGAAATATGAATAATTCTTACGATACATCTGTGGTACAAGAACTGACAGTTTGAACTCTCCTCCTTCACCCTCGCCAATATGTTATATTTTAAGACACTGACCAAGTGCTATCTCTCTCTATATATATATCAATCATATGAAAGTTACATTTATATATTTCACTCAAGTACAATTACAACAGGAACTTTCGGATCAACAGTATATGATGCATTGTCTTAACTTGGTTGGCTACAGTTGGCGGTATAGTGCCGAAGGTTGCAAGTTAAAAAAAAATCAAAACTTGTCTTCCTTAGTCACTGAGTTGTGTTTGAGAAATTCCTTTAGGATAATAATTACTTGATTAATTCGTTAAGAAAATTGGCACAGGCTTATAATAAATGGATAACAAATCTGCCGTTTTGCAATGGGAAATTTCTTCTAGCTTATCTCGTTGCGCTAGATTTTTCGTAATTTGAAAGACTTTTAAAAACCACGGATGTGCCGGGGTTAATCTTCTTCCATTTGCTGTAGAACTGACAAAATGTGAGCTCGTCATTTATTTTGTCTTTTTTCGTTTATTGAAACGTGTTGTGTCCCTATAATTTTAATTCCACTTTCATGAGTAAGTGAATCCAATCGGCCATTTTATGGTCACCTTCTCACGGCGGCTAATAACATAAGCTGTCGAAGGTGAGAAAGTACTGAACCATATTATATAATTAGTTGAAACTTGTTCAACGAAAAGTATTAAATCCAATAAATTTTCTTTCATTGATTCATAGCTTTTGACAATGCAGTTTTATTGATATTAAATTCGACATTTTGCCCAAAGGGTTCACAAATTCGTTATATATCAGCAGAGACGTATATACGTCTCTGATATCAGTAATCAGATATTAATGTTAATGACAAATTTTGGGACGAAATTGGTCCGTGTTACTAGAATTTCACCACCTGACGATTGCCACCCTCTAGCAAACGACTTCTTATTGTCAGCAGAAACGTATATATCACACGTATATGTGTTATATATGTCTCTGTTGTCAGAGACACTGGTATAGTCGACGATTTAATGATATTAAGATCCATCTTAAATCGACATGTTTTCCAAGATGGCGGTCGACCGGGTCGATTGCGCGATGGTTTACAAATTCGTAATATATCAATAAGTCGATCCCAAGTCCGTGGTCCAACAAAATTGCTAGTTTCATGATTAAGTAGTATATTTGATTTTGTGTTTAAAAAATGACAATAGATAAGGCGTATTTAGTCAAGAAATTCTACACACTAGAATAACAACTAGTTACATGTATTTTTCATCTCATCTGTTCAGTCAAGAACTCAAATTAGAATATTCCGTTCAATGTCTTTGTTTTATATTACTTTGAGAATTTGCGTTTAAAGCATGATATGAAAATGTTTAAATCCACAGCGTTGATTATGAATACAACAAGTTCTACCTTTATTTGTTTTAGGCACATAAGAAACTCAAACACATGTACGTGTATTTGGGTATGTGCGACCTAAAGTAAATCCTTGTCAGAGTAATCTCCCTTTCATGTTTTCATTTCGATGGTGCAACATTACAAAACAAGACAGCTGTGTTGGTCAGTCTGTGACCTGGTCATATATGGACACATTACAGTTAAAAACTCCCTGGTAAGATACATCAGTATGTCTGTAGCTGATGAAACTGACATAAACCGTTGTCATTCAGGGTATAAACAAATCGTTGATAACTGATCGAAAAGTTGATCAGCTGATCCTAGCTGGAAGAACCTATCGTTACGTTACGTGATCTTGCACTTTGGCTTTAGAATCGACTCACATCTTCCAGTTGATGATATTTGCAGGAAGATGATGTGGTATCGCTTGATAGGTAGAAATTTTGAACGAATGAAAGCAATGGAAAGGGTAGGTCTTGGCCTATTTACCTCCATTGAGTAATTCCCAAGGTTGGGATCAACATGGTGTATGCTGAGGGCAATTGAGTTATGATAGGCTTATTGCTAAGAAAGAAATAAAATGGCTAGTTCTGACATATTTCTGCTTTTCATAAAAGAAATAAAATATTGCATGGTAAGAATAAAGCAAACAATCATACTAAACAGCAATAAATCTGCATTGCAGGATTGAACTGGATGACAAGGATGGAGGATTGTGTCAGGAGAAAGTATTATGTGTTCTATATTTTCATATGGAATGGCTGTAAGCTTTAAAGCTCATGGCTAGTCCAGAGCCATAGTCCACGCATTCTCATGGCTGCTATATCTACAGGCATATGTACAGTATCACTCCATCTTAAAAAGTCACAGATAGCCTTTTCCTTAAAGTAAGTGATATTTTAACAGTATGACTATAAAAATGATTCACAAAATCATTATGACTGCACATTGCTGACTTTTGACTACATGATGAATTGGTAAAATAAATAGAAGAGTTAAAGACGAAGATGAAAACCATAGATATTTAAATATATTTGTGCAGTATAAGGTAATTGAAAGAACAGTAAGATTTGAAAAAAAAAATTGTGGCCCTGAATGAAAATGCAAAATCATTTTCTTTATGGAAATGTGTGGAACTTTTCCTGTTTGATTTAATGTTTTTTACAAATGTTTAAATTTGTTAGCTTTTCCGATTATAAAACTATAGTTCATTCTTTTTCAGAATTTTTTCCATTCATTATGACAGACAACTTTCTAGTCCCGATTGGTGTTTTCTGGGATATTGAAAACTGTAATGTACCACGCTGGAAATCAGCCTTACCTATAGTGAAATGCATACGCGAGAAGTTCTTTATTGGAAGGCGAGAGGTGGAGTTTCTGTGTGTATGTGACACTACGAAAGAAAACAGACAAGTCATTCAAGACCTAACAGCTGCTCAGGTACCGCTGTAAAACTGTTTTTGAGATACTCGCATGTGTATTATTTATTGATAGTATTTTACACAAATGTTTTTGTTTATGATCCAATTTGTATAAGGTACATGTTATGATAACCATATTAGCAGGGGAACTAATTGTCTTTTCCACTTCATCATACATTCTGATGTATTTGAAATAATCACAGTTAAATTTGATTATTGGAGTATTAGCCCATTCAAATGTCTTTAAAATACTTGGAGGATGTTAGATGCAATGTGACTTGTTTGTACTGTACAGTACATTTCATTGAAATGGCACTGTCAAAATGTCTTTTAACTTTGCCCTGTGTACCAGTGATATCCTTGAGAATTTATTTAAATGAGTTTACATTAGAAAGTTTGAAACAACCATATAGAAACAAGATGAGACATCAATCAAAAACAAAAAGGAAACAGATCAAAAGCCAAACATCAGACTCAGGATGTGGATCATTTGACTAAAATATTGTTTGACAATGTCCTTCTTATCCTGCAATTTTCAATGAAATTTTGATGTCAAAATGATTATACAAATTTAAGAAAAAGTATACATACACATTTGAAAAATGAAAAAAAAAATCAGAGAGGGAATCTGGATATATTCCTTTCCAATTGTGATAAATCTGATCACAATCTTACATTTCTTATTCAATTGGCTTGTGCATTATGTAACTTTAAACAAATGTGTCTGAATATTATTTGTATTGAGGATGTATTACCTACAAATATGACTTTTTTTAATATAATACTTTCCATCTTTACACATATTTTACAAGTTTTAGATTTTTATTATGAAAACTGGATGTAATATACAAGGATTAGATTGTTGAATAATTGAACAATTTTCCTTCATTTGATTTAAGTTGACTGCTTTATATTAGGTAATATTCTTCGTGTGTTTCAGGTTGATGTTGTACACATCAATGCTACCAGTAAAAATGCTGCTGACGACAAGCTACGTCAAAGTCTCAGACGCTTCACTGATAAACAGCCCCCTCCCGCTGTTGTGTTACTCATCTCAAGTAAGTTTTATAAAACTCGTTCTCATGTTCCTAATCTCTAGTTGTGTCGCCTGCAGAGCTGGCGAACACTTAGGGATCACTTTGTCCGTCGTCACATGTCGGCGGTGGCAGTGGCGTCTTTGTCCGTATGAAAGTTTTCCTGACTTTTTTTGGTAATGCTTTGAGTTATCAAAATAAAATTTGGCATATGGCTTTTTGTTGCAAGGGTACAGATTAGGATCGATTTCCAGCTGTCTGTGACCCTTCTTGGCAGAGTAATGCCCCTTTCAACTTAGAAAATTCTCTGGGAATATTGTTTTCCAGACTTTTTTGGGTTATCCTTTGAGTTATTGAAATGAAATTTAGTATATGGCTTCTTGTTGGAAGGGTACAGGTGAAGTTTGATTCCTGGCTGTCTGTAACCCTTCTTGGCAGAGTTATGCATTTTTGAACTTAGAAAATTCTCCGGGACTATTGTTTTCTGGAATTTTCTTGGTTATCCTTTGAGTTATCAAAATGCAATATTGTATATGAGTTCTTGGTCAAAAGTTACGCTCCGAGTTCACTTCTTGGTAGTCTGTAACCCTTCTTGGCAGTGATATGTCCCTTTGAACTTTCTCAGAAATATTGCTTTGCGCAGTTTTCCCTTCATGCTTGAGTTATAGAAATGAATTTGGTATTACGACATTATGGTTGAACGTTGCACATCCAGTTCGATTTCTGGATGACCATGACACTTTATGCAGGCGACACATACAGTTCCGAGGAACTCTTGTTTAAGTTTAGCCTCACTCTGATGCCTATGATAAATTCTGTACTAGTCTACTGATTGCTGATAAGTACAATAGGTTACAATAGATTTCACCAATGGCTTGCAACCATATATTCAATCCTTATAACTGTGTTTTAAAAACAGAAAAAAAACAACACTTACTTCATATATGTAAGATTTTGGCATGCAGTTGAATGTTTATTTTTCAATTAAATTGATAAAATCTGAACAGAAAAAGAGCTGTTTGAGAACAGGGTACAATTATATTTACATGAACTGAACGAAAACAAGAGCTGTTTGAGAACAGGTTAAATTGTATTTGCATGAACTGTAAGAGCTGTTTGAGAACAGCATAGCTCGCCTAGTTATGACATACAGGTATTTCAAGTAAACACAAATTTACTATTTTTAGGCCCCATTCCATAATCAACTGCCAGTGCTAGAGCTATTTAATGATAAACTTTTTCAACCCATTGATATTTTCGATTCAGTACTGATTCTTTGATTAGGCAAGCTAAAATTCTTTCTTTATCAGTGAATGATCAAACAAAGTTAATATTAAATTTTTCAAAAAAGTAAACTACAAAATTTTATTTACAGGTGATATCAATTTCGCGCCTGATTTGTCAGACTTGCGTCATCGAAAGGGCTACCATGTAATCCTGGTTCACACTAAACATGTCCATGAGGCCCTAAAACTGTGTGCAAATGAGCACTTTTTGTATGAGGACTTGATTCAGGATCTCCCCCACCGTGAACCTGATCTGGTAAGTCATGCGAGCCACAGGATGTAAGGGTATAGAAAGATTTCACATACAAAATACTCTCAGTTGTTACCATGGGAGTGATGCATTTGCTATTTTGGGAACGATTAGCTATTATTGAGGAAAAAAAGACTGGATTAGGGTAATTATGTTAAAAAGCAGGCTCATGGTTAAAAGGATTCATAAAATATATACAAGACATTAAATTGAATGTAAATTACATGACAAGTGTCAGGTTTGTTATTGTAAAAACATGTGCTCAGTTTTATCAGAATGAATAGGTTTGTAAGCTGTAATTTAGTTATACTGCAAGTGCCTGCAGTTGTTGTGGTACTACTAACTATTGACAACAAAGATGGCCCATGGAGAGAGATATTGTATAAATTCACTTCAGCTAGGTGATGAAACTGAAGCTTGTGTCAATAACTATGTATATTATATACAGTAAAATCTTATTTCCTCCTTTTGTTTTTCTTTTTAGTCAGAGGAAGGACAGAAAGAGTTAGTAGTGGTGGGCTTCCCTACCAATCAGCCATCCAAAATGGTGGAAAGCTGTTTGAAGAAGCTGTCAACAAACTGTGGTGGACGTGTGATCAGTGTTACAGCTAGTTATGCCTTACTTCGCTTCCCCAGTCATAATGATGCTGTCAGGTAATTAGGGAGCCTGGGATAAGTTAATTGTTGGTTATCTGTTTTAGTCGGTAAGTACTATGGACATTTAGGTGGCATCTAAGGGGACGGTTCAATTTGCTGGAATAGGTTATGTCCAAAATGCATCATTAATTTGAAACAAGATTACCATCAATGGCACAAAAGCTCACAAAACTAGCATGAGGAGGTGGTTTTATCAACAGGAATCTACATCCAGACATACTGATATTTGAACAGGAATTAAGACCTTTCAACACAAAATACTTGACATTGGATTTGATTAGATTAGATTTGACACAAATAATCAAAGTCCAAAATGTTTAAAAATAAAAACAGACTTTTTTCCGAAAATAAAACGTTTATAAAGACTCTTGTATTTGATAAATTATAACCACAGAAACCCTTAGACCAAATATCAGTACCCTAGTTCATTTATAAAGGAGTTTACTGGTGTCTTTCAACACTTGCACATTAAAATATATCAGATTTTACATAAAAATCTAAGCCACAAATGTTTCCAAAAAATTCATTCTGACTCCAAGAAGTAATAGTTAACCCCACATAGCAACCCTCAAACAAAATATCAGTACCCTTGTATACTTATAAAGGTGTTTTTTGATGTCTTTCAACACTTGCAACAAAACTAAACATTTCGAAACCAATGCTAGTGCAGATGCAGGGGTGACAACATAAGCTCCCCCTCTCTTTGAGAGGCGAACTAAAAATGATAATAAGAATTACAGGTAATTATATACCTCGCATGTCGCATGTGTTGTTTGTATAGTCAGTTTTAGATGCTGTGCATCACTAAAGATGTACATCCTGGTGAGTTCCTAAGCTGGACAGAACAATTTATTCACCAAAAAACCCCAAAACACACAGCTTATTTCGTGATTAAAATTGAATATGAAAAATCAACAAGCATTTCAAGCATTTCTCTTCACTCTCAACAGGATTGGAAACTCAGGTATGAGTAACATTCCAGACCAAGGGATACAACACTATACAAAATGTTTGCTGCCTCCCCTTGTCCATATTTCAAAGTTCATCAATCAGTACGTGCCTAAGTTTACAGCCTTGCTTTCCTTGGACCGAATCAGTTATTACATGAACGTTCTGTCCATCTTGTTCTCTTCTGCCAAAATAATAAACGTTGTTGTTGTCATGTTTAAATATTGATGCATTGAAATGAAAAATGAAAATGAAATGAAATTCTCAAAATTCGCACAAATATGACATTTTTACCCCCAAAATATCAATCTTTCTGAGAAGGGAGGGAAAACCTTATCTTACATTTTACAGTTCTTGTTTTAGTATGACTTTTAAATAAATCTTAAGTAAAAAGAACGGGCACTAAAGACTCATTGTATGAAATTTTAACGTTCCTCGTAAGAAATAGCAATAATAATCTTAAACTGTCCAATCGATATGGTCACCTGTTAGTCATGTTTTTTTCTGATCAGTTCCAAAAACAAACAAGCAAGGATCAAGGTGATCCTACAATTTGAGAAAGATCCATTCAGCACATCTCAAGAAAATGCAATAACAAACTTTCATCATTAAAATCCAAGATGGCCACCTGTCAGCTGTCTCAGTTTTGTGATTAGTCTCAAAATCAAACGGGCAAACTGGTAGTGTGAACACCAGAATTGACATCCATATCGAGCAAAAAAATGCATAGAATATTGGGTTTTTTATTCCAATCTATGGACATTTATACTACAGTTGGCAGATTGCAAAATGTTATGCAAATTGCACACAATGTCTGCACAATATATGCCTGATGTGTGCATGATGTGCGCACAATAGGAAAATTGGATGAAATAAGCTATTACACATTTGTGTGCACATTGTGCGGTTCTATTGCACAAATGTGCAGTTCTATCGTGGTTGATATAAATTTAGAAATGGCTTATAAATAAGTGAGCAATATTGTTTATTTATTTTCTAAATATATAAGAAAACAGTACATTTCCTAATTAAGCCATTAATATATAGGTTGGACACTTGTAGATACATGAGATACACACTGAATAGTTAGATACACTCGTAACTTTAAGTGTTTTGTTTACAAAGAGCTACACATGGCCAACCTTAGTGTATGGACACACGTTATATATACATGTAAAATGAAATGGATGTCTCTTTATGTCACAGCAATAAATCATTTAAAATCTCATAGTGTCTCATTTTTCATGCATTTTGTAAATAAAAAATACATGCTGGGGTAAATCATAAATGCTGTGTTTTTACATGGGTGACCCAGTCGCTACCAATGGATCCATACCAGTCAGGTGTATACTGGTATACAGGTAAACTTTTGTTGCCTGAGGCACCACTACTCCCCACTTCCTGAGGTGTGAAACTATATGCGATAAGACTGCTTAATTTAGATCCAGTGGTATTTTGAAAACTGTTGAATTAAAAAATAATAATGTTAATGTGATCACTATTTTGTGAAAGCTTCACAAATTTTCCATTTTATTTTCAATCTGTTATATTAGCCTACCATTTTTACCAAACCGCACAAAATGTGCCATCCTATCGCACAGTTGTGTGCATGATACTGTTTTGTGCATGTTTATGCACAATGCACTCAGGAAATTTTTCGTGCGTTGTGTGTTACCACAATTGTGGCTAGACAAAGATACCACATTCATATGTAGGTTGTATAGAAATGATACAATATGCCTGAGGAATTGAATATTATCCTGACAATCTAACTCTGAATTTACAAAAGCTTAATGGATACTGGAGGATGTTTATCAGCTGAAACTGTATGTAGGCTATAAGAATGTCAAAAATGTACTTAACATCCAGATACATGTACAGATAATGTTATGCCATCAAATCAGAGGAGTTTCTGGTAATGAGATTTCAGAAGTTGATCTATACAAATTATAACAAATTATTATCAATAATACATAATGTGTACACACCTGGTATTTTTGAAGCTCAACAACATATAGTGAAGTTGCGTTATATACGCGTAGTTAAAATCTCTTTTTCTGTCATCATTCAGGTCATCACCATTCCTGAAAGAGGTGAAAAAACATCCCTGGGTTAAATCATTGTAAATTCTTTTATCTTTTTCTTTTTTAATGGGGATTAGGGAGAAAACAAAATATTCAATTTGCAATATTTTTTAAAAGATATGCAGTCAGAGGGGACATACAGCATGCTTAATGATGCAAAAATATCTCTGGTATTTCTGTATAATCCTTAATACATAAAGCTTAACCTTTGTATACTTTTTTTACAGAATAAGAAAAATGTCAGTATAATTTTATTGTCTTTGTTATGATAAGCTAAACAGAGTATTTTTGAAAAGGTGCCACATTGCAGTATATTCCCTTAAAAGATGGAGATGATTATGAATGGAGTTTGTTTCGTGGCAGCTTGTTATTTATGCTAGGATGATCATTCCTTGGTATTATAGATCATCAGTTATATTAAGACAATACCTGTTGTTTGTTTGGGTTGATGTTTGATTAATGTGGAGTTGACTTTATGTATATTTTATAGCAACCTTTAGTTTGTAGGATGATAATGCTTCCTTTACATAGAGGTGACCTCTGGTTCGTGTAATGTTGACTTTGGTTAGTGTTAGAGTGTCGTTTGAGTTGGAGAGACCTAGAGTTGATGTAGTGATGAAATTTGGTTAGAATGACCTTTGTGATAGAGTAACCTTTGGTTGGAGTAAAGTGACCTTTGTGATGGAGTAACCTTTGGTTAGAGTAAAGTGACCTTTGTGATGGAGTAACCTTTGGTTAGAGTAAAGTGACCTTTGTGATGGAGTAACCTTTGGTTAGAGTAAAGTGACCTTTGTGATGGAGTAACCTTTGGTTAGAGTAAAGTGACCTTTGTGATGGAGTAACCTTTGGTTAGAGTAAAGTGACCTTTGTGATGGAGTAACCTTTGGTTAGAGTAAAGTGACCTTTGTGATGGAGTAACCTTTGGTTAGAGTAAAGTGACCTTTGTGATGGAGTAACCTTTGGTTAGAGTAAAGTGACCTTTGTGATGGAGTAACCTTTGGTTAGAGTAAAGTGACCTTTGTGATGGAGTAACCTTTGGTTAGAGTAAAGTGACCTTTGTGATGGAGTAACCTTTGGTTAGAGTAAAGTGACCTTTGTGATGGAGTAACCTTTGGATAGAGTAAAGTGACCTTTGTGATGGAGTAACCTTTGGTTAGAGTAAAGTGACCTTTGTGATGGAGTAACCTTTGGTTAGAGTAAAGTGACCTTTGTGATGGAGTAACCTTTGGTTAGAGTAAAGTGACCTTTGTGATGGAGTAACCTTTGGTTAGAGTAAAGTGACCTTTGTGATGGAGTAACCTTTGGTTAGAGTAAAGTGACCTTTGCGATGGAGTAACCTTTGGTTAGAGTAAAGTGACCTTTGCGATGGAGTAACCGTTGGTTAGAGTAAAGTGACCTTTGCGATGGAGTAACCTTTGGTTAGAGTAAAGTGACCTATGTGATGGAGTAACCTTTGGTTTGAGTAAAGTTGATCTTCAGTTTGTGTTGGAGTGACTTTTCATTTGTTTTGGAATGACCTTTGTTTTGTGTTTAAGTTATGTTGGGTTTGTTTTGGATTAGCCTTGAGTTTGTGTTAGGATGACCTTAAATTTCTGTTGACCTCTGGTTCTTGGTAGGGAGACCTGTGGTTAGTGTTGAAGTGACCTTTGGTTTACATTAGAGTGACCCAGGGTTTGTATTGGTATGACCTTCGGTTGTTTTTGCATGACTTTTTGTTAGAAATGGAGTGACTTTTGGTTTGTGTAAAGGAGATCTTTGGTTTATATTGGAGTGACTTTTGGTTCTTGGTAGGGAGATCTTTGGTTTATATTGGAGTGACCCTTGAATAGGTTTAGGATGACCCTTAGTTAGTGCTAGTTAGGAGTGATCTCTGGTTAGTGTTAGATGGCCTTTGGTATTGTTAAGATGACCTTGTTTTGTATGTAAGTGACCTTGGGGCTTGTTTACAGATGGCTTTTACTTTGTGTTGGAGTGACCTTTGGTTTGTGTAAGGATGGTGTTTGGTTTGTGTTAGGATGGCATTTTGTTTGTGTTAGGATGGTGTTTGGTTTGTGTTAAGATGACATTTGGTTTGTGTTAAGATGACCTTTGGTTTGTGTTAGGATGACCTTTGGTTTGTGGTAGGATGGCCTTTAGTTTGTGTTGGTATATTGGAGTGACCTTTGGTTCTTGGTAGGTAGATCTTTGGTTTATATTGGAGTGACCTTTGGTTCTTGGTAGGTAGATCTTTGGTTTATGTTGGAGTGACCTTTGGTTCTTGGTAGGGAGATCTTTGGATCTTTGGATTATCTTTGGTTTATATTGGAGTGACCTTTGGTTCTTGGTAGGGAGATCTTTGGTTTATATTGGAGTGACCTTTGGTTCTTGGTAGGGAGATCTTTGGTTTATATTGGAGTGACCTTTGGTTCTTGGTAGGGAGATCTTTGGTTTATGTTGGAGTGACCTTTGATTCTTGGTAGGTAGATCTTTGGTTTATATTGGAGTGACCTTTGGTTCTTGGTAGGGAGATCTTTGGTTAATGTTGGAGTGACCTTTGGTTCTTGGTAGGGAGATCTTTGGTTTATGTTGGAGTGACCTTTGGTTCTTGGTAGGGAGATCTTTGGTTTATGTTGGAGTGACCTTTGGTTCTTGGTAGGGAGATCTTTGGTTTATGTTGGAGTGACCTTTGGTTCTTGGTAGGGAGATCTTTGGATTATGTTGGAGTGACCTTTGGTTCTTAGTAGGGAAATCTTTGGTTTATATTGGAGTGACCTTTGGTTCTTGGTAGGGAGATCTTTGGTTTATATTGGAGTGACCTTTGGTTCTTGGTAGGGAGATCTTTGGTTTATATTGGAGTGACCTTTGGTTCTTGGTAGGGAGATCTTTGGTTTATGTTGGAGTGACCTTTGAATAGGTTTAGGATGACCCTTAGTTGGTGCTAGTTAGGAGTGACCTCTAGTTAGTGTTAGATGGCCTTTGGTATTGTTAAGATGTCCTTGTTTTGTATGTGAGTGACCTTGGGCTTGTTTACAGATGGCTTTTACTTTGTGTTGGAGTGACCTTTGGTTTGTGTAAGGATGGTGTTTGGTTTGTGTTAGGATGGCATTTTGTTTGTGTTAGGATGGTGTTTGGTTTGTGTTAAGATGACCTTTGGTTTGTGTTAGGATGACCTTTGGTTTGTGGTAGGATGGCCTTTAGTTTGTGTTGGTATGATCTTTGCTTTGTGTTGGTATGACCTTTGCTTTGAGTTGGAGTGACCTTTGCTTTGTGTTGGTATGACCCTTTTTTGTGTTGGTATGACCTTTGGTTTGTGTTAGGATGACCTTTGGTATGTGTCAGGATGGCCTTTCGTATTGTTAAGATGACCTTGGTTTTGTGTGTGAGTGACCTTGTTTACAGGTGGCATTTACTTTGTGTTGAGGTGACTGTTGGTTCCTTGGACTTTCAAAAGAATGACCTGGGATTTGTGTTGGAGTGACCTTTGGTTTGTGTAAGGATGGTGTTTGGTTTGTGTTAGGATAACCTTTGGTTTGTGAAAGGAGGATCTTTGCTTTGTGTTGGTATGACCTTTGCTTTGTGTTTGAGTGACCTTTGCTTTGTGTTGTAGTGACCTTTATTCAGTGTTGGAGTGACCTTTAGTCAGTGTTGGAGTGACATTTAGTCAGTGTTGGAGTGACCTTTAGTCACTATTGGAGTGACCTTTGCTTTTTGTTGGAGTGACCTTTAGTCAGTGTTGGAGTGACCTTTGGTTTGTGTTGGAGTGACCTTTAGTCAGTGTTGGAGTGACCTTTAGTCAGTGTTGGAGTGACCTTTAGTAAGTGTTGGAAAGACTTTGACCTTGGGTTTGTGTTAAGGTGGAGAAGAATAAACTTTCAACTTTTTAAAGTGCAGCATTGAAGATTCCTGGTTAAGTTGGAATATTGTTTGTGTAAATAAGATAACCTTTGGATTTTGTGACAAAAAGTTATGATGATTATTATGCTGAAGCCTAAGCCAAAACAGTGTAACTGATCAGTAGATACAACTTAGATATAAACATTAAAATCTGCCTTCAGTAACCCCTTGGTATGATATATTCAGGTACTCTCATAACTCATTAGTTGTCTTGGTAACAGTTGGTTATAATGGACATAACTCATAAGTTGTCTTGGTAACAGTTTGTTATAATGGACATTTCATTTATACATATATGTTTCAGTCATTAGAACTATCACTGTGCAAAGCCAAGGCCTGTGATTAAATGAATTTTCAAGGCTTTAAACATTCAATTTGTCTTCAAAAATTCTAACCTATGATCTGAAATGATTTGACTTCATTATTTCATGATATAATTATATATCAGTGTTTTACGGAAAATGATGAATGGATATGGAATTTTGTACACTGAATCAAGGAATTATAGTTTGTAGTTAATTAAGTAGTAATATATCAAAAATATTAATTTATTCTAGAAGACTGCAGTTGATTGAAGACTTTTTCTTTTATTTAATAGAATTAAAGTCGTATTTCTATATTGTCCATCTTGCCTAAATAAATGAAAATAAGCAGTTCTGACATATATATATATATCTTGAGAATTACTGAAAGTGTGGTTAATATAATAATGTTACACTACTTGGTGTTTAAGACCTACCTTGTTCATTCTTAATGTTGACTCCTGTAGTGGGTTTTTTTACCTGAGACCACACTGAACTGTAAACCCTTCCTGGCTATAGCTAGAGACCTATCCTTTCTTATGCAAATTAGCTTGCACATGCATGTGGTGCTGTGTGTGGTGAGAGGTCCTTCACCTGTGCTCTCTACCTCTGTTACTGGGTGTCAGTATAAGTGGTCAGCCATGGCTGACATTACAAGATTACGCTGTCCATTTCAGGGCCAAGAAGAGGATGACAGGAGAGCAAGTGTTTAGCAATACAATACAAGTTGACTTTGCAGTAGCTGTAACAGACATTCCATCAGCTCAAGGTAAAATAGCATGGAAAATCTTATTGTAAAATTCAGTAGTTATGTGATTTTGTGAGGATTTCCATAGACAAAGATATCTGTTTCAGGGTATTCTTCTAGGAATATAAAAATTGTAAAGTTAGAATTACACAGTTGTACATAAGGTGATTTATAATTTCTGTTGTGCATATACAATTAGAAATAAAAGGGAACAATTACAGTAGTGTTAGTTACTCAATGCTATCTCATTCACTTCAGTCTTATACCTATCATACAGGTGGGCACACTCCTGTATATGCATAATGTCCTGCATTTGAGTGAATTACTGTTTTGAATAATACAATTTTTAATCAATTGCAGGATGATTTTAGATAGAAACACATTTAGTTCTTTTAAACATTTACAACAAAAAATGGCACCATAATTTTTGACATGTTTCTGTAAAGTAATAACTTTGCTAAATATAAATGAATTTCAATCAAGATTTAGTTTGTATCATACTATCCTTCAGCCTAAGTTTGACTGTCAACATAGTTCATTGACTGTTAGTTACTGTAAAATCATCAATTTTTGTGGGTGATTTATTTTTTATTGATTTTGGGGATACACTAAATCCATGAATTCATATACCCATAAAGTGTTAGAATTAGTATCTTTATGATAGTATTTTTATTGTGTTATATCAACAAGTAACTACAAATTTGTAATTGGCCAATTGGATTCTATTTCATTTATTTAGATAAATGTTGGTTGATTTAATGATAATTGGGTTACAGGTGTAGTTTTACATCTTTGATTGTTCTTACTTAAGCTGCCTTACAAATTTAATATTGAAGACAGGGGATATAACTGTTGTAGCTTTCAGTATTTTCTCTTGTCCAAAATGATCTCACTTGTTTTCTTGTATGAAATTTTCAATAACTTGGGGGAGTCACTTCCCTTTGGTTTTCTCGGTTCCTTCTGTTTTCAATTTAGATTTAACTGTAATGGCATTAATTTGTGATGTCTCAGATGCTTATTAATTAGACCTTTATTATTTCTTACTTCCCCCATTTATTTTGATCCAATTTCAACAGAAACGTACAACAATGTAATTTGTTGATATTGTGATTTTAAATCAATCAGAAAATGTAGCATTTTCCACACTTTGATGATGTTAGATTAGTTTTTACAGTGGAACAGAATAAACTTCTCAGTATAAATGATTGATCATTAAATCCTAGGTAACTGTAGCCTTCCTGACAAAAAGGATTCCTCTCCAGATCCAAAACCTAAACGACGAAGATTTCGACGTTCTAAGTCCAGAGAACAGCCAAAATTATTACCTATATGTCCTCAAGATCAATCGAAGAAAAAGGAGAAATCACCTGAGACTCAACAATTAAGTTCTGAGAAGAAGAAAGATAAATCACATAAAAGTCAACTGTTAAGCCCTAACAAGAAAACAAAGGCTATAAAAATGGCCACTCAGTCACCTGGACAGCCCGGTATCAGTACAGGATCACAAGGAGACGTGCAGCTGAAAGACGAAAGTCAGTCTGATATCAAAACAGTGGTGGATAAATTCTCCAAAGACAACAAGAGTAGTCGACAGGTATTACTACTGCAGCAGCAACTGTACCAGGAGGAACAGGAGGCTCCACCTCAGGCCTACCAACAGTCACGCCCACAGTCACAGCCTACACCTGAAAACAGGCATACTCCCATCAACTCAGGTTTCAAAAAGGGCCAAGGTCATTACAGCATGTTTGGCCAGTCATATGATGACCAGCTGTATCAACAAGGATCATATGGTTACTACAGTCACAATACCTGGGGACCGAACCATTATCAGAGCTATTCAGGTTACTATGGAAACAATACAGGATACTATGGTAACAGTGTTGGGTACCAATATAACAATTACTTACATAACACAAACATGGATCCTCAGTCTTCTTATGGTTATAACAATAATTTGTTGGAAAATGATGGAGGATATCAACCTAATAATCCAGACTTGAACCGTAGTTTCTGCAGTTCTGATCTAGTTCGGAGACCCAGGTTTTATTCCCCAGACATTACAGGATATAGACAGAACTACAATTCTCACAGAAGTCTGGACTATGCACCGTCCTCCCCAACACCATATTCTAACCAACGTTCCTACAACAATTATACAGCTGATCGCCAGAGCCCAAACTACCACACACTGGACCGTCACAGTCCCTATCAGAACACTTCCTACAAATCAGCTAATCATCTGGTAGACAGAACATCACCATATATGAACGCTTTTCAGCCAATACGGAGTGACAGTCCGAGTACAGCTGGTAGTTCTCCATGTGATCAGGATTCTCCAGACTGGGACAGTGTGGTGGGTCCAGTGGAATTACTGATATCTAATCTTGACTACAACATAAGTGCTAAGGAATGGAGGAAGATTCTCTTCACCACATTCCACCCCCATGTCAGGGTAAGACATGTTTCATATTTCTATGATTGTACCCATCTCTTGTGCTGACCTTGCCTGATCATTGATAGGGATATATCTAGTGATATGATAACTGCTTTTAATTTTTAGATAATTTGAATACAAATGTCATGTAACCTTTAAAACCATTAAAAAGTACAATGTTATGATTATTTTCCATGAATATTTTGAAGAATTGTAAAGGTTGCCATTTCTAAAGACCATGAAAAAATATGTGTTAAATTATATAGTCATTAGATGTTTTAACTGAATGATGAAGTTTTAAATAATATGAATAAATGCTGATTATGGAAATAGCCAGTGTAGTTATAACTAGCAATATTCCATAGATAATTTGATAATATTTATCAGGACTTTTGGTAATGTGCAATAAACATGCATAGCCTTATACAGTTGAGTATGATATAATATATAGGTGCTGAATGTACACGTGAAGGCTCAGCCTGATAACACTAGTATAGGAATGGTGAAGGTCCCAAGTAAGGAGGAGGCTCGCTTCGCAATCTCACAGTTCCACCGCAAGAAAATTGGCTACAAACGCATCCATGTTACTTTAAAAAATGATGAAGGCCAACATCCAGCCAACACTACCAGGTAATTATCTTTAACACTCAACAATGGTACTATATCTACTGTCATCTTGAACGAATGCCACAAAACCTGACCAAATTGGGAATACCATTATGTCCTAACTAACTGATATCATTCATGGTTTTACTAATATAACATATTAGTTTATATCTAGAACCAGTAGAAGATGTTAATGATGTTACAGGTTTTTACATGTGACAAACTTTTAAAGACGAGGAAGATCGGATTACTTAACGTTTGTAATAATTTATACATTACAGTGACACATGTATGACATGACAACCTAAATTTATAAGAGATCAAAAGAAATTGTCAAAAATTGAAGAAACTGTGAAAAGTGATTTCTGTTAAAACAGGCAGATTTATCATTTCACTTTCATTGTGGTACAATAGTATTATCAGTGTCAGGTTTATCTTTAATCACCTAGATACATGTTTGTGTAATACTTACCATTACATAATGTTTTATTACACATGTATATGACCTAGTGGACCTGTGATTGGTAGAAAGTTCCCATTGTTTCCATTGTGAGATCATAGTTTTTTGTGACATCATAGACTTATGACATCATAAACACATTATATATATATATTTATGTTATATGAAAATATTAATTTTGATTTTGTATCAATTGTATAAAATGTTTCATGAATGTTTGTTAAAATACTTATTACTATAGTAAGTGATGTGAATCTGTTCCATTTGAGATTAGTGAAGCTCATCTTAAATTTTTCATTTTACCTCGTAAAGGTCTGGAAATAGAACGAAATGTAGACAAATTTCATAAATTGCAATATGAATGGGAAATCACATAGGATCCTGTATATAAAGCAAGAGTACATTGTATGTAGGGAAAAGCTTGTTAGATATTGTAACAAACACAATTCTGTTAGTTCCATTCACAATGAATGAAATTAGGAACATCTTCAAAATGAAAAATTTTGAGGTGAAGAAAGTAAATGTTTCATTATTTTTTTCTTTTAAATTATCTGATGTTGCACAAGTCGTACCAACCTAGTACCTGTCTGCTTATTATTGTATAGACAAGTAAATTGTTACTTATACATTGTTGTTTACCAGGGCTGAGGCAGTCGCCCTACTTCTGGAGGCCAAGGACAACACTCTACCATTGTTTAAATTTATCGAGTTGTTTGACAAAAGGTATGTAAAACTGTATCCTGAGAAATCAGATCTATTTTTTTCTGATTTGACCTCTTTGAAATATCTATATTTAGTTATACCCAAATACCTACTTATTTTGTGCACTGGTGTAAAATATACAGGGGTTCTGGGGGTATATGTCCTTCAAAAATAAAAAGGTAGTGAAAGTAGAATAATTTTGGATGTTTCATCATTATGAAGATCATTTAAAAGATCACAGAACCACATATTCCCTTACAAAATTAAAAAGAAAACATTTTACAGTTATAAAAACAAATTTCTAGTTTCATGCTTTCTATAGCATAGTTTTTAGGGTCTTATGAATGTTAATTTGACCCCTTGGTGACTTAGGGGTGGGGCCCCAAGGAGGGAAGTTAGAAGTTTGATTTAAATATTACTCCATCCCAATACTTGGTTAGATTTCAACCAAATTTGGTCTGAAACATCATTGCAAGTAGGTTATCATTTCTTAAATCAGAAAATTGATTTGACCCTAAGGGACAGGGCCGCAAAAGGGAAGTTAGGCAACAATTTGCTTCAAAACCCTTCTCCTTCATAATTCCTGGATGGAGTGATGTCAGACATGCCTGAGTGATCCTGAGACTATCCTGACAAAATCTAATTTTCAGTTTGGTCAAAAATCCAACATAACTGATCTTGAACAAATAGTCTGAACCACTCAAATTTCATTCACACAATTGAGATAACAATTTGGAGTTAATTTGTTAGATGACCTTTTAGGGGCCATGACCCTCTTGGTTACTGCACAAACACTTTTTTTGTGTGATTTTGCTAAATATGATATGAAGCTATTTAGGTGAAATGTGATAAACACACAATGATAAAGGAGTTTAGAGCGATACATTGAAGTCAAGGTTAAAAACAAATCAAAGGTCAATCCATTTTGACTCTTATCTGGAATAAATGTATTTGTTTTGAATCTTCCTAATTATTTAACATTGATTTAAAAAGTGCATACTGAGAGGGAATGTTTTTGCTTGCCTTTTATTAGATTGATTTTAAATTAATTTTAAATTTATAATGTTAATCCAGGTACCACAGATCTATCAGTGTGTCTGAGTTATACAAGATGAGGGACGTGATTGACATTCGAGAACAGGGAGGGGCGGGGCGAATGGTCTACTTAGCCTCACATCCTCAGCAAGATACACCTACCACAGAGATAGCTGATGGAGAGGTAAACATTGGTAGTAGTACCAAACTTATTTCCTTTGATAACAACTACTAAACAAGTGTATGAGGTTTCACACTGCACCCAGAGGAGGCGTCTTACTTGTGCCAAGCTCAAATAATAAGCAGCATGCACAGCTCATCAGCTCAGTCAAAGCTAAAGGTCATTTATTTACACAAGGTTCTAACTTCTCTTGCTCCAAGCGGGGATCTTAATACTCTTGTTCCCTAACAGGATCTTAATACTCTTGTTCCCTAACAGGATCTTAATTCTCTTGTTCCCTAACAGGATCTTAATTCTCTTGTTCCCTAACAGGATCTTAATACTCTTGTTCCCTAACAGGATCTTAATTCTCTTGTTCCCCATCAGGATCTTAATTCCCTTGCTCCCCCCAAGGATCTTAATTCTCTTGTTCCCTAACAGGATCATAATTCTTTTGTTCCCTAACAGGATCTTAATTCTCTTGTTCCCCATCAGGATCTTAATTCCCTTGCTCCCTAACAGGATCTTAATTCTCTTGTTCCCTAACAGGATCTTAATACTCTTGTTCCCTAACAGGATCTTAATACTCTTGTTCCCTAACAGGATCTTAATACTCTTGTTCCCTAACAGGATCTTAATTCTCTTGTTCCCTAACAGGATCTTAATTCTCTTGTTCCCTAACAGGATCTTAATTCTCTTGCTCCCCCAGGATCTTAATTCTCTCCCAGGATCTTAATTCTCTTGCTCCCCACCAGGATCTTAATTCTCTTGCTCCCCCCAGGATCTTAATTCCCTTGATCCCCACCAGGATCTTAATTCCCTTGCTCCCCACTAGGATCTTAATTCCCTTGATCCCCACCAGGACCTTAATTCTCTTGATCCCCACCAGGATCTTGATTTTCTTGCTCCCCACCAGCATCTTAATTCTCTTGTTCCCCCCAGGATCTTAATTCTCTTGTTTCCTACCAGGATCTTAATTCTCTTGTTGCCCACCAGGATCTTAATTCCCTTGCTCCCCCCAGGATCTTAATTCTCTTGCTCCCCCCAGGATCTTAATTCTCTTGTTTCCTACCAGGATCTTAATTCTCTTGCTCCCCACCAGGATCTTAATTCTCTTGCTCCCCATCAGGATCTTAATTCTCTTGCTCCCCACCAGGATCTTGATTTTCTTGCTCCCCACCAGGATCTTAATTCTCTTGATACCTACCAGGATCTTAATTCTCTTGCTCCCCCCAGGATCTTAATTCTCTTGCTCCCCACCAGGATCTTGATTTTCTTGCTCCCCACCAGGATCTTAATTCCCTTGTTCCCCACCAGGACCTTAATTCTCTTGCTCCCAACTAGGTTCTATCTGCCTTTACCCCAACATAGTTTCTGACTTCATTTGTCCCCCTGCTTGGTTTCTAACTTTCTTTCCCCTTACTAGGTTTTAACTTTCTTAGCCCTCAACTAGGTTCAAATTTCCAATGCTCCCATCCACATTCTAAATTTCTATGCTCCCAACTATTACTTTTCTCAGTTTTTTTCTAAAGTTCCATTATATTGACAGGTACAGGAGATCCTTGAACAGCCTGTGTGTACAATCCATTGTCCAGAGGGCAGCACTATGTATGCAGAGGCCATTAACAGCTGTATGCTTCCCTATGTCAAAATGTCAATCAAGATGCTTGGACCCCAGGTGCACTCTCTCCTACAAACACATGATGGTCACATGCCGCTGATGAGGTACACCCTGACTGTTTTATTGTTGCTATGATATGTAACAGTTTAAGATATATCCAATTAAAAATAGATTGATTTCCAATTTATTCATGTCATTTTTAGGCTTTCATTAGATATAAAATATACCATTACAATGCAATCACAGAAAATACTGTCCATATCGTATATTCAGAACCTCTGAAATTTCTTAAGTATTGAAATACCAATAAAGAGAAAAATATATCTGTTGACATATTTTAAGAGTCATTTCAGTTATATAAAACTTTCACTTTTCATATGGCTTGTCCAGCTTTCCAATGTGTTACATCGCCGAGTTCTCCAGCCTGCCAATTTCCCTGCAGTCTCAGGGCGGTGTACCCCTAGAGCATCTTATAAGCTGTGTGCCTGGTATCCAGATACAAGTTTCTGCCTCAGGGGTGAAGAAAGTCCAGTGGGCAGAGAATCAGACATCTAACTCCTCTGGTAGGTGAAGCCTTTATTCATTTCTTGCCCTTCTTCAGACTAACTCATCTGAACAGATATGTGTAGCCTTTATTCAGTCCCTGCCCTACCTCATCTGAACAGATAAGTGTAGCCTTTAATCAATTCCCAACCTACCTCATCTGAACAGGTTAGTGTAGCCTTTATTCAGTCCCTGTCCTTCAACCTACCTCATCTGAACAGATAGGTATAGCCTTTAATCAGTCCCTGTCCTTCAACCTACTTTATCTGAACAGATATGTGTAGCCTTTAATCAGTCCCTGCCCTACTTCATATGAACAGATAGCTGTAGTTTGTATCAGTCCCTGTTGTACCTGATGTGAACAGAAACATCATGCATCTTTCCCCACCTTATCTTATCTGACCAAATTAATCTTTATCATCCCTACGTTACCTCAAGTGAACAGTTAGATATCAGTCCAGACTATACCTCATCTGAACTAGGAAATTTTACCTCTAATACAGTAATAAAATTTGAAAGATAAACATAGTGACTGTATACCATTGATTGTAATAACTGATCACCTTTGTTACAGATGCAGTTCGACCTTTGGCCAGTCCTCTGCTGAATCAACAGCTGAACCAGATATGTCGAGAGATGACTGATCTTCTCAAGCAGAGTCCTCAGTGTCGCATGCCAATGAGTAAATTCATCCCCTCCTACCACCACTTTTTCGGGCGGCAGTGCCGTGTGGCCGACTATGGATACAGTCGTCTTAAAGACCTTTTTGAAGCCATTCCCCATATAGTTCAGGTATGTGTACTGGTGTTGGTAGTGAAACAGATATAATAAAACTACCCGAAAACTTTTACTTCTTTTGTATACTTAATGAACAACCTCTTAAAATGAGAACATCAAGCCTTTCTTATCAGAAAAAATCAGAAAGATGTTCTTACTAAACCATGAAGCTTTGAACTGTTGACCATAAAGGAAGTTATAATGTTAAGTACTATCAAATATTTATTATAAAGAAGCTTACCTTGAATGGTATCATTTTTTCTCTTTCAGGTGCTGGGTACAGGTGATAGGAAGCTATTGACACTGAGTCACAGAGCTCAGGGAAGACGCTTCACTGCTGACCTCACAAAGCTGCTCAAGATCCAGCCTGGCAAGAGGCTCAGTGTGAAGTCTCTTCCTGATGCCTGGAGTAAGTAGATGATGTTAGAATATTCAAACTGTTCTCCTCTCCTTAGAAGGGTTGATGAAGAATTTTTCATGAGCTAGATGTTGTTTTTTATCACCCACAAAATGTGTTTGTGAGGGATATTGGTTTGGGTTCCATTTGTCCGTGCATGGGTCCGTCTGTCCATCCATATGAGGGCTTTTTCCGGGCTTTAACGTCAGAACCTTTCAACTCAACTTCACAAAACTTGCTGTATATGTTAAGTTAGTGTCCTTGTGGTGCCTTTTGTTATTTACATTTTATTTTTTGTATTTCTGTTACCATGGAAACAGCCAAAAATCACAAAATTAGTGTTAACTTTCCTTGCTTGGCTTCAACTTCAAAACCATTCCACTCAACTCCACTTAGTTTTCTGTATATATTAGGTCAGTGTCCTAGTTAAATGATTTTTCTGTTACCATGGAAACAGATAACCACCATCACAAACTTCAGTTTTGTGGACCAGTGCTCTTCAATGTTGATGATAATTGCTCAAAACTTTTTATACTTTTTTAAGCCAGTATTATCTTTTGCTAAAGGGAAGTTTTCCATTTAAATACTTTGTTACCATGAAAAAAGGTAGGCCAGATCACAAAATTCAGTTTTTTCAGACCAGTTCTCTTAAACCGTTCAAGGTAATTACCTGGTACTCAAAACTTAATACAGGCATCAAGCTAGTACTCTTGACAAATATAATTATTCAATTCACAGATCAACATCACGGTTGCCATTTATTATCACTTGATGTTGAAACATTTTTCTATAACTTTCCTCATTATTTTAGGGATTGCTGCCCTGCTGAGATTTATTTTTATCAAATAATTTCAATGTGGAGACAATAATGGCCCCAAAAAGCCTGTTGTTTATGAAATAGGTCTTTTCTTGATGTGTAAGCCTAATTTTGATTTTGTATACTTTTTTCATCTAATGTATATCATTGATTAATTTTTTTTTTAAATCTGACTTTATCTTTCAGCTAAGTTTTACAACAAGGTGTGGGATATAACAGAATATGGCATGTCACACTTAGATGACCTGTTAACAGAGGTGCCTCCTACGACTGTTGTGGTAAGTTTACTGATGTAGTTTGACTTACAGAGAATAACTTTTCTAACATTGCTATAACTTTAGAAAGTCTTACCTGTTGATGATGGTCGCTTGTCTCACCATTGCTGGATTTATACACCTTTTGTACTATATATAATCCATTGAGCATTCCATCCACCATTTCACTTCTACTATAACCATATTTTTAAGAAGTATGATGAATATGAGGAGGTTCTACCTAGCTTACACTGTCCCAAACTATAAAAGTATACATTTGGCCTTTGAACCAAGATCTTGCCACCTGCATCATTTCTGTCAACTAAAGGCTTAACCTTATCCACATACATGTATGACGGGGTAGAGTCTGATTATTTTACATATAGATCATATGATTAAATATTTGTTACAGGTGATTGCTGAAGGGGGAGAAAATGTTATTGTGATACCTCGGAAAGGTTAGTAACATGTGTAAGTCATCTGTGATCTTGATGTGATAAAAATGCTTCAGACTCCTTAAATTCATGAAAGATAATGATGATAATTACATTACTAATCAAAATGGCTATGACTTTTCAAGAAATATTCAAAGAGTTGTCGTTGGAGAAACGAGAAGCCTTCAGTCGTATTATTGTATGTGAGTCTTACCTGGACAAAGGAATGGACAAGGGAAAATGTTTCCATCTGTATTTAATTTGAGGAGTTGTGTTTAGAAGTTTTAGACACGAGTTTTCTTTTCTTTAAACAATGAAAGCGGCTTTACAGTGTTAGAATGTATAAAAGGTTGTTTCCATAGGTAAAGATACAAATTACATGAAATGACTTTTATTAATCTAAATGACACAGGTAATTGGATGAGTGACAGAGCACCTGTAAGTTAAGACCTTGTGAAACACTTCATTTGATCCCTGATGTTTGTCGTTTTAGACCAGACTGCTGAAGAAGTTGAACGGACTCGTCAGTTCTCTTTAGAGGTTGTAGATCTCCTTCGTCACAACCCCCAGTGTCGCATGCCATTCAACAAATTTATTCCTGCCTACCACCATCATTTCGGTCGCCAGTGTCGTGTGTCTGACTATGGCTTCAGTAAACTCATGGACCTATTCGAGGCCATTCCACATGTAGTGGAGGTACTCAGTCATACATAATATTTATCATTTATATCTTTTGGGGGGTAAATGAATGTACAATAAGTGTTTGTTCTCCATTTCCCAATCAGTAAAATGACATTTACATGTTAAAGTTGATTTGGAATGACAACATAATATAGTAACAGCAAATTTAACATATGAGAGCATGAATCGGAGCATTTGACAAGACTGTCACTTGTACTTTCTGGCAAAATTCTTTGGATTACAAGAAACAGCAGAGTATTGTAAGTGTAAAATGATTATAAAATGATATATTACAGATGGAGGAGGATGGTGAAGAGAGGATGATTCACCTAACGGAGCCAGAACTGCGTAAGATTCTGGCAGAGCAGGTTGTGACATTGCTAAGATATCAGAAAAGTCAGTGTCTACCACTTCATCATCTCATGTCAACATTCACTTGTCACTATGGCTTCAACATCCCTCTTTATGACTTCAATGTTGAGTCTGAGGAGGAACTCATGAAAAAACTACGACATGTTGTCAAGGTAACCCCTTTATACTAAAAGTAATGTATTACATGAGTAGCCATAAATTATCAATAATAACTTAATGTATTGGATATTATTTTTGGTCTCTAAAAAGTTTTTCTTGGAGCCTGTCCATTTGTTCATCATAAACAAATTTGATAAAGAGTTTTAAGTAATATTTATAAAACTCAGTGGCATTTTTATGTAATTTTGAGATCATCGGGTTATATTTTTCAATTTTTCACCAATCTTTTAACAAAAATTATACAGCATGTGTTATTTATTTTACATACTGTTTGTTCAGGTCGAGATGGTGAACCGATGTAAGTATGTCATGTTGGTCAATAAAACAGAGATGCCTCGTCTTGCTCATCACATTCTGCAGCTCATGATGGACCAGAGTGGGGGTAGTCTCCCTTTAGTAGAGCTTGCTAGTCGCTACAAGTCACAGCATGGCCAGGATTGTGATATCAAACAGATCAAGGAAGAGTTGTTAGATTATGTACAGGTGAGGCATGAAAGGGGAGGTAGTCATATTTTCTTTATTTAGATCATATGAATTGACCCAGTTGATGCAGAGACAGTTGTTGGGATAAAATTTTGTGGTAGGATTGTAATATTCTCAAAACTATTTGTTAACCGGATATGGATCAAACATTTTGACGTCATCACAATCAGTTTGCTCCTAATATCTACTTACACTCACTAAGCCATACACACAAACATACATAATTCATTTAAAAAGTTTTTTGTTTTGATCAGATTTCGGGTGCCACGGAAAAATGCCAAGAAACAAGATATATCTAGGAAACAATTTTGTTAAGAATTAATTGATCACTTATATCAGTTTAAATCCAGATTTCGACAGGTGAAAAATATCAGGTAAACACATAATCATTTACCCTGTATAAATGATTAAAGGTGACTGGAGATGACGAGTCGGCAGTGATCAGTCTAACACCTGTTCAGGCGTTTGCCCGCGATGTCCGTCTTCTCCTCCATGAGCAAGGACGCTTGTACCTGACACAGTTTGAGAGAGTTTACAAGGAACGTTTCGGGGTGGAACTCAAACCTGCTTTGTTTGGATACCCAACAACTTTAGCCTTGCTGCAGACTATCCCATACATAGCCAATATCAGGGGCAAGGGGCCTCGCAAGTACTGTACGCTATCATCAGAGTTCAAAGGTGAGAGTTCAAACTATATGAACTGTTATAGGAGCAGTATAACATTTAACTTCTCAAGGACACTTATTGCCAGAGTTTAAGAAATAAAGGCATAGGGGTTGAGAAACCTACCTTTCAGAAGGAATGTGTAATATATATATGTTGGGTAATCAGTAGTTTCATGTTATTCAGTTACAAACCAGAATTCAAAAGTTACAAAAATAAGGGATGATTATCATTCAGCCATTGCAGAGCCTCTTTCAGATTCATTTTGTTTGTTTAGTGTTGATAACAAACTTTACAGCTTTTCTCAACTTAAGAAGTTTTGGTAAATCAAAGGTGATAGAGACTATTTTAGCTTAAATTTCTAAGATTGAATCAAATGTTTTAAGTGAAGGTTACTGATGTTGATAAAAACTTTTGTCTACCCAGCTGGCCTGCCTGCCTACAAGGAACAGGAGGGAATTAGAGAATATGTACATCGCTCCACTTCAGACACCCAGTCCAGTGATTCAGGGGTCACAGACAATAACCCAGAAGGTCAGATATATATTTGAATACTTATATTTTTATCTACCTTTATCAGTGATCCTGTACCTCCCCTGAAGTTAAGATCCTCTACCTACCCTGAAGATGAGATATATAGGATTCACTTAAATCAATGATCCTCTACCTACTCTGAAGGTTGAATTTTTTTTATTCACCTTTACCAGAGAACCAGTACCTACCCTGAAGGTTTGATTCACTCTCATCAATAATCATCTACCTACCTTGAATATACCTTTGATATAAGAAGGATCCATGTACATACATTTTAAGTCACCTGCTTAATTTTAGTTTATGTTGCAGAAGTGCACAGTCCTTAAAACTTTTGATTTTTGTTAGGGACATCACATTGCCGAGTGGTATGTTATCATATATTATACACTATGCCCTCTCTATTGATTAATTGAAGAAATAAACTTGTATACAAACGCGTTTGCAGGGGATATTAATTTTGGCTCCATGCGGACATGCATCCTTGCATATGTGTGAGGGATTTTATGGCTATATCTTCAAAACCGTTCAACTGAACTTCACAAAACTTATATATTAAGTTAGTGCCCCTAGTTGTGCCTTTTGCTATTGATAACATTTTTTTAAAATTTGTGTTACCATGGAAACACTGCCGAAAAAACACAACTTCAGAGCCACTCCACTCAACCCTCGAAAACATTCTGTATATATAAAGTTAGTACCCTAATTGTGCCTTTGACTGTTGATGACATTTTGTTATTTATATTTTTACAAATTTGACCCAAGTGACCTTGAAAAAGAGAAAACATCCATCAAAAAAATGGTAGCTCTTCATCCCCGCATGCCACAGGCCCAATATCAACACCCTAATCCTTTTGGTTATTGAGAAGTAGTTGTTTAAAGATTTTTACATATTTGGCACCTGTGACCTTGAAAGGTTGTCAAGGTCAATAATATCAACAAACTTGGTAGCCCTCCCTTTATCTCAGCAGGCTACAGGCCTGATTTCAGCACCCTTGGTCATTTTTGTTTTTTAGAGGAAGTTGTTTAAACATTTTAACACATTTAACACCTGTGAACTTGAAAGTGAGTCAAGGTAATTCATTTTAACAAATTGATAAGCCTTCATTCCACAGGCCCAATATCAGTCATTTGAATGGAAAGTTTACACATGGCAGAAGGTGCACAATGACAGGTGAAAACACGATTGCTGTAGGTCATCCTGACCTTTGGGTTAAGATGACCTGAATACCAAGTGTTCTGGAAGGGCAAACGGTTTCTGTTTCATCGATGACACCCACCATGCAAATTTTGGTCAGTCAATCCATTGGTCCCATGTATGAATTATATATTCCTACATAATGTCTTTTACAGGTTCATTCAGTATTGATATTTTGGTTGCAGATGATGAGCCCTGTGTTGAAAGTGATGCCAGACAATCACAGACAGAAAACCTCATGCCTAGTCATGAATCTGTGGAAAGGCCCATCTCTACAAAACCATTTGATCTACTCTCTGCCCCTGTACCATCAGCCATTCCTTCCCCAGACCTCAATCCAGAAGAACAGGTTCCAAACCTGATGACCTTTGAGACCCTTTCCACAGGTATTCACTTTATTCTTTGTTATAAGAGTGGTCTTAATCTAAAATTGAATTTCAGAGAATTTGACAGCACATTATATCCATATTACTGATAAAATACACCGAAATAATTTTTATGATGATGCATACATTTAGATAAGCATGATTGAAATGTTTGATATTGAATCTATGTTTGACTAGTAGTTCACTGGTACAGAATGATAGAAATGTAACCTTGACTTACTGTCATGGACAACAACATCATTTATGTTTATATTTACAGATATGCAGGAGAGAATTTGGACTCTGACGGAACACGAAAAACGAGGACAAAAAACACCATTGTGTCGAACACCAACCTCTGAGCTCCTGAACTTTGCTGCCCAGTGTCTGATCTCTCGTCCACCACCTCCAGCCTCTGGAGGGTCTACGCCAAGTCTGGATAGGTCTGCCACACCTCAACTCCTCAGGGCTGAGGGACAGGCAGATGTCACCAAGGGTGAGTTAGCTGATGATCAGAGTTGGTGGAAGGCTAGTGATTCACAACTTACAGAAATGATGCAAGTTTTCTCCAGACAGGAAACGCAGACCAGACAGGAAGTAGATGGAGCAGGCCCAGTGAGAGGTCTTGAGCCAGGGGAAGTGTGTTCTACTGAAACTATATCAATCCAGTCTGAAGCTTCATCTTCAGCAACTGGAAAAGTAGGAATTTCTTCTCCACAAGAAGATACAGCTACCAGCAAACTGAACCAGGACATCTCTAGTACAAGTAAGGTACAAACTAGTGGCAGGGAAGATTTCAGTCAAATTGATATGAAGTCAGAGTCTTGTCCAAATGCTCTCAATCCAGTGTCTGTTGCAGAATCTGCCACTCAAATGTCCACTACTCCGGCAGTTACTGATCAAGTATCTACTGCCTCAGAATCTTCAGGAGACTTGCCAGCTGTGACAGATAGTCCCAATAACCCAGTGTTGGTGTCAGTTACCTTAGCTACAAATGAAACTGATCGTAACACAGAGATAGAGACATCAGAAAACAAGAAAAATAAGGATACAATTATAAAACACAAAATTGTGTTGCCAAAATGTCCGCCAAAGGAAAAAACAATCAAATCGTTGACAGATACAACCAGCTACAACACCATATTTCGTCAAGAAGCACCCCTAGATACAAGTTCTGTAAAATCAGACACCAGCACCCTGAGTGATGTTTCTCAGGGATCGCCTCGTAAGTCCCCGCGTAAACAACGTATCGCAGCTCGCTTTGACAATCCAATGGAGCATTCCTCACCTCCTTAGATGTAGTGTATACAAAGCAGTATTTTGATAGCCTGTGACAGAGCTTGTGACCTGGTGCAGAATATGATAAAGGTTGTGTACATGTCTACATGTAACCTATATAAATGTTGTGCGAGTCGATACTGCTTAAATGCTTCATCTTCAGTGTAAAATGGACAATAGATAGGAAGACAGAAGAAAACCAAGTATTGACCCTGGAATAACTGAATTGTTTTTTTTCCTTCTGTTTAATCCGAAGAACTTGCAGTAGGTTACCACATTAAATTTGTCCTACTGCATTAGTACCTACACAATGGTATGGCGATGGAAGGGTTATGAAGTACATCATTATAAAATCTTACAATTTGTATGAAATAATGATTTTCTCTTGATATTTGTGATTTGTTTGAAAGTAACAAGTGTGTATCACGACATGTTTATATAATGGTCTAACATTGTGGTATGCTTTTGTAATACCAATCTGACTATATGCGTTTGTGCTTGATGATTTGATAAATTTATTGTATACTGACCAGTACAGTGGTTCAACTAATGCCATTTTTTCCATAACACTGCAGTTTGATTTTCTTGGGTATTTTATGGCATGACTTTGAGGGCTATTTTGTTTATTTTCTTACAAAAGGTTTCTTGAGCTTACATCACGGCTTGACAATATTTACTTGTCTTTTCATCCTTTATAGTCAAATTAAAAATTTTGTAATTAAACTGTACCTCAGAACCAAAATACTTTGACATAGAACTTTTCATATATTAGTAGAAAGTGATTAAATAAATAAATTCCGACCATCCCTCTGCCAAGTTAAAGTAGGGGGAAAAAAAGGCTTCAAACATATAAAACTTTAAATGACCATGAGACACAAGATAGTTCACACTTGAGAGTAGGGTCCAATTATAGAGCCATAACTACCCTAGTAATATTCTACTTTCTGATGAAAGTAAAAGTTTCAAATAGAGAAGTTGTTTTATCACTATCTAGTACATGTATTACACTACATCAGGTGAGTGTACATGTTCAGTGAAGCCCTTTCAATATACAGTAGAACTGTATAAGTTCAAATCCTTCTTCTTTCATATTTATCTATATATATTTATTTTTGCATAACTATATAAACCCCCCTCTTTATGATTATTCTTTGGCATTACTTTAACATGACTGTACAATTTCATGTGTACAAATTTAGCTTGCAGGTATAAATGTATTTGGAAAATTTCTTCTGCTTGATTTATGACATAAATTTTACTTAACAATCTTGATAACTTTCTCAAATCAAAGCAACAAATTTGCTACATTTACTGTACATCCCTTTAATTAGATGTAAGATCAAATAATGATACTGGTATGTCCATGTTATCAGTTCTACTAAGACTTGTATTCCAGACATTTGTGAACCTGTACCATAAAGTAGTTAGTATACAACAACTGATCAGGTGTGGTATAGGAAATGATTGATTACCAGTACCTATGTTAAGTAGGTAACAAGGTCGTAGGTCATTGATTTACCCAGGTATGATGGTTACTTTTTGATGAGTAAAAAGTGATATTTATCTGTTGTGTGTACATGATGAGATCTACCAAAGTAGGGTAGATAATGGCATTTACCTGTGGTACATTGAAATAAATTTTAGTGGATAAATAATCTGAGATACATAGGTTTTCAAATAATATTTACTTTGTACCTGTGGAAGGTAAGTGATCATTGCATTCACCTGTGGCAAAATATAAGTAAGATTTATTGTAAATACGAGATCTGTGAGGTGTGATTTACCTAAAGGTAGGTAAATTATAAGATTCATTTACAAATAGGATGTATTAATTTACCTGTATGTCAAGTTAGAAAGTCAGAAATTATACATTGGAAAAGTTTTCATGTATAAAATGAATTTACTTGGAGGGAGAAGGACTTGGTTTGTTTACCAACTGTAGATATTACAGAATATATATCATTATCTAGAGTATCAGTGTACTGGAAACTGGCTACACAAGTTGGTATGCTGGAGATAGCATGTCTTTGGTCGTAATCAGATACCATGTAGTGGTATGCTGGATATAGCAAGGCTGTGTTCTTTACAAATGGATACCATATATTGGTACTTACAAGGGGCGTGGGGCCAGGACTTCCAAGACTACCAAGTTTATTATTGCTCAATACAATATAAATTTGATAATATGGATGGTATACAATGGATACTTGTCATGAAATGTAAAGAGTGAAATACCAAGCTGTGGTACTTCAGTTAAAAGGATATCACTATAATGATATTGGAGAGCAGATACCATATTTTGGTACTTTGGGAATCCTCACAGAGCTGTCGCAGTATTGTGTATCATATCAGCTCTGGATTACCATGATTAGGTGGTAAATGTTTCGTACATCCAAGCACGACCTATAATCATCCTGAATTATTATAAGTTGGTTCAGTGGCATTTTTTAAAAATCTTTATCATGATGGTGACTAATAATTTAAAACTATTAAAGTTTTATTTTTGTCAATCGTAATTCTATTTTGGTTGCATATAACGATTTTCATCAGAAAAGAAGTACATGTATATATTTTGAGGGTGAATGAAGTCAAAATTGATATAAAGTAAAAAGTTGCCTTCATAATTCTTAATTGAAATTAAATATTCATGTATTTCATGGTAAATGTTGTTATGAAAAAGGTGAAGGAATGTAGAAGTCCTTTAATGTGTGTAACTGACCATGCTGGCACAGGCAAGGAGTCCTGTAGTCTGGTCAGTTAAGAGATGGAATCTTATGTGTTCTTATGCATTGTCTCCTGCTAGTCAACCAGAGAGTAATATGCACCATCTATCTGTTAGTCAGTCAAACAGTTCATCAGTCTTTCAAGCTTCTTGTACAAGGAATTCCACCAAATACAGCTCGTGGACATTTGTTTTTCATGTAACAAAATAATCAAGAGTTTAAATGTCGATATACATTATTTGTAGAGGTAAAGTTGCCCATTACAACAATTTATCATTGACCTAGATATATATGTTACTGCACTTAGGAGATCTCTAGTGTTCTTTTCACAGATTAAACTACATGCATGCTCAAATCTTGCACCAAATTTGTTGAATATATTTATTGAGGATAGGAATTATTTCCAAAATTAAAATCATTTGAGATGTTTCAAAATTTGTTTTTTATGTAAAGCATTGCTATAATGACTACAAAATACAAATTACCGGGTATTTGAGAGGATAATTTGCAAGAAAATACTCCAGAACCTATATTTATAGTTTTATAGGAATGGTAGAGGTAAAGTGAGCACTCCTTAGCTCCGGGAACACGAGATGTCTACAGGTTATAATACCGGGTACTTTTCATCATCTCGCTGGTATACATATATATTAAAATGCTTGTTTACAGGATATCAATAATTTTGCAAGATCCCATTGGAAGGTTATTGGTATTAATATTAAAACCTAGTTATACGGCAATTCGGGTTCAGCAGAATTTTGGTGCAGTAAAGGGTTCAGAGCATTAGAGGGAGATATTTGAAAAAGAAAGTACAGGAAAAGAATGTTGAAATTTGTGTTGGTGATAATTAATCAGGATGGCAAATGATACAAGTATGTGTATTGTTAAATAAAATGAATTGATGCGACATGCAATGTGACCAATTTATGTGTTTAGAAAATGCCTACATGCCTTAATGCCTAGCTTTAATACTTATAGCCGAAGCTTTCTGAAATGTTTCCAGATTTGAATTCCTAATCTACCATAATGAATTGGTACATATGTACTTCAGAGCGTTCTTTTCGGAGGATATGTAGATTACATTGGATCATAGTACTTACATAATTGTCACCGAAATGTTGGTGTATGGTGAAGTTCTGAGAACAATAAAAACTGGGCACAGAACATGTTGTTTATTTATAATTTCATTCCCCTTGTACCTGTAATAACAAACATTCAACCTTTAGTCTTGAGTGTATGTAATGTCTGTTTAGCCATCTTTAAAGTTTCTAACCTTGATGGTCCGTTGGATATTTGTATTACTATCATTGACAGTTTCTTCCATCATTTAAGTATGTCTCCTATTTTACCTGTTTAAGAATTCTCTGTCGACCTATACAGGGCGATTTTTCTGTCACCACCAAGGGTATGGCAGATAATGCATACTGTGACACCACTCAGAATAGGGTAGTGACAACATTTTATACAGTGTAACCATATCACAAATTGATGTCATTAATTGTTACTGAACTGATTCTATTTGTGTATGTGAGAAAAAAAATTGCACATAGGTCTGTTCCAAGTGTTGACCAACCAAACTATTACACATGGATGGGACATCCGTTATCCATAGCATAACAGCCTATGTAGGATTCTATTAGTCCAGCTTACAGGACACTACATCCACTTAAGACATAACTGTTTTCCACTTCCTGAACTTTTCTGTCTGCAGTGTCACTCTAAGCAGGATACAGGTCAATTTTTTGTTACTTGCCAAAAGGACTATACATCTTATAACTGACAAAATTTCTGCAAGAATATCATTCATATTCTCCAGGCTTAAACACAAATAAATATTGCTTAAATGAACCCCTATTGATAGTCTATTAAATATTACATAGCCTAAATATAATGAATTATTTGAAGAGAAAATTAGAAAGCTCAGGATAGTCCATTGTGTTTTATTACCATGGCCCTATATTGGGGTGTATACAGGCTAGGACAGCCTATCAAAGATCATACCATGGGCGCTATATTGGGGTGTATACAGGCTAGGACAGCCTATCAAAGATCATACCATGGGCGCTATATTGGGGTGTATACAGGCTAGGACAGCCTATCAAAGATCATACCATGGGCGCTATATTGGGGTGTATACAGGCTAGGACAGCCTATCAAAGATCATACCATGGGCGCTATATTGGGGTGTATACAGGCTAGGACAGCCTATCAAAGATCATACCATGGGCGCTATATTGGGGTGTATACAGGCTAGGACAGCCTATCAAAGATCATACCATGGGCGCTATATTGGGGTGTATACAGGCTAGGACAGCCTATCAAAGATCATACCATGGGCGCTATATTGGGGTGTATACAGGCTAGGACAGCCTATCAAAGATCATACCATGGGCGCTATATTGGGGTGTATACAGGCTAGGACAGCCTATCAAAGATCATACCATGGGCGCTATATTGGGGTGTATACAGGCTAGGACAGCCTATCAAAGATCATACCATGTGCCCTATATTGGAATGCATACAGGCTAGGACAGCCTATCAAAGATCATACCATGGGCGCTATATTGGGGTGTATACAGGCTAGGACAGCCTATCAAAGATCATACCATGTGCCCTATATTGGGGTGTATACAGGCCTTGACAGTCTATCACAGATCATACCATGGGCCCTATATTTGTGTGTATACAGGCTAGGACAGCCTATCAAAGATCATACCATGGGCCCTATATTGGGGTGTTTACAGGCTAGGACAGCCTATCAAAGATCATACCATGGGCCCTATATTGGGGTGTTTACAGGCTAGGACAGACTATCAAAGATCATACCATGGGCCATATATTGGGATGTATACAGGCTAGAACAGACTATCAAAGATCATACCATGTGCCCTATATTGGAATGCATACAGGCTAGGACAACCTATCAAAGATCATACCATGGGCCATATATTGGGGTTTACAGGCTAGGACAGCCTATCAAAGATCATACCATGTGCCCTATATTGTGGTGTATACAGGCTAGGACAGCCTATCAAAGATCATATCATGTGCCCTATATTGTGGTGTATACAGGCTAGGACAGCCTATCAAAGATCATACCATGTGCCCTATATTGTGTGTATACAGGCTAGGACAGCCTATCAAAGATCATACCATGTGCCCTATATTGTGGTGTATACAGGCCTTGACAGTCTATCACAGATCATACCATGGGCCCTATATTGTGGTGTATACAGGCTAGGACAGCCTATCAAAGATCATACCATGTGCCCTATATTGTGGTGTATACAGGCTAGGACAGCCTATCAAAGATCATATCATGTGCCCTATATTGTGGTGTATACAGGCTAGGACAGCCTATCAAAGATCATACCATGTGCCCTATATTGTGGTGTATACAGGCTAGGACAGCCTATCAAAGATCATACCATGTGCCCTATATTGTGGTGTATACAGGCTAGGACAGTCTATCACAGATCATACCATGGGCCCTATATTGTGGTGTATACAGGCTAGGACAGCCTATCAAAGATCATACCATGTGCCCTATATTGTGGTGTATACAGGCTAGGACAGCCTATCAAAGATCATACCATGTGCCCTATATTGTGGTGTATACAGGCTAGGACAGCCTATCAAAGATCATACCATGTGCCCTATATTGTGGTGTATACAGGCCTTGACAGTCTATCACAGATCATACCATGGGCCCTATATTGGGGTGTATACAGGCTAGGACAGCCTATCAAAGATCATACCATGTGCCCTATATTGGAATGCATACAGGCTAGGACAGCCTTTCAAAGATCATACCATGTGCCCTATATTGGGGTTTACAGGCTAGGACAGTTTATCAAAGATCATACCATTGGCCCTATATTGGGGCGTATACAGGCTAGGACAGCCTATCAAAGATCATACCATGTGCCCTATATTGGAATGCATACAGGCTAGGACAGCCTTTCAAAGATCATACCATGTGCCCTATATTGGGGTTTACAGGCTAGGACAGTCTATCAAAGATCATACCATGGGCCCTATATTGGAATGCATACAGGCTAGGACAGCCTTTCAAAGATCATACCATGGGCCCTATATTGGAATGCATACAGGCTAGGACAGCTTATCAAAGATCATACCATGGGCCCTATATTGGGGTTTACAGGCTAGGACAGTCTATCAAAGATCATACCATGGGCCCTATATTGGGGTGTATACAGGCTAGGACAGCCTATCAAAGATCATACCATGTGCCCTATATTGGGGTTTACAGGCTAGGACAGTCTATCAAAGATCATACCATGGGCCCTATATTGTGTGTATACAGGCTAGGACAGCCTATCAAAGATCATACCATGGGCCCTATATTGGGGTTTACAGGCTAGGACAGTCTATCAAAGATCATACCATGGGCCCTATATTGGGGTTTACAGGCTAGGACAGTCTATCAAAGATCATACCATGGGCCCTATATTGGGGTGTATACAGGCTAGGACAGCCTATCAAAGATCATACCATGTGCCCTATATTGGTGTGTATACAGGCTAGGACAGCCTGTCAAAGATCATACCATGTGCCCTATATTGGTGTGTATACAGGCTAGGACAGCCTATCAAAGATCATACCATGTGCAGACCAGGACAGCCTATCAAAGCTCACACCATGGGCCCTATATTGGGATGTAGACAGGCCAAGAGAATTTGTCACAGTTTATATTGTGTATGATACCCATTATTAGTGTTCATACTGTTAACACCTTGTTGGAAAACACTTGTAAATCACAGCCTTAATCCAAGTTGTACATTGCCTAAAGGCAAAATCATGTTGTGTGACGTGTCTATTTTTAATTGTCTTGTGGTCACATTGTCATCTTCATCAAAATATCCAATGGTGTAAAGAATGGTTCGGACAACGTTAGGTTGTAACAAGTTTGAAATAATGAAATTGTATAACATCTAAAATCCCAAACTGAATTGACAGAGACCCTGTATTAATTCTTCATCCATCAGAAATTTACACACTCCTCCAGGCTGAGAAAGTCTCATTTCCAGTGAAAGGAATTTACACCCTCCTCCAGGCTGAGAAAGTCTCATTTCCACTGAAAGCAATTCACATCTCCCTCCAGGCTGAGAAAGTCTCATTTCCACTGAAAGGAATTCACATCTCCCTCCAGGTTGAGAAAGTCTCATTTCCACTGAAACCAATTCACATCCAGGTTGAGAAAGTCTCATTTCCACTGAAAGGAATTCACATCTCCCTCCAGGTTGAGAAAGTCTCATTTCCACTGAAAGGAATTCACATCTCCCTCCAGGTTGAGAAAGTCTCATTTCCAGTGAAAGCAATTCACATCTTCCTCCAGGTTGAGAAAGTCTCATTTCTAGTGAAAGCAATTCACATCTTCCTCCAGGCTGAGAAAGTCTCATTTCCAGTGAAAGGAATTCACATCTCCCTCCAGGCTGAGAAATTCTCATTTCAGGTGAAAGAAATCCACATCTATTTTGAGGGTGAGAGATTCTCAGTTGAAGTGAAAGAAATCCACACCTTCCTTCAGGTTAAGAGATTTTATATTCTCCTCTAGTTTTCCTTCAGTCATATCCTACAACACAAAAACAACAGATTTCCTTCAGTCATATCCTACATTTATTTACTAAATGCTTTGTAAAATATGTGAAGAAACAAGACATTTCCATTCCTTGATACTTAAATACTTTAAGTTACTAATGAATGTATTTTACATAAAATAATTATTTAATTGCTCTTTAAATGGTACCATTTAAACCCACAATTATTTAAATGCTTTGTAAAATTCCCTGTAGTTTTTTGATATCTGAAAATGAGTACCATATCTTGAAAGATACATTGAGACGAAACCAGGCACCACATGCAAAACCTTGATGAAGTACACTGTAATGTCATAATACATGTACAATAATCAGATTTTGAGTCATTTTAACATACCATTTTAACATACCATTTTAACATACCATTTTAACATACCATTTTAACATACCATTTTAACATACCATTTTGACACAGATGAGAAAGGGTTTGGTAGCTTTGCTGAAGTGCTTGATTGGAACGGTGGGCTTTGGCTTCTCCTGTCAAGAACAAACAGAAGTTGCTAAGGAAGAGGAATTTTGTGTTAAATGGATCATGATCTTTCAAGGAAATATCTAACATATATGAGCAAGGACCAAACACCCATCCAATATTAGCACTTAAAATAACTAGTAGATAATCAAAGTCGACAAAGATTAGAAAATATCCACCAGATGTCCATGTTAATACAATTAGAAAATGTCTGTAGATATCCAATGTCAATAAAGTTTAACAAATGTCAGTAGATGTTTAACAAATGTCAGTAGATGTTTAACAAATGTCAGTAGATGTTTAACAAATGTCAGTAGATGTTTAACAAATGTCAGTAGATGTTTAACAAATGTCAGTAGATGTTTAACAAATGTCAGTAGATGTTTAACAAATGTCAGTAGATGTTTAACAAATGTCAGTAGATGTTATGACAATATAGTTTAACAAATGTCAGTAGATGTTTAACAAATGTCAGTAGATGTTTAACAAATGTCAGTAGATGTTTAACAAATGTCAGTAGATGTTTAACAAATGTCAGTAGATGTTTAACAAATGTCAGTAGATGTTATGACAATATAGTTTAACAAATGTCAGTAGATGTTTAACAAATGTCAGTAGATGTTTAACAAATGTCAGTAGATGTTTAACAAATGTCAGTAGATGTTTAACAAATGTCAGTAGATGTTTAACAAATGTCAGTAGATGTTATGACAATATAGTTTAACAAATGTCAGTAGATGTTTAACAAATGTCAGTAGATGTTTAACAAATGTCAGTAGATGTTTAACAAATGTCAGTAGAAGTTATGACAATATAGTTTAACAAATGTCAGTAGATGTTTAACAAATGTCAGTAGATGTTTAACAAATGTCAGTAGATGTTTAACAAATGTCAGTAGATGTTTAACAAATGTCAGTAGATGTTTAACAAATGTCAGTAGATGTTTAACAAATGTCAGTAGATGTTATGACAATAGAGTTTAACAAATGTCAAGTATATATCAAACATTAATATAGTTTATCAAATGTCCTATAGATATTGGATTTCAATACAAATCAGCACCAATGATGCACTCATGAATGATCCACAATATCTTGAACACATACAAAACATAACCCGTTATTAGCACTGAACCTTTGATTCCTCAAAGATGTAAACTCCTTTCTTGATCTTCTTCTCATCAACATCACAGAACATGGCTACCTGGAAAAACAAACTAACGATGAGCATCACAACATCATACTTCCCTGTAGAAAATGTGATCAGATATCAATATGACTGTAAAGATGAAACTGGCCTTAGATACAAATGTCTACACAATGACTATTGTTGAATGCCATAATAAGTAGAGACAGGTATGATCTTGAGATGTAATGTTAAGTCTACACAACAAGTAAAATCATTTGACCTATCCCCACATACACTCTGTACATTCTGGTACTTATACATATCTCTAAAACCTGTACATGATGTGTAATATGTACTTCATACAATCCTCTGATGTGTGTAATACTTCTGTCATTGGATGAATCCCTTACACCAGATATCAACTGGTTATTTCCAGTTCAACCTGTTAATATCAGAAAACACGCTAATATCAGGTACTGCTCAAAATATAATCTGGAAATACCCTTATATCTGGACTCCTATTACCGCAATTACGACCTGAAATGGTGGAGTCAGATGATGTATTTGCTTCTCCAGCATGGAAAAAGAAAATGCACTTTGCCTCCTTGGAGGAGAAAAATGTGGAAAAGATATTAATAAAAAAGGTTTTGGTAAACACCAGGCATGCCACTGATTCATCGGTAAAGATATTTGAAGAATGTTTAAGTGAAAAGGCATGCAGGAAGACTTTGAACGTTTGAACTACTGCCAAGCTAGACAAGATTATAATTTAGTTAATACTTTTGATGATGGTGAGGTTAATGACATTATGAGATCCCATCCAGACCCAGAGATGTCACTATCTACTTACCTACGTGTCTCTGTAGTTGCAAATGTCTCTGCCATACAGGCTTCAGGACATAATTTCCCACATAATTTCCCAACAATAATTGCACAAATGTGCCATGTAATTAATTACCATATGTACTAGAATTGAATTTATAAACCAGGCTTTTGTTATTTAGAATATTCTGTTACGAAATAAAAAATTATGAGGATATATGACATTGTCTTGAGTTCAGATGCATCTTTCTTGATTATATAATAGAAAAGTTACACACTTTTTACTTGGTTATCATGCTGTGGTATTGACCAGTAGAAAACTGATACTGACTGAGGTGAAGCTGATATCACAGCATATTTAACAAGTAAAAAGAATTGTATATCATTATATCAATGTGACTGAGGTGAAGCTGATATCACAGCATATTTAACAAGTAAAAAGAATTGTATATCATTATATCAATGTGACTGAGGTGAAGCTGATATCATGGCATATTTAACAAGTAAAAAGAATTGTATATCATTATATCGATGTATCAGTGTTTCTGTCTATTATATCATTGTTTGATATTGTGTCGTATGTCAACCTCTTCGTGAACATGGCATTGTGTGTGAGTAAAGAATCTTAAATAACATAAGTAAGTGTGATGATTCATCGAGCTATGTTGATACAGCCTGTGATTCCTTACTGTTACCATGACTATCATAAATATAACAACCAAATCCAAATGTCCTAACAAGGCCAGATGACCTTAACATCAAGGTCAGTACACATTGTCTAACCTTTTTCTGATTTTCCTTAGATAAGCTGCGGTACAACTTGCGGCCTTGCTTGCCTGCGTTCCAGATAGTAAATGAAGACCACTTGTTAATGACCTGGTCTTGAATGGCTCCCATACGGTGTGTCCAGATTGTATCTCTGTATCACAAAAAAGTAATTGGCAACAGGACATGGAATGATATCTGTACAGATACATCAAGGGCTGAAAACATATGTCCATGATATGTCTGACATATACATGCACACACACACTAATGTACACACAGTAAGACAATTTCTGCTGTCAAGCTCATCATCCTTTGGATTGCAGCATCCCTAAAACAATTTTAGATGACAACTGACAAAAAATATGGCTCCGTATTATCATCCATGAATTCAAAATATTTATCTGTAGGAGGACTGCTTGATAAGTTGTGAGCTTCATGTTAAAGGGTTTAACTTTTCGAGGACACATTTTTCAACATAATTCCACTCAGTATCTATACACTTTTGACAGCGATGTTTAAGGGCCTCAATGCCATATTTAAAGAAGTCCCTTTCTTGACGATTCAGAAAGTCCTTCACCTCATGTACATTGTATAACAGCATCATCTGACTGAAAGTGGATCGGAAATGTCATTTTTCAATTTTGGGATAGAAGAAAGTCTGATGGAGCAAAATCAGACGAATATGGCAGATGCTCAATCAATTCAAAGCCACAGTCGTTAATGACAGCTACAGCAATGACAGACTTGTGAACAGGGGCATCATCCTGGTGGAACAACATAGTCTTAACTGCCTAAGTGATGCATAATATGTGCCATTGATTTATTGTCCCTTTTGCAGACAATCTACAATCAGAATACCGTCAGCATCCAAGAAAACCGAGGCAATAATCTTTCCAGTTTATGGAACAGCCTTTGCCTTCTTTGGTGGGGTGAAACAGGGTGCTTCCATTGTTTAGACTGTTGTTTGACCTCTGGGGTGAAATGATGGACCCACATTTCATCCATAGTCACAAACCTCTGCAGAAAGATAGCAGGATCTGCCTCTAAAAGGTTCAGATTAGCACAAAACAAAGTCCACCTGATGTACTTCTGATCTACTGTACATGTCAGAAGTTTTGGTACCCAACGGGCTGAGAACTTTCTCATTACAAGATCTTCAGTAGGAATGGAATGTACTCTTTCCTGTGAAATACTAGCTGTGCTGGCTATATATCTCTGTAACTTTCCTGTCAGCCACAACAGTATCGTGGACTTAATTGGCCATTTCTGAGGTTGCAACAGCAAGCTTTCCATGATGGGCGTCATCCCCAAGGCTTTGCCTGCCACACCTAAGTTCCACTACCCACTTTTACTATAGCATATGAAGGGGCATCATTCCCTAGTGTTGCTGCCATATCAGTATAGATATCCTTAGGTGTTAGACCTTCCTTATACAAATATTGAATCACTGATCTTTGAGTGATTTTGTCCACTTTGCAAAAGTCATTTGCCTTGTTTCCTTTAGAGTGCTACCTCTTCAACATAAAGTGACCAAATGACACCAGTCTTCGGGCAGCCTTAATAGCCAGGGAATAGTAGATCTGAATCCATGCTCAACTTCTTCAATACAAGGCTCACAGCTTATCAATTATCCCTTGTATGTGTTGAATTTACCACATCAATTATCAAGTAAAACTTAAAAGGCAGATCAAAGATGAAAAAAGAACTTTTGTGTAATATTTGAAAATCAGCTGACATACGTGTGGACTGAGAAGGTAGTAGCTTGTGGGTGGTATCTATACATAACAAGGTCCTCATCAACACGAAACAGACCACCGCCCAACTCAAGGTGACGATAGAAAAATATCAGATCTTCTGGTACTCCCTGGAAAATACAGAAACAACACCTGGACATTCACTTGACCTTTCAGTATAAAGAAACAAGAGGCTCAATAGGCTTGCATTGTTCACTAGGTATTCAGCATTTTTCTCATGAATATTACTTGGTAACAAAGTAATACATAATTGTAATTGACAGCACTCTATCATTTCTTCTTTACAGTTGTTTAATTTTGTGGGGCTAATTTTTTGTAGTTGTGCCAGTTTGATGAACTAGTCATATAAAATATTTTCTGACATTCTCATTTATTGTAGAAATGATGGGTGGGTATTCAATTTTGCAGTATCTTTGTGATTATAATGGTTTTAAAATGCCCTCAAATATTACCAACTATACAGTATTTGAAGAAATTGTGAGACTAGTAACGACTTGTATCACAGACTTAACATAATTTGTCTACAGCTGATGGATGCTCTCTTCAATAATTACAATATATAAGCAGGTAAAGCAGTTGGAGTCCTTAATAAATTTGACTCCTGTGACCTGGAACATAGTCAAGGTCATCATCTTTCATTTAGCTACTCAAGCTTTATCCAGGGAACCTACAAGTTACATGATTCTAGTCCATTCACTTCAATTCAACAAGTTTGATATCTGTGATCTTGAATATAGATAATTTCTTTCGAATTTTGTTGGGATTTATCCCAGGTAGCTATAGACCAAATATCATCATTCTAGGTCACCTGGTTGATCAGAAGTCTTTCAAGTGTTATAGCAAATATGATGACTGCAACTTTGAATATGAACCAAGGTCAAATTCATTTGGCAAACTTTATTAACCTACTGCCAGGTACCAATAAGTTTACTACCATGATTTTAGGTCTTTCACTTTTGAGCATTTTGATAAATTTTATCCCTGCAACAATTAATATATGTCAAGGTCATTTCTTCTCACAAAGGTTGTTGCACTTTATCCTGGGAAATTACCAGCCAAACATGGTTACAGAAGTCATTTAAAGGAACAAATTGAAGCTGGATTGACAAATTTAATTATAACTGTAACCAGCTGTAGTTAGTGAACACTTAAATTACTTTAACCATCAATAACCTTCAATTTTTTTACCCAGGGCCATGTACCATTTGTTTATTATTCACATAGATTGTCTTCATCATTTCATTGACATTTCACTTCAGTTACAGCTTGTTTTATAGAATTAGATATAAGTTGTATCATAATACGAACTTACCTTTCCTCCCTCATCAAACCCCCCAACTTTGTTGTAAACATCCCTGGAGCAGAACCAGGTTGGCATCAGCACGGTTGGTCCATGAGAGGTATAAATCTAGTAACAGTCAGTGACATGTAGAGTATTGACCATATAGTACTGATATTACTTAATATATGTAGACACATCCAAATTTCAGCAATTTGTCCAAAAACCTTGCAAGACCCTCTTAAAATGAAAATCAGATTGGCCTAGTGGATAAAGCATATGGGGTATAGGGAAATGAAAAAAAAAACAGAGTGTATTACACAGACAGAAATTAAACAATTCTATTAGTTCAGGTAAGATAGTTTCTTCATATCACCTACTGTTGTAAGTTCTTCACAGACAGATTTCAGGGGTACAGCAGAGATGTTAATAATACAGCTGACAAAATTTCATTAAAGGGACTGCTATCAGCTAACTTGAATAAACCTCATCCAATATAACTGTTGTTTACTTGGGAAATTAGGAAATCTTTAACTTCATTTATTGACAACATCCATCATATATCCCCATCAGAATTAGAAATCAAAGACATGACAGACTCTTCTGCAACAGCTGCTTATCTTGATCTTGTCCTATAATGAAAGCAATATTGACAGCTTTCCACCAAGCTGTATGATAAACATGATGATTTCAATTTCCCTATTGTGAATTTTCAATTTCTGGATAGCAATATCCCTGCATTTCCAACCTATGTATTTGCATGTCATAGTTAATTCAATATTCAAGGACCTATTCCAATTACCATGATTTTCGTGCAAGAAGTTTTCAACTGACTGGCGAATATGTAACACAGGGGTTCAAAAGATGCAGGTTGAGGAAAATTATGGGGAATTTTTATGGTCACCATAGTGATCTCATTGAGAAAAATTTTATTTCTTTGTGTGATATGAAGCTGAACCTATCGGATGCTTGTTTGTTTGCCTGTTGGTTCTGTTGTTGTAAACGTTGTCCTCATTTGAGGATGTGACGTTACTTCCTTGGATTGACCAAGATTTACATGTCGGGTGTCGTCAATGAAGTAGAAGATGCTTACTCTTCCGGAACACCTGGTCTTATTCTCCTTGTGCTTTTTCAAGAGTCCATGTGTAAATCTTTCTTTTGTTCATGATTTGCTCTAGTTTTATGGAATTTGAGCTTGGATTATGATTATGTTGCCATGTGGGTATTTCCTTGATGTTCTGTTTTTTTACATCACAAATAACAAACCTAAACAAACTACATATCTTCTCAGTGGGAAGTACACATTTGAATGTATATCTCTTCTAACTAAAGCTGTTTTACCATGAGACAGATGGGTATATACCTGTGTATAGAGTTGTTCCTGAGATATAGTGTTGGCCCATCTTGTGTAACGTTCAGTGGACCCCTCAGGTAAGCGATGAAACTTAGATCCTACAATCTACAATGCATATACCAATAAGACTGTGAGTGCTGATAATATCCATGCATTGTATTATCAATCTAATCAGTATACTCACTTACTCTGGTTACCAATGAAAGACAAATATTTTAGTCCAAGCTCAGTTTTTAATTATTTACAACATACTTTTCATATATGTTCTGATAGGCAGCGAAGTATAGTTTCTAAATATCTTTTGAGAATTCATATAAATTAAAATAATTTAGACAAGAGATTTCATGAAATTTATGAATCAATTCTATGGAATTTTCACAAAGCAAGTCTTTCTTGAGATGTCATTCCAATTTAAGACTAATTGATCTCATGACATGGAAACAAATAAGATTTACAATAACTCTGCACAGAGTAGTTATATAATAAACAGTGACTTTTACTTACACATTTGGGGTGGCTGAGGGCTGCCTGATACTGGCGTGCTACCCGTTCCTTATGCATTACATCATCCTGTTTGAAATTTTAAGAAAAGAGATTCTCAATATTCATACATTATTTCAGTTGCTGCATTGGGCAACATCTAAGTTTATTCCTGAAAAGATGAAGTTATTTGCAAAATCAATATCAAAAATAAATTTTGTAACCTGATATATATTACACTTTGCTGAATTTGGAAACTTTCAGACAATTTGTCAACATTCATCAATTATCCTAATCATGTAACAGATTTCAGATATTAAAGAGATCATAATTATGTAACCGATTCTAATTACTTCCAGGATGACAGAAACTAGAAAGAAAGATCAAAGTATGTATTGAGATGAGAAATGATACAAGCTAGAATCCTATGTTTTCCCTAGTACATGTATTCAATTTTTTTCTTGCCTACAAGCATGTACTACAGATAGACATTTTCTGAATTTAAACAACTCACAGCATCCAGGAAGCAGAGGAATCGTCCAGAGCTGGCTTGTACTGCCTTGTTCTTAGCAAATCCAACTGTAACACAGGAAAACAGAATTACAGTATTAATATTAACGTCAAAAATCAATGTTTTCATGGTTACACCCTTCCATTTGACTCAATGAAATATTCCAACTATCTATTATTAGGACTAGGTGACTCATACTTTTGTAACACAGTTTTTATTAATTTCAATGCCTCTCCTAGGATTCAAACTGGGACCTCTGGCTCTTCAGTCTTACACTCAGCCGATGGAAGAATACAGACAATCTCTAAAGCTGACCTTGGGCATGTGAGAGAGGTCATCATTTATTTCAATGCATTCACTGGGATTTGAACCCACAACCTCTAGCATTGTAGTCTGATGCTCAACTGATCCAGCCAAAGAAAAGTTTCTATTTGAGCAGTATATTGTGGCTAGTATTTACCAGGTTTATACATATTCTTCTTCCTAAATAAAGCAACACTTTGATGTCAGAAAGCACAAATATACTGTGTAGGTTAACATGTGATTTAGTGGACATACATGTGCAAAATGTAGATGTGTGGAGCACATGTACCAGCATTTATTATTTATATTCATATTATAGAGTACAATGAATGAAAAAAAATAGTCAAATGTATGAATTTATAATAAAATCAAATATTCAGAGAGAACTGATAAAGTTCATTTTGTAATTCAATGTTTTTGTTCTATTCACACTGAAATAAACAATGTCCTCCTATTTTCTGTAAACATTGTAATCTAGCATAATATACAGTCACAAGACCACAGAATATAATTTAATTCTTTAGCACCAACCTGATTTCCAATGGCATTACATTGAAATTTTCCAAAAAGAGATTTCAAGCTTTGTTTCCATGTCCTGTATAGGACTGTCATTAGTCATTTAATGAAGCATATTAAGTCTGTACAATGTACATATAGCAATGGAATAACATTCGCTTCTACAATTTTAAAGTTAACATGATATAATAATTTCACACACATACAAAACTAAGGGTGACTAGTAACAGAGTTATGTGTTAGATACTCAGTGATGTCCTTACCTCCCCTAGGTGAGTCAGATGTATTTTCTGAGATTGTGACATGGACATCTTTTTTCTTGAGAATGTCAGCCCATTCCTGGACACGTTCCATGGACTTATCCTGGAAAATATGAACAGGTGTAAACTATAGTACTACATAATGGCTGCTAACTTACTACCATCAATATATGTATATCATTACGGTATGTCAACAAATTAAAACAAAAGAAATATATGAAATTTAAGTGACAATAAAAGCTCTAACATTGATCTGTTGGAAGGCCTAGGAGTTACCACACCAGAACCATACTTACAGCTCTAACATTGACCTGATGGCAGGCCTAGGAGTTACCACACCAGAACCATATTTACAGCTCTAACATTGATCTGATGGAAGGCCTAGAGTAACTACACCAGAACCATACTTACAGCTCTAACATTGATCTGATGGCAGGCCTAGGAGTAACCACACCAGAACCATACTTACAGCCCTAACATTGATCTGATGGAAGGCCTAGGAGTAACCACACCAGAACCATACTTACAGCTCTAACATTGATCTGATAGAAGGCCTAGAGTAACCACACCAGAACCATACTTACAGCCCTAACATTGATCTGATGGAAGGCCTAGGAGTTACCACACCAGAACCATACTTACAGCTCTAACATTGATCTGATGGCAGGCCTAGGAGTAACCACACCAGGACCATACTTACAGCCCTAACATTGATCTGATGGAAGGCCTAGGAGTAACCACACCAGAACCATACTTACAGCCCTAACATTGATCTGATGGAAGGCCTAGGAGTAACCACACCAGAACCATACTTACAGCTCTAACATTGATCTGATGGAAGACCTAGAGTAACCACACCAGAACCATACTTACACCTCTAACATTGATCTGATGGAAGGCCTAGGAGTTACCACACCAGAACCATACTTACAGCTCTAACATTGATTTGATGGAAGGCCTAGGAGTAACCACACCAGAACCATACTAACACCTCTAACATTTATCTGATGGAAGGCCTAGGAGTAACCACACCAGAACCATACTAACACCTCTAACATTTATCTGATGGAAGGCCTAGGAGTAAGCACACCAGAACCATACTTACAGCTCTAACATTGATCTGATGGAAGGCCTAGGAGTAACCACACCAGAACCATACTTACAGCTCTAACATTGATCTGATGGAAGGCCTAGGAGTAACCACACCAGAACCATACTTACAGCTCTAACATTGATCTGATGGAAGGCCTAGAGTAACCACACCAGAACCATACTAACACCTCTAACATTTATCTGATAGAAGGCCTAGGAGTAACCACACCAGAACCATACTTACAGCTCTAACATTGATCTGATGGAAGGCCTAGGAGTAACCACACCAGAACCATACTTACACCTCTAACATTGATCTGATGGAAGGCCTAGGAGTAACCACACCAGAACCATATTTACACCTCTAACATTGATCTGATTGAAGGCCTAGGAGTAACCACACCAGAACCATACTTACACCTCTAACATTGATCTGATGGAAGGCCTAGGAGTAACCACACCAGAACCACACTCACAGCTCTAACATTGATCTGATGGAAGGCCTAGAGTAACCACACCAGAACCATACTTACAGCTCTAACATTGATCTGATGGAAGGCCTAGAGTAACCACACCAGAACCATACTTACAGCTCTAACATTGATCTGATGGAAGGCCTAGGAGTAACCACACCAGAACCACACTCACAGCTCTAACATTGATCTGATGGAAGGCCTAGGAGTTACTTACAGCTCTAACATTGATCTGATGGCAGGCCTAGGAGTAACCACACCAGAACCATACTTACAGCTCTAACATTGATCTGATGGAAGGCCTAGAGTAACCACACCAGAACCATACTTACACCTCTAACATTGATCTGATGGAAGGCCTAGGAGTAACCACACCAGAACCATACTTACAGCTCTAACATTTATCTGATGGAAGGCCTAGGAGTAACCACACCAGAACCATACTTACAGCTCTAACATTGATCTGATGGAAGGCCTAGTAGTTACCACACCAGAACCATACTTACAGCTCTAACATTTATTTGATGGAAGGCCTAGAGTAACCACACCAGAACCATACTTACAGCTCTAACATTGATCTGATGGAAGGCCTAGAGTAACTACACCAGAACCATACTTATAGCTCTAACATTTATCTGATGGAAGGCCTAGGAGTAACCACACCAGAACCATACTTACAGCTCTAACATTGATCTGATGGAAGGCCTAGAGTAACCACACCAGAACCATACTAACAGCTCTAACATTTATCTGATGGAAGACCTAGAGTAACCACACCAGAACCATACTAACACCTCTAACATTTATCTGATGGAAGGCCTAGCTAGTAGTTACCAAACCCTAACCATACTTACTGTACTGGCATCATTGTAGACTGACAGCTCCAGACTACCCTGGAACTCCTGGTTACATACAGATTGAAGAGATTCTGCCAGCCACTGGTCTCCATTGTACACAGGCATCACAACAGACTGTCAAAACCAGAAATACATAATATGTTTTACTTAGACCAGGAATAGTTTATAACATTATCAAAGTCATTTCAGCTGTTTAAAGTTCTAATACTTAACATCTTCCTGATCAAAACTCCTAGTTTTAAAAATGAAGAAAACAGCAGTGTTTCTTCCTGAACAAAACTCAAAGTGTATACCAGACCTGGGGCCTGTAGTTCATCTACATGTAGTATGAAGTGTTAACCTGGGGCCTGTACCCCTTCTACATGTAGTATGAAGTGTTAACCTGAGGTCTGTACCCCTTCTACATGTACATTGTAGTATGAAGTGTTAACCTGAGGTCTGTACCCCTTCTACATGTACTATGAAGTGTTAACCTGGGGCCTGTACCCCTTCTACATGTAGTATGAAGTGTTAACCTGAGGCCTGTACCCCTTCTACATGTAGTATGAAGTGTTAACCTGAGGTCTGTACCCCTTCTACATGTACTGTACCCCTTCTACATGTAGTATGAAGTGTTAACCTGAGGTCTGTACCCCTTCTACATGTACTATGAAGTGTTAACCTGAGGTCTGTACCCCTTCTACATGTACTATGAAGTGTTAACCTGGGGCCTGTACCCCTTCTACATGTACATTGTAGTATGAAGTGTTAACCTGAGGCCTGTACCCCTTCTACATGTAGTATGAAGTGTCAACCTGAGGCCTGTACCCCTTCTACATGTAGTATGAAGTGTTAACCTGGGGCCTGTACCCCTTCTACATGTAGTATGAAGTGTTAACCTGGGGTCTGTACTCCTTCTACATGTAGTATGAAGTGGATACCAGGCCTGTACCCCTTCTACATGTAGTATGAAGTTTTAACTCCTTTTATAGCAGTAATGATCCTTCAGACTATACCCTTTCCCTTTCCTTATCATCTTAGAATATCACCACTCCCCATCTGCCTGTCTCTGAACACTTCATGAATCCACTGACTCATCCTACTTGTCACCACTGAAGAGACACAACACATCAATATCAACCTCGTAATATTAGGTATACTCTATGGACACACATACATCGAAAGTTTAATATTTGAAATACCTGGGGTGATGATATTTTAGTAGGCACACATATTTCATAAACAGATCAATGTATAGCATCAGTTTTCTGAGATGTACATATAGAAGGTCTTAGTCTGCTTCACTACATAGGCGAGTCATACGCAACGTGTTGAATCTCTAATATTTAATTTTTTAATTAAATTTCAAAACACATCTACATATTATTGTTAACAAGGCAGATAGTACAGTTGTACTGAAAAGAAGACCGCTTGTTCATCTTTATGAGTCAATGTTCAGATTATTGTTCAAAGCCATTGTAAGACCACACCATGAGTATGCAGTAAGTAAGTGTATGGAGTCCATCTGGAGTTGCTGATATCACACTGATTGAGAAAGTACAGAAGAAGGCTACAAAAATAATCCCTGGACTTAAGAATGAGGAACGCCTGAAGAGATTAAATTTCTTAACACTTCAACATCACAGAATCAGTGAGGATATCGTTAATGTTTTCAGAAGAGTGAAACAAATTTATGATTATAGAGTAACAGAAAACTTTTTTCCAAATGGACACCTGAAGTAAAAGGAGGGATCATTTAGAAAAGATTCGTAAAAAAACCCAAAACGTTGTAACCTCAATATCAGAAGAAATTTCTACAGTCACAGAAAAGTAGATATATGGAACAATTCATCGACACATATCATCGGTGTTTACCATTTCGAAGTATTGTTTGATGAACACTGGAAAAATAGTCGTTGCTACATTGTATGTTTAAATTCTAATTTAACAGTTGGTTCTGCATAGCTATGTACATATATTGTACCGGATGGTGTAAATTTCCTCACTGTTTATATATTGCTTATATGGATATAGTGGCTTTCAGCTTGCATTCATTAATTTTCCTTAAAAATCCTACTAATATAACTGTACTAAATACCATACCACGTCTATCGCCATTTTCCGGGAACACATGTTGCACATCAATGCCACCAAACGCGTGGTTCTCGTACACGTCTCAGGAACTGCCAATCGTAGACACAGTGAGCGCATAATAAATACTAATCAACTATCAAAATTATAAAACAATCGTTTTTACACTGCTATTAGACGAACAGTAGGTGAAACGCATGTTGAAGTACTCGTGTGTCAAAGTGAAAGTAGCTTTAGCTACGCATGCGCTCTTGACGCTAACTCCTGATCAAATTTGGACGTAAATTGAGTTCGAAACCAAACTGGGAAGAAATTAGACTGATCTCTACCTCTCTGCAAACAGTCATTTTTATTCAATCATTTATTTATGAAAAAATGCTCTTCGTTAAAAAATATACTTTACCGATACATGTCTTACAAAAAGTACAGATTTAGATATAGTTCTGCAAGGCAAAAAGACACAGTACGAACCATATTTAAGTAAAATTCCAAACATTTGCAAGATACTTATGAAAATTTCCTTCCCTGTTAATTCACCCAATTTTCTTTCCAAAATGAGGCAAAAACGCCCCAACCAAGTCAAGTGAAATAATTATATATAAAGTGCTGTCCTATGATTAGTAATAGTAAACAGCTGGCTTTATTTAGCCCATGAATTATAAACAGGGTTGTTAGCTTATCTGCATGGTCTTTATTTTTCTTTTTTTTACTTTGATTGAAATTGGTAAGAAGCATCCTTTGGGGTGGACCCTGAAGTGAACTAAATTTGTATAAACGGTTTGTCTGACCTCCTTGGGATTCAGGGTCAAAAAGAGGAAATTTAACTATATTATTTAAAATTCTTCTTCTGTAGGAGTTATTTGATTTTGTCCAACTTTGGTCTGAAGCATTTTAGATGTGGGGAAAAAATGCAAATTCTTTAAAACCCCTCATCTGTAGGAATGTTAGGATTCAGCTGTCACAATTTGGTTTGAACAATTCTAGGTGAAGTGGAAACAATTTTGTTAAGTTTGTAGATCTTTTCCTAGTCTGAATTATTCTGACGTTCAATCAACATTTTTTATCGGCTTAGAGCAGACTCTAACCTGATATGAAAAAAAGTTGATAGAACATCAGAATACTTTGCACTTGTCTTGGCCTGCTGGGATGGGACAAGCAGGGTCCAATAGGGAAAATAGAGTAAATTGCAGCAGTAAAATTCTTCTTCTGTAGCAATGTCATGTTTCTGACATAAGTTTTTTCTACGAGACATCCCGTAGTGAAGGGGACTTAATTTTGTATATAATTGTAAATTTTGCCCACCTGGGGCTGGAGAGGTGGGGCCAAATATTGGAAATAGAGTAAATTTTTAAAATCCTTCTTTTTCTATAAGAATGTAAGTATTCTGTCCCAATCTGGTCTCTAGCATCCTTGGATGAAAGAGAATCTGTTTTGTATACAGGATCTACTGTGGGATGTGAGAGACAATCCCAATTGGATCGGAAGCATTTGGTAAAGGAGATTGTATAAAAGGCTTCAGTGACCCAGGCCCCTGTGTGTAGAAGGTTGGGGTTTAATGGGAACAATACATGTAGATACAGACCTTTAAATCTCATTTTCTTTTCTTTTAGTTGGGATTAAGAAAAAATCAGCAAATAAAGTCGGGTGAGTAATACAGGCCCTCCGAGTCTCTTGTTTTGTTTAGCCTATGAATTGTAAACAGTTCATTTTTTGTTTTTTTTTTGCCCAAGAATGATAAACCATTAACTTTGTTTCGCCTATGAGTGGTAAATCATTGGTTTTGTTTAGCCTACAGATGGTGAACTATTCACCTCATTTAGCCTTTGTATGGTATATCATTCACTTGATCCTCATGCTTGGTATCACGTTACCTTGGTTCTTTTGTGACTTGTTCAGTTGCAGATTTAAATGATAAAACAACAATGAGGAAAACTTTTATACTGAAATCAATTTATTGCAGTAAGATGTCACCACCAATTAATCACAGTACATGTAATTTAATTAAGTAGTGCATATTAAGAACATGAAATTCAATATAAAAAATATATTTATCAGCACTTACTAGATGTGAACATCAGTCAAGTAATGGGCTTTGTACATGCATGTATTGCAATTTTCTTATTTTACTACAACAGATTTCTAAAGAAGTGTTTATTTCATAACCAGTAGGTCTGACTTCTATTGCCACATTGAGGACACATTCCTCTATAAGTTCCTCCTAATTCATTTAAAATAAAATTTGAAAGTTTTCAATACTCTTGTGTAACAGTTTGGAATGTCTCCTGGATATGAAGGTTTCAAGGCATCAAGCTGTTACACAGCACCTCAGTTTACACACAGTTCCTAACACATATGGTCCCTATACACCTTACTTGCTTATATGTTGTACAAATAGAATTTAAAGTCCCTTTATATAGAGACATTCACAATGGAATATACAGTCGGTTCAAATTGATACCTCAGATTTTGACATTGTATATCACACGGTATAAGAAACCACTTTCTTGATAAATAAATGTCAGAATTCACTATCATTACTTTACATCATAGATATTATTGTTTTTTCCAATGCAAGTATTTTTCATTCCTTCAACTTGTGTGGGGTTACCATCAGAAGGTACAATATGTATAGGGTTACCATCAGAAGGTACAATATGTATAGGGTTACCATCAGAAGGTACAATATGTATAGGGTTACCATCAGAAGGTACAATATGTATAGGGTTACCATCAGAAGGTACAATATGTATAGGGTTACCATCAGAAGGTACAATATGTATAGGGTTACCATCAGAAGGTACAATATGTATAGGGTTACCATCAGAAGGTACAATATGTATAGGGTTACCATCAGAAGGTACAATATGTATAGGGTTACCATCAGAAGGATGTACCATCAGAAGGTACAATATGTATGGGGTTACCATCAGAAGGTACAATATGTGTGGGGTTACCATCAGAAGGTACAATATGTATGGGGTTACCATCAGAAGGTACAATATGTATGGGGTTACCATCAGAAGGTACAATATGTGTGGGGTTACCATCAGAAGGTAAAATATGTATAGGGTTACCATCAGAAGGTACAATATGTATGGGGTTACCATCAGAAGGTACAATATGTATAGGGTTACCATCAGAAGGTACAATATGTATGGGGTTACCACCAGCAGGTACAGTATGTATAGGGTTACCATCAGAAGGTACAATATGTATAAGGTTACCATCAGAAGGTACAATATGTATAGGGTTACCATCAGAAGGTACAATATGTATAGGGTTACCATCAGAAGGTACAATATGTATAGGGTTACCATCAGAAGGTACAATATGTGTGGGGTTACCATCAGAAGGTACAATATGTATGGGGTTACCATCAGAAGGTACAATATGTGTGGGGTTACCATCAGAAGGTACAATATGTATGGGGTTACCATCAGAAGGTACAATATGTATGGGGTTGTCATCAGAAGGTACAATATGTATGGGGTTACCATCAGAAGGTACAATATGTATGGGGTTACCATCAGAAGGTACAATATGTATATGGTTACCATCAGAAGGTACAATATGTGTGGGGTTACCATCAGAAGGTACAATATGTGTGGGGTTACCATCAGAAGGTACAATATGTATGGGGTTACCACCAGCAGGTACAGTATGTATAGGGTTACCACCACAGCAGGTACAGTATGTATAGGGTTACCACCACAGCAGGTACAATATTTATAGGGTTACCAATATGATTTAATATCAAGGGGTCAAGATGTGTGGGACTATCATAAGAAATATTACAGTGCAAGACTCTATGTTTTCAACATTGAACATCACCAAAGAATTTGTATAATACTAAATGAAGATTTGTTGTACATACAGAATACACTGTAGAGGGCTGCAGGTAATGGGGAGATTTCAGAAGTACAACACCATGCAATATCTGTGGTAGAGGTTAGGTAGCCTATCTCTTGATGGATTTCAGAAGTACAAACACCATACAGTTTATGTTGTAGAGGGTGGGTAACCTCTCTCATGGGAGATTTCAGAAGTACAAATACCATACAGTTTATGTTGTAGAGGGTGGGTAACCTCTCTCATGGGAGATTTCAGTAGTACAAACACCATACAGTTTATGTTGTAGAGGGCAGGTAATGGGGAGATTTCAGAAGTACAAATACCATACAGTTTATGTTGTAGAGGGTGGGTAACCTCTCTCATGGGAGATTTCAGTAGTACAAACACCATACAGTTTATGTTGTAGAGGGTGGGTAACCTCTCTCATGGGAGATTTCAGTAGTACAAACACCATACAGTTTATGTTGTAGAGGGCAGATTAGCATATGTAAGGACGGTGGACAATACTATGTCATGCGTTCATGAAATCTATGTGCATTAAACCTGAAAACTTGTTTTAACCAATACCTTGGCTGGAAAGTTCCAGGTTCTATGTTTTCTCCAACCAAAGCAATCTGTGTTCAGAAAGCACAGGGGGTGGGTGGGGGGTTATGCCTAAATTATCCCTGACTCCAAGGAACATAACCACTGTACGTCCACAGTTGGGCAAGGCCTCTGGAACAGACAGGAGCACAGCATAACAATTGTTGGTCAGTCAAGCAGTCATCATTTGTCCAAAATTACTTGTGTCAGTGAACCACTTTCTAATTTACTACCCATAAACATTGATTCTCTTTTGACAATGACAACTATTCTGTACAGAGATTTCAAAGCAACTTTCACACAAATAACAATCAGAGCTGTCCAGGCAAGTCATTCATAAATACATTCTCTAGCCAAATGCGGTGGGTTATAAAAACAAAACCTGGAATACTACTAAATTCTAGCATTGTCCTAGTAGTTCTTTTTGAGGGATTCTGTTTTCACTAATTTTGGTTGTTTTTAAAGGTTTCTATATTTCATCAGTACATGTTATTTTTAATAGGTATTGTGTTTCATTTATTTTGGTTATTTTTAAGGTGTTCTATATATCATTACTTCTGGTGATTTTTGAGAGATCATATTTTTCTCTAATTTCATTCTTTTTTGTTTTTTTCTCATTGTTTTGTTTTTTAAAGGGGTTATCCTTTCACTAATGTCAATACTTTTTGTGGGATTTCTAATTGTCGCTAATTTTGGTTATTTTCGAGGGGTTCTATATTCTATCAGATATTTCCCAGCTGAGGTTCTACCAATACATTTGAATAATTTAGGTTATCTCTGAAGTTTTCTTTTTCTAAATGGAATAAAATCCTGAAAGATAGACATCCTTAAAATATGATTTATGTGATAAAATGACTGAGGCATGAAAGTCACAGGGAGCTTGGAGAAAGTATCTTATCACTTCCATCAATAAATCAGGGTCAAACAGATCTGTTTTAAAAAAGCAATGGAAATTTGATCTAGCATGAAAGTCCATGTGAAGTTCATAAAACTGTATCTCAACTAAAACATGGACAAATATAGACAGTAATGACACATCAGCATCAGGCTCCGCTACAATAAACATAAATACAATAAATATATACAAATGGTAGGATTAAATTCTATTCAGTTAATATGTATTTGATCACAAAGTTCTGCTCAAATGCTCAACAAATTTGTAATTACAGGTACATATATATTACATAAATACATATCTATTTACATAAAAAAATGCTTTACTAAATCAATAAACAAACTTTAAATTCTGAAATATGAATTTCAGTGTAACAAAATCGATACTAACATAAAAAGTATTGCAAACCATAACAGATTTTTTGTCAGTATCTAATTCTTGATACTTTTGCTATGATATTGCAAGGTAAATATCGAACTGGCAAAGAACTACATCATATATTTTCAATTTCTGATCTACAATCACAAAAACATGACATGGCTAAATTTAGATATTCTGATTTTAACACCAAATGGTAAAATTTGCATTAGATGAAATACATCCATTAAATAGTCTAAAACTAGAATACTCCACTAATTCTGAGCATTTGAATAAACCAGAAAAAATAATTTAGCACTGTTTCAGCTGTTTAGTCATTCTTGGTCAGTTGGGTAAAACTGGCATCTAATGGAAAACATGTTCCACTATTTCATTATTTTTCTAAAATTGTTAACATTTTACAGAGTGAATGTATAATGTGATCAATCATTTTGTTTCCTATCACATTAAAATACCTGGTAGAGTCTTGTCAGCATTGTTGCACTGGCTTTAATAATTATGAAAAACGATACTCATGTCCATGTTACCATGGAGATGACTATTAAAATCATATAAGGAGCTGATCAAACATCAAGTACTAGCTACCATGGGGGCTAACACTTTATATTAGGGAGTGGTTAAGTGAAGCCTTGCTAGAAAGTATATGTTTAGTAGCTAATAAAGATAAACAGTAGTGTTTTGCCACATGACATATCTTTCTGAGATGAGCACTTCAAGCAGATGGAAGAGTTGACACACTAATTTAAAAACTCATTACATACAAGGAACTAGTGACTATTGGTATAAAAAAAGTCTAACATCATAGTGAATCATAAACTTTGTATGGATAGGCAATACTGAAGTATTGTATAATTATATTTGAGTCAGGAATGAGACATACCAACTTGCTGACTCCATCCAACACCATACTCTTACAAAATACCAACAAAACAATCCTTATCTTTTCCCTGTTCTCACTTGGGATATTGGTGAAATTTCAGAGGTTACACACACAGCTGTCATCCTAGGTTAGAGGACAAACTACTACACACAGCGGTCATCCATGATGAGAGGTCAAACTAACACACAGAGAATCATTCTTGGTTAGAGGTCACACTAGCACATACATGTACAGCTGTCAACCTTAGGTAAAGGTCAAACTAGTACACATAGCATTCATTCTAGGTTAAAGGTCAAACTAGTAAACACATCAGTCATCCTAAGATAGAGGTCAAACCAACACTCAGAGCAGACATTCTAGTTTAGAGATCAAACTAATGTATAGCAGTCATCTTTTGAAAAAAGTCAAACTAGTACACAATGCAACCTTGATTAAAGGTTGAACTGGTACATACAGCTGTCATGCTTGGTAAAAATTCAAACTAGTAAACATAGAAAATTCATCCTAGGTTAGAGGTCAAACCACTACACAGCAGTCATCATTAATTAGTGAAAAAACTGACACACACAGCAGTCATCCTAACTTAGAGGAAAAACTAGTACTCAGCAGTCATCCTTCTGTAGAAGTCAGACTAGTACACACAGCCATCATCTTTGTGTAAAGGTGAAACTAGCACACATGACAGTGATCCTTGAGGAAAGGTAAACATGACACACAACAGTCATTCTTGGTCAAAAGACATAAACAGCAGTCATTCTTTGTTAGAGTATAACAAACATATATATTAGTCATCCTTGGTTAAATGTCAAACTAAGATAGGCAGCAGTCACCCTTGGTTAGAGGTCAAAGGGACTCCACATGATCACCCACATGTAGTAGTTATTTTCAACCCATTTCAGATAAGATTCAATTACGCTTCATACCAAGTTAAACATGTACACTAATTGTCTTTGTTGACGTCTGACAGACATGTACACTAATACATTGTATAATTGATTTCTCGTAAAAATGTAAAATGAATGTCATCCTTGTTCTCTAGTCAAACACACATAAATTAACACAGGTTATCTTAACTTCAAAGTAACACACACATCAGTATTCCTTATCATCAGGTGAAAATGTATTGTAAGATAAGGACATATATCAGTTATCTTTTTTCCCTAAATTTGATTTCTGTAATCCAGGTTTTTCTGTTTTGTGGTTGGTGACCTCCTCCATATCAACATCATCCATGACTAGCTCTTTGGCACAACAGCGAGGAAACCACCCTCGTATCCTCTTCTTCTTCCCTGTAATACACCAAAATATAGACATGAATGTAACTTTCTCAGTGCATTATCTTATAAACACAGCTTGTTACTAGAAGGTTACAACTAAAGCTATATATAACCAGGCCTAGACAGGTTGTGAGATATAGTTTACAGGTTATAACTAGGCCTAGAGGGTGTGTGAGATATTGTTAATAGGTTATAACTAGGCCTAGAAGGTGTGTGAGATATTGTTAATGGGTTATAACTAGGCCTAGAGGGTGTGAGATATTGTTTACAGGTTATAACCAGGTCTAAAGAGTGAGATATTGTTAATGGGTTATAACTAGGCCTAGAGGGTGTGAGATATTGTTAATGGGTTATAACTAGGCCTAGAGCGTGTAGGATATTGTTAACCAGTTATAACTAGGCCTAGAGGGTGTGTGAGATATTGTTAACATGTTATAAATAGGCCTAGAGCGTGTAGGATATTGTTAACCAGTTATAACTAGGCCTAGAGGGTGTGAGATATTGTTAATGGGTTATAACTAGGCCTAGAGCGTGTAGGATATTGTTAACCAGTTATAACTAGGCCTAGAGGGTGTGAGATATTGTTAATGGGTTATAACTAGGCCTAGAGCGTGTAGGATATTGTTAACCAGTTATAACTAGGCCTAGAGGGTGTGAGATATTGTTAATGGGTTATAACTAGGCCTAGAGGGTGTGAGATATTGTTAATGGGTTATAACTAGGCCTAGACGGTGTGAGATATTGTTAATGGGTTATAACTAGGCCTAGAGGGTGTGAGATATTGTTAATGGGTTATAACTAGGCCTAGAGCGTGTAGGATATTGTTAACCAGTTATAACTAGGCCTAGAGGGTGTGAGATATTGTTAATGGGTTATAACTAGGCCTAGAGGGTGTGAGATATTGTTAATGGGTTATAACTAGGCCTAGAGGGTGTGAGATATTGTTAATGGGTTATAACTAGGCCTAGAGGGTGTGAGATATTGTTAATGGGTTATAACTAGGCCTAGATGGTGTGAGATATTGTTAATGGGTTATAACTAGGCCTAGAGGGTGTGAGATATTGTTAATGGGTTATAACTAGGCCTAGAGCGTGTAGGATATTGTTAACCAGTTATAACTAGGCCTAGAGGGTGTGAGATATTGTTAATGGGTTATAACTAGGCCTAGAGGGTGTGAGATATTGTTAATGGGTTATAACTAGGCCTAGAGGGTGTGAGATATTGTTAATGGGTTATAACTAGGCCTAGAGGGTGTGAGATATTGTTAATGGGTTATAACTAGGCCTAGAGCGTGTAGGATATTGTTAACCAGTTATAACTAGGCCTAGAGGGTGTGTGAGATATTGTTAACATGTTATAACTAGGCCTAGAGCGTGTAGGATATTGTTAACCAGTTATAACTAGGCCTAGAGGGTGTGAGATATTGTTAATGGGTTATAACTAGGCCTAGAGCGTGTAGGATATTGTTAACCAGTTATAACTAGGCCTAGAGGGTGTGTGAGATATTGTTAACATGTTATAACTAGGCCTAGAAGGGATGGGAGCATTGTTTATTGGTTTTTCATTAGGTATAGAGGGTGTGTGGGATATTGTCAACATATCATAATTAGGCCAAGAGAGGAAGGTGGCAATGATAAGCAGTATGCCATTTGGCTTAGAGAGTGTTTTGGATATTGTTAACAGTTTGTCCTTTTTTAAAATGTTTTTCATAGGGAGGTATAAGGTATTATTAAAAGATTGCCACTAGAGGTGTGGGGTATTTTCAATGGTTTGTCACTAGGGGTGTAGGGTATTGTTAATGGGTTGTTATAATGGATGTAGGGTATTGATAATGGTTTGTTGTTAGGGGTGTGGCATACTGTTATTGGTTTGTTGTTAGGGGTGTTGGTTATTGTTATTGGTTTGTTACTAGGGGTGTGGCATACTGTTAATGATTTGTTGTTAGGGGTGTGGGGTATTGTTAATGGTTTGTTGTTAGGGGTGTGAGGTATTGTTATTTGTTTGTTGTTAGGGGTGTGGGGTATTGTTAATGGTTTGTTGTTAGGGGTGTGGGGAATTGTTACTGGTTTCTTGTTAGGGGTGTTGGTTATTGTTAACCATCTAATCAAGACCTTTGCTATAGTAGACATGGCAGTGCTGTATGGACTCTTACCTGTTTTTACTTTATTTGGAATCAGTTTTGTACCATACATCCAATGCCTGCAATGAAAGTGACATATATGAAATGATCACTGAAACAAGATATCTAAACGCTTTCGAAATGATTACTGAAACAAGATATCTAAACGCTTTCGAAATGATCAATGAAACAAGATATCTTAATGCTTTCAACAGACATTAAACATTGTTAAGTTTGTCAGCAGTGCTATTGAGGATGTATTTCTGAATTCCTTCACTTACAACAATGATTAACAAACAACTTTTGTTAAATTCATTAAAACAATTTTAAAAAGTATATATTCAATAGTTGTAGTATGTAAACTGTACTAGAAGATTTCACGTACTTTTTCCAACGAGTTACCAGGACTTTATCTCCGGCTGTCACTGGTATACGTGGCTCATCTGTACAGGGCATGTTGAAGCACACCCGACATCCCTTGTTGAGTGGTATCCAGGAACCACTAAAGTTCTCCACTATCAGGTACTCCAGGGTTCTCTCACGCTTCAGTGCTTTCTGCTGAATTTGTTCTATCTGATTCGGTAAGACAAAAATCACAATGTATTCAATATTTTATCCGGAACTTTGTATTCTCCACAACTTTGATTCTACCATATGTTGTTGTCAAGACTAGTTTTTTACAGGGGCAAAATCAACAACATAATTTTCAAAACATGATAATCATTTGTTTAATTATTTACAACTACACAAACAATGAACTACGGGTAAGTATTAAAGCAAATCTACACTGATCTTTGATTTTGCAGAAATCACTTGTTTACTACACTTATGTGTTTAATCATATCTTCATGAGTCCATGTAGAATACTAGTTACAGTATATGTCTGTTACAGTTAGTGGTGTACTCCATCAAATTTTCAGTTTCTACCATGTGGTATTATTTCATAATACTCTCTTCATGATCCAGTCTGTGTGTCTGTTCTTGTCACTAGCAATGTCAGATTGTTGTCATTCAGCCAACTAAATACAGAGTTATCTTTCTTCCTTCACACATTTCATCCTCAATATGTCTTCTATATACTATAGTAACTTACAAACTTTTGAACAATCTTGTCAAATTATTTTTTTAACATTTGTTCGCTATAACAATCATGAGTAACCCCTAAAACAGATAAAGTGATCAATGTATGATTTCACCTTGCTCTATATGTTTGAACGACCTTTATTGTTAACTTCAGATGCAATATCACTTCATTATTCAAAACTATGTACATCAATTTAGAATTTTTAATCAATTTTATGTATTCGAACCAAGTTGAATTACCAGTAATTATCTTTTATAAAGTTTGAAATTTTAAAATGATTTCCCGTAAAATGCATCATGAAACTGGAATTTCTGTAAATACAATGTCTGTAATCGATAAAATATCACAATTTTACATTTAAAGCTGTTACATACTCTTTTTAATCAATCAGTATATTTCTTTATTATCACTTTCACAATTTAGATATCATTCATAACCATTTCCCTCAATTTAACCTCTCTTTGACTTACTTACACTTGTATGTATGTCATGTAACAGCAACAGAAATAACAGAAACACCTACCGTGAGTGTGTACTGATTGCATCCTTCCAGTACAGGCCAGGTGATACCATCTGACTGAGGCATACCTGACCAAGTAAACACTTGTGACAAGTTTTTGCAGCATCCAAAATTATAAGGATATATAAATTCACCCTCCTCTGGTTCTCTGTCTCTGTCTAAGGCCTGAAAACAGATGAAATCTTCTGATGAAGGACTAATCCTGATACCCTTGAATTATGTGACCACACATGCTGATATAAAAATAGGTGAACAATTTTTTTTTCTCACAAGACAAATCAACTGTACATACTGTACAACAAGTTAAATTTCACAAGCAGGTTTGGTCTACCTTTCTCTCATCAGGAGAGGAGTAACAGTTCATTTTACACAGTATCAATGACAAGACACTCATTAAAATACAACAAATAAATAACACCCCACACCCCTAACTACATTTATACATACACATGATACTACAGTCAAGTATAAAGATAGATGTTCTGAATTTTCTATGATATAAAAAACAGTATATATATATGTGCAGCACTTTGTCAACAGAGGAATCAAAAATAGCACAAATTCATGGTACTCAAACTGAAAGTACATACTTCATACTGTCTAAGCTGAAAAAATGTCACAAAAAAAACTTTTTCCATTTTGAGACTATATCATTTGTTTTTTATTTTGCAATATTTTGATACATATTTACCATCATATTGTCACACTGATCCTTGTTAATTAAACATATCATTTGGTAATGTATGCTGTGGTTTTAATATTTTTTAGATGAAAAACTGAACCCTGTCCCACTCCTACGGTTACAACACTAAATTGGTCATAACACAGGCCCTATGGACCTTTTGAATTTGTTAATCCTGTTTCATGGGTAGTCACTCAAGGTGCTACAAATACCACATTATTTAATTTGGTGTGTTGGCAAAATTTCATTGTTCCTGAAAGGGATCCTTTATGTTTGTCCCAATGTCTCTCCAGTTTTACAACATATCAATTATGAAACAAAAATCTTTAGGCAATCACCACTATAAGATGCCCATCTGACTTTTAACACTGTTTTAATGCTTCACTGTCTCTAAATGTTTTAGTCCCATCTTCTGAGTTTAATTTCTGTTTCAGTTATAATTAAATTGGTGTTGCCAAATCATCAACATTTCACAATTATGTAAATTTCAAAGTACTTAATAGTACATAGTATGAAGAATGATCATTAATATTTCTATTTTAACAAGAATTCCATATGAAGTAAAACAAGCTAGCCAATGAATATATTCCCGACTCACTGGTGATTGATGTATTAGCTATCACTTGTTGTTAATATCATGTCACTTTTATCAGAGAGCAATCTGATTAAAAGCATATCTCAAGCTACACTTCACCTCTGTACACCACCAAGTACATTCCACTTCTGTATACTACCATGTAAACTACCAAGGTACACTCCATTTCTGTATACTACCATGTAAACTACCAAGGTACACTCCATTTCTGTATACTACCATGTAAACTACCAAGGTACACTCCACTTCTGTATACTACCATGTAAACTACCAAGGTACACTCCATTTCTGTATACTACCATGTAAACTACCAAGGTACACTCCATTTCTGTATACTACCATGTAAACTACCAAGGTACACTCCATTTCTGTATACTACCATGTAAACTACCAATCTACATTCCACTTCTGTACACTACCATGTAAACTACCAAGGTACACTCCATTTCTGTATACTACCATGTAAACTACCAAGGTACACTCCATTTCTGTGCACTACCATGTAAACTACCAATCTAAACTCCACTTCTGTACACTACCATGTAAACTACCAAGGTACACTCCATTTCTGTGCACTACCATGTAAACTACCAATCTAAACTCCACTTCTGTACACTACCATGTAAACTACCAAGGTACACTCCATTTCTGTATACTACCATGTAAACTACCAAGGTACACTCCATTTCTGTGCACTACCATCTAAACTACCAATCTACATTCCACTTCTGTACACTACCATGTAAACTACCAAGGTACACTCCATTTCTGTGCACTACCATCTAAACTACCAATCTAAACTCCACTTCTGTACACTACCATGTAAACTACCAAGGTACACTCCATTTCTGTATACTACCATGTAAACTACCAAGGTACACTCCATTTCTGTGCACTACCATCTAAACTACCAATCTACATTCCACTTCTGCCATTTCTGTGCACTACCATGTAAACTACCAAGGTACACTCCATTTCTGTGCACTACCATCTAAACTACCAATCTACATTCCACTTCTGTACACTACCATGTAAACTACCAAGGTACACTCCATTTCTGTGCACTACCATGTAAACTACCCAGGTACACTCCATTTCCACTTCTGTACACTACCATGAAAACTAAACTCTACCTGTACACTCATACATTCCACTTCTGTACACTACCATGTAAACTACCAAGGTACACTCCATTTCTGTGCACTACCATCTAAACTACCAATCTACATTCCACTTCTGTACACTACCATGTAAACTACCAAGGTACACTCCATTTCTGTATACTACCATGTAAACTACCAAGGTACACTCCATTTCTGTGCACTACCATCTAAACTACCAATCTACACTCCACTTCTGTACACTACCATGAAAACTACCATGTACTCTACCCTTCTGTACACTACCATGTACATTCCACTTCTGTACACTACCATGTAAACTACCAAGGTACACTCCATTTCTGTGCACTACCATCTAAACTACCAATCTACCATCCACTTCTGTACACTACCATGTAAACAACCAAGGTACACTCCACTCCTATACACTACCATAAAAACTACCATGTACTCTACCCTGCTGTACACTACTATGTAAACTACCATGTACACTCCACTTCTGTACACTACCATGTAAACTACCATGTACATTCTACTTCTGTACACTACCATGTACATTCCACTTCTGTACACTACCATGTACACTCCCCTTCTGTACACTACCATGTACATTCCACTTCTGTACACTACCATGTAAACTACCATGTACAATCCCCTTCTGTACACTACCATGTACATTCCACTTTTGTACACTACCAAGTAAACTACCAAGGTACATTCCAGTGAAACCTCCCCTTCTGTAAACTACAATGTACCTTCCCCTTCTGTAAACTAGTGTACCCTCCCCTTCTGTAAACTACAGTGTACCCTCCACTTCTGTAAACTACAGTGTACCTTCCCCTTCTGTAAACTAGTGTACCCTCCCCTTCTGTAAACTACAGTGTACCCTCCCCTTCTGTAAACTACAGTGTACCCTCCCCTTCTGTAAAACTACAGTGTACCCTCCCCTTCTGTAAACTACAGTGTACCCTCCCCTTCTGTAAACTACAATGTACCCTCCCCTTCTGTAAACTACAGTGTACCCTCCCCTTCTGTAAACTATCGTATACACTCCCCTTTCTCTCCTGTAAAATACAGTGTACCCTTCCCTTTTGTACACTAAATACACTCTGATATACTAATAGTGTACTTTACACAAAGGGAACATAGATCAAAATATTGTTTCAATCTATGGTTTCAATCAGATTGACAACAGAATTATTAACAAGTATACAGAATATTTTGTAATTCATTATGGGTTTTGGGCCAAAACTCTTGCCAACATACCAAAAATAAAACACAGGAAATATTTTAATAAAAATGTATATTACTGGGTATTTGTTTTTTTTAAATTTTCTAATTGCTATTTCTGTAGTATTTTTTATCATTTCCTAACTGTTAAACAAACACACAAAGCAGATGTTATCTGTTAGTGATCCTTCAAAAAACTCTGTTTTACCCAGTGTGTGACCCAGGATTCTATAAAGGTCTGATTCTTAATGACAGTTCTAATCTGAAAATATAAGAAATGATTAATGATTACAGAAACACATATTACCTTTTCTATGATCCAAGATTCTATACCAGATTCATTCTTTATTATACTTTTCATCTGGAATAGAAAACAGTATTCATGTAATCAATACACATGTATGTAAAAATATTGAATTATAAATTTATATTATCATTCAGTAGAGTTCAAATATCCATTTATTGAAAAAATATTTCCTGTCATCACCTGTCAACATTTTGACAATCACTTATATCTAAACAGTCAAAACTCATTTTAAATGTATTCAATGTTGAATTTAATATTAAATGCCTTTTTATTACTCAGAGAGGGGTTCTATGACAACAATTGAAAGCGTCTGCAAGCCATCAATTCCTACCCTACCAAACAGAAATATCCACACTTCCAGTGAGTGCAAGGTATCTCTATCTGACCCTGGCAAAAGAGACTGCATGCACAGGAAGTAAAATTTTAGGTTCATGTAATTGTTAATTATGTCTTTTTTATGACATGTTGGGGTCACTGATATCATTAACAATTATCATCCAGGCCTCAAATGCAAATGACTATACTGATAGTTATGATATTAAATGTATATCTATTTCCTTATTCAATTTTAAGGGGAAAAGGGGGCAGAAAAAGGATCATTCCCTACCTTGTGGGTGGAACAGAGAAATCACTACGCACGAAAGAGATCACTGATTGTCCTACCCTCCAGCTAGGAAAAGATCCTTTATTCTTCTCTTTCATGAATAATGTGACCTATCAACCTTTAACCTAGACTTAACATGCTAAATAGTATATATGATGGGATACAACCGGAGATACATGGATAATGATATCTGTCCCCACCCCTGTAAACTTTACAGCACCAACCCAGGGGACACTGACCTGGATGATAAACAGCATCCCAACAGCTATAAAAACACCAATGGCAAGTCCAATAGCAAACATGGCTGTGATGAATCCAGCAAATCCCAGCTGTACAATAGGCTCATTGGTGTAGTACATGTAGTATTGCTAAAATGAATACAACAACTTATTGGTGTAGTCAACAAACAAAAAACATTTCAGTTAGTCAGATCCTTCTACTAGCCAAACCAATATTTGGTGTCAGTAGTTAAAAATATCACTAGCTCTCACAAAATCAAGAAGTCCAGGGTGTGTGGCTATTGTGAATATAAACAATGTGCATTAGTGTAAAGAATGCTCTGATATTTTTGGTATTGCTGGACTGAAATGAAAATCTAATTACAAAAGCCACCATAAACAGTCATGAAAACTTGAAATCCAAACAAAATTGACAGCAAGCGAGGGCGTTTGCATGATTTTCCATGGGACCCCCAAATTTATGAACTATAAGAGCCCAGGGACTTCCATGGGACCCCCAAATTTATGAACTATAAGAGCCCAGGGACTTCCATGGGACCCCCAAATTTATGAACTATAAGAGCCCAGGGACTTCCATGGGACCCCCAAATTTATGAACTATAAGAGCCCAGGGACTTCCATGGGACCCCCAAATTTATGAACTATAAGAGCCCAGGGACTTCCATGGGACCCCCAAATTTATGAACAATAAGAGCCCAGGGACTTCCATGGGACCCCCAAATTTATGAACTATAAGAGCCCAGGGACTTCCATGGGACCCCCAAATTTATGAACTATAAGAGCCCAGGGACTTCCATGGGACCCCCAAATTTATGAACTATAAGAGCCCAAGGACTAACACCATACATGAAATCAAGTCAAACTTTATTCCTTTTGGGGTTTCCTTCTTAAAATAAGTAACCAAAATAAAGATTTTTGAGAGTCTGGGGAAACCCTAATTAGGACAACATGGTTCCACAGTATATTATAATCAATACTTCTAATACATGTTCATTTTTTTTACACATTTTTCCAGTCCAGTCTGATACAAACATACCCAGTTCAGAGCCTTGTAAGTGGAGATGACAAGGACAATTCCTGCATGAGTGCAGCCTAGTGGGGCAAAAAAAAGGAAGTAGACAAAGTTAGCATGATTGTAGTGACCACAACAGCTGTTAATCCAAGGACAGTGGTGGTCCATCTTCATAACACACCTACAATATATAAAAAAGAGAATACATCATTATAACTTTCATCTGACAATACAGAAGAGCAAAAACAGTATGTCACTATACCAATGCTCACCTGACATAACACAAAGTAACAACAGTATATCACTTTCCTCCAGCTGTAACACACAGTTACAACATTATACCAATACACCCTAGATGTAACACACAGTTACAACATTATACCAATAAACACCACAAACATATCACATAGTTACAACATTATACCAATACACACCACAAACATATCACACAGTTACAACATTATACCAATACACACCACAAACATATCACACAGTTACAACATTATACCAATACACACCACAAACATATCACATAGTTACAACATTATACCAATACACACCACAAACATATCACACAGTTACAACATTATACCAATACACACCACAAACATATCACATAGTTACAACATTATACCAATACACACCACAAACATATCACATAGTTACAACATTATACCAATACACACCACAAACATATCACATAGTTACAACATTATACCAATACACACCACAAACATATCACACAGTTACAACATTATACCAATAAACACCACAAACATATCACATAGTTACAACATTATACCAATACACACCACAAACATATCACACAGTTACAACATTATACCAATACACACCACAAACATATCACACAGTTACAACATTATACCAATACACACATGTAACACACAAATACAAATACATTCCAGATGTAACACACAATTATAACAGTATACAAATACATTCCAGATGTAACACACAGTAATAAGAGTATACCACTACACACATGACATAACACACAGTATACAAATACATACCAGATGTAACACACAGTAATAATAGTGTACTCATATAAACTTACAGTATACCAATACACCTCAAATCTAACTTACAGAAATAACATCATACCAATACACACTAGCTGTAACACATAGTCATAACAGTATGTCACTATACCACTATGCACTAGCTGTAACACACAATGACAACAGTATGTCACTATACCACTACACACTAGCTGTATCACACACTGACAACAGGTAGAATGGGGGATGCAATTGCTCAGTTTGTTAGATAATAGGCCTTTTTGTACTTCTGTTAAAGATCCAGATTGGTTCAATGCTCCATAAGCTGAGAAATCAACAGGTTTATATGCTGATGTTGTCATGTCTTATTCAATAAGGCAACCAACAGCTGATCTACAATGCTGTTACCAGGATGATAAACCCAGTAAACAAACAGTTACTGTCGTATGTGACTATACCACCACACCAGCTGTCCCAATATCCATTTACAGTTTTAGTTTGCTTTCTGAAATGTTGACTAAAACAATCTTACTTCCACTTACCGATTACATTTCCTACAATGATGTGATCGGGGACTTTTGAATCCCTCACAAACTTCACAATATTGTAACCAGCTTTCTTCTTCTTCTGTGTCCTGTAATGAATAATTAGTGATAAAAATTCCTGATATTTACATCAAAACAAACTTTTTGTATCATGGATAATATTGGCTACCTAATATGTACATGTATCATGACTTCCAACAACTACATTTGTACTAAATCTTTATTTTACAAAACAGTACCAGAAAAGGATTTAACTATCCAAACCCATTTGTCTTTGGTTGGTCATATGTACCAGCATGTAATAGGATGTAAAAAGAAACAATACACAATTGAAACCTGGTGCAGCATCATGGCAGCCATGCACATATCTCTGGCCCATTACAAGTTTACCTGAATTTCTGTGGCCTAGTATCATATCATAACCTTTGTAAATGAGAGAAGTGTATGTAACATTACCATTATAGCATTTTACCCTAAGGACTCACCGGCCTCCATCCTCTCGGAACAAAGCCAGGACCTTTGAATGCGGCAAGTAGATAATTGTAGAGGACAAGGAACATCCACATACAGTAAACACACAGATGAATTGTTCCTCCATAGGTGTGTAGGGGCCACCACATCAACAAGCATCGCATACCAGTGAACGAGATCATAAATATGACAGTGAGCGCGATGATAGGGCCCCAGTGAAGCAACTGAGTAGGCCTTACCACCATTTTATAAGTAAATTGTGCCATTTCTTATGTCAAATATTATCCAGAACGACACGGTTAAGCGTAGCTATTACTCAGCTGTGTCAACAAAACAATGTGATCCGATTAAATTCTATAACATTCTGCTTGTTTCGTTGACTTTATCCTACACATAAACACGTTAGACTGTTCACATTGTTGGTAGCTTAATTTTCAAGGTGTTTGGTTGTCGAGTGTCATTTCGGTCTTAGTTCCCTAGTGGAAATGTGCTGCTAGGAAAATATGCATTGGGATCAGACCGGACCTGTCACGTCTTTTGACCCGGAAGTGATAAGATGAAGTTTCTTTCAAAGGGAGCAGACTCTACCATTTTGTTTCGTTTCCTGTCTAGCTAGTGTTGTCCGAGGAACAATACAACTCAGAACCCGAAAGAAATTCATAAGGGTACCGTATACAACCACCAGATATGACATTGTTATCTTAGGTAATCATCTGTATGTCCTGAAATTGCCCCGATGAGTTTCCGAGACATCACGCTAATCGTTAATCTATGATGAATCGGAAATAATTCGATGGATACGTACATTATGTACACACTACAGTATATGTCTGAAACAGTTGTTTAGATATATTGGGCTTCGGCACAGGTTTAACAAATCATTTATTTTGTTTAAACCATTATTTGTTATTTAATTTTGGATGAAAAATGTTTTGTTTCATATTTACAGGAAATGAAGGTCTGCATGTAAAAGGTATCAAGCAAAATGGCATCAATTGCACGTGATTTGTTCAATATCAAATCAAAAAGTAAAGATCCAATCCGAAAGAAACTGTTCGGATCACCTGTGGTTGATGGAGAGAGAACATCAGGTATATCTCACTTGAGCCTCTGATGTACAATGTAAATTATCCTTACCCTTAATCTGTTGAATTATGTTTTGTAACCTTCCATTTTTTGTTCCAGATGGTCATCATATGAGCAAAAATTAAGTTAATGAATTATTGAGATTTTTCATCTATTCAGATCCAACAAGGATGAACTTTATTGTGTGATCTGAGAAGTATATAAATGTCTTCCACTTCCTAGAAAACAGTTTAAGTATCAACAGTTTTAATATTTGCATTGGTCGGGTCACCTATCCACATGCACAGTAGCTTGTGAACTAAATTAACTCTTTGAATTGTTCCCTTTTGATTAAAATTTGAATGTACAAAAGTCAAAGGTATATCATGATGCAAATTTCATTCATCAAAGACAAGAAAAGTTTTGTGTAATAATTTCAATGAATACAACTATATCAATAAATTATCAGTAATTTTTGTAGGATTTTTTCATGTGGTTCAAAAACATCCCTTTCAAAATTTTGACGAGGCCTATGAAAGAATACTCATTTCACCAGACAGTTGATGAGTTTTTGTACTGTAGTTTTTTTTTTCTTTTCAGAATTCCACTATACATTAACTTTCATGAACAAACTTCAGATTGAACACGACACAGAGCTCAGCTACAAAGCATTACAAAAAGGTGAGAAATACAGACTTATGAATAAATTAAAGGTAAAACATTGTATGATGTATTCTGCAATTATATCGCAGCCTCATATTATCCAACATGCAAGTGTTTGTTTGTATTTTATATCTGCTTTTTACCCCACAGCCTGAAAGGGTGTGGGGTATTGCGATCATGCACGGCGTCCGTCCGCCTGTCTGTCTATCCATCCACAATTGCATAGTGCTTATTATCTCAAAAACTGCATCACCGGTCATCACCATTTTCACTGGGGATGTTGGGTCTAGGACCTACACAACCCATTCTTGAGATAACTTTCCACTCACCCCAACCACACATTTCCAACTTTATAATAGGGCTGTGGGGTATTGCCCGCATTTGCGGAGCTATTTTTTTTTTATCAGAATCCAATTATTTTGAGTTTTTCAGGAGCCTTGTTTTATCATAGCATTTTAATTTTAGCTTGTAACTTTAGGCACTAATTTCCAGAATTATACCAATGCAACATGGCATTTAGTCTAATTTTTTATTTTCATGTATTTGGAACAAACTGAACACAATTATTCTGATGAATTAGAAGCATATGAGAATTTTAACCTCTCAGGAATGTTTTTTTTGTTTTGATATGTGTTAAAATTTAAGAAAAGTTTTTTGTTGTTTTTATTAGATACACATGAGCAGTGTTTAACACAGATGAGACAGTTGCTGAAGAAAATGGCTGAGGATGATTGGCGTTATCCTAACATAGACAAATTGATAGGAACATGATTTGGAACATGATGAAGCATTATCAACAAATTGATGGACTCTTTACCAGGATAAGTTAGTTTCCTGATGTTGACAACATAAACAATTTGAACAGAATGGACAATCTTTCATTTCAAGCTGGACAACAATAACGTCATTGACGATTTTACAATTGCAGTTAAAGATTAAAGTGTAACCTGATACTTCACAGATCGAATTAGAACAAGATTCTTCTGAATGAGCACTGTGCTAGAGTTCCCCCACTTCTGTTACTTGTAGTTACATTTTGCGAGTATCAGTTATGAATTCAGCTATTTTCATCATTGTCATTAACACCTTTAGTCTTTAAATGTTTTTATGTGTTGTTCAATTTTTTGACATTGATAATCAAGCTTAGTCTTGTTACCCCAAAATTCTTTCAATATCATTTAATAGTTTTTAACTGAGTAAATAATTGAAAGAAGTGATGAAGTTTTCTGAGAGTACACCTAGGATAGAGCAGTTTATAAAGTGATAGGCTATCTTTTTGTTGATGCACTCGGTGATAGTAATGTATTTCAGTTTTCCAAATGTAATACGAAAGCTAAGAGATCAGTAAAGACTGTACAGTGAGATTCTTGATATGAATTTAGTGTTTATCCCTGGCTATTAACATTGTGTGTATCTGCTTATTACCAATAACACTACAGTCATTCTGTAATATCCTTCTTGATTTGAAATCTCTGGTGGTTTTGTAGAGATTCACCCACCTTTTTCCTCTTTTCATTTCAATTTTGTGAATTTGATTGGTACACTTCTTAATTCAAACAACAAAAAACTTTGTAAGTGCACAGAAACATGGTTGAGAGAACACTAGATTTATTCCATGTTTTTCATGCATACTTTTATAATGATACATTCTGAAATAAAATCTGTGTAGCTTTTTCATGGGAAGACTTGGTTGTTTTTGTTATTTTTCCAATGCATGCAACTTTTTTCACAGCATTAATCTTTTACCTGGATCAGGAAATACTATTGTTGACAATTCATTTTCTGCTCCCCTGATTCTTTTTTTTTTTTTTTTTTTGGGGGGGGGGGGGGGGGAGGGGAGGGGAAGGGCTGTTATCAAATACAGTCTTGCTTGGTTTATTTTGAAACAATAAAAACTATCTGAAAACACACTAAAAAAAAAACCCAAACTATATATGTACATTGTAACCACATTCATTAATGTCCTACTCTGGTCCCCTGGAATCCATATCTGTATCTGGCATGATACGATGTAGGTCTTACTCACATTTTATGCAAAATTGGCCTTGTTTTTGTTTTTCTCCAAATACTGTAGCCAAGAAGAAGGGTTAAGATCAATTTTGCAGCGGTTACAGTTGGAACCTCAACCAAAGAAATGGCTAACATATATCAGAATACCAAGAATAGTTTTACCTCACCTGGTGAGGTTGTGAGCTAGAGGCATACCACAGCATGTTGTCTATCTAATTAGTTAAGCAAATTATTTCAAATTGCTTCTCTTCTGTAGGAAAGTCAGGACCTGAAGCATACAAACGTGAAGGGTAATCAATTTTTCATAACTGGATCTTTTGGGGGGGGGTGGGGGGGGGCTGGAGTAGCAGGGATGGGGTCTTGGGTGGGGAGGGGGTCCCTGGAGTAGGAGGAATGGGGAGGGGGCCCCTGGAGTAGGAGGGATGGGGTCTAATAGGAGAAATAGATAAAATTCCTCATAATCATTCTTCTGTGTGAACGTGTGGATTTGTCAAAAGCATCTTCACATGAATGGAAGTTAATTTTGTATAAACGGAAGGAATTGGTCCCCTAGGACAAGAAAGATGAGACCTAAGGTTGATTCTGTGTCAATTTGGTCTAAAGCTTCTTTAGAGATTAAGAGAAATTACTTTTGCATACACATATGGTCTCAAACCCCGTGGGATGGGAGGGGAGGGGCTCAAAATGGGAAATAGAGCAAATAGCAGAATTCTGTTCGAACTTGATCTGAAACTTGCGTGGGCGAAGAAAACTATATAAATGGTTTGGCCGACTACTGGGGCCGGACAAAGGGATGGGGCCCAATGGAGAAATAGATGGATAAAGCAATTTCAGTCAGGCGAGCGATGCAGGTCCCATGGGAGTTTTGTTTAGATGAAACTTTCAGTTAGCTATTGAACTGCTTTTTTGTCTCTTCAGCTCCATTCGTACGTTATTCGAAGTAATGACATAGGAACTACAGATCGCGTGAAGCATGAAATAAGAGATATGTTAATACTTGGAAAACATCGATGAATTTCACTTACTGAACTCAGTGGTGACCATTTGTCGCTCAATTTGTCCATACAATTAGCTTTAGAGATTCAGTGTATTTAATTATTTACGTTGTTGACCAATGTTTCCTGTCACTGAGGTAGATGTACTTCACGTGGGCGCCTTGCTCTGTTTTCAAAGAGAGAATTTGATTTTCTCAAATATCTCGTAAAATGGTTCGGAATATGCACATATACTCGACGTCTTTCTAATATTATAAGATGTGCACTGGATGAAATAATTTTATTTATGGAATTATGGAGCTAGTGCACCACCTCATCTAATTTTTAACATTTTCTTTCCATCAATTTGCGTTTACCACAGTCGCCTCCTAAGCTTCAAAATTTAGGCCCTTATCATCGCTGATGAATCCAGAAGTACGAAACCGCTATACGATGCAGTTAAGTTAATTGTTATGTCCTACCGTATCTAACTCTAAATGAGTGTCCTTTGTACAATCTCCATAATTGTTGACTGACTTGTAGAAGATATAGTGTATTAGACGCTATACTGCTGTAGGTGACTTAAGATCTATAGTGTTTGTATGCTTTGATACTCTTTCCACTATATCGTTACCTTTGACCTACGACATAACATCGCCAATATTATATTTTGATGATAAGTTGCCTTACATTTTTTATCATATATAGCCGTAATCGATTGGTAACGAGTGGATATAATCCAGATAGTCAAGAGCATCAAATGAGATGAGCTAATTTCTGAGAAGTGGAAGAATAAAGTCAACAGATCTTCAGCTATGTAATTCTTGCAAGCTATAGCAGTTTCCCGTGTGATTGTTATGGAGACTTCCAAAACTACCTTTTTATTTTTAATTTCTTACTTCTTCATGAAATTATGTCATTCACTTGAGAAGGAAAAACTACTTATTCAGGAAGAGCTAGTTCAAATTGTCAGAAAGGGTCCTTTTGACCATTCCATTCACCAGTTAGTCAGTGATGCTAAATTCCAATATGCTTGACATTCATTGAAAATTACATAACAGGTGATTCATCCAAACAAATCTGAATCACGGATCCTTGTATATATTGTATTTAGTTTGTATTTTAGGGGACATAAATATAATTCGATGTACTTGGTGTGAAATTGTCATCCGTCATTTACAAAGCTATTTGATAAGAAAATAACAGAAGTAATTGGAGACATAAAATTGTCACCCATAAATTCCTCAGTCCTTGTGCTGCAACAATTTTCAGGTAAAGTTGTCAAAATGATGTGTCGGGGTTGTTTCGGGTTGAGTCAGGGAAGAGGCGGGAAGCGTTGTCGCATATTGTTACACCTTGGAATATATAGGTTGTCGTCATGGAGTGCTTTAAAACGATCTTCTTTTCGTGTCATTTTTAAATTCTGTTAATTATGATTGAAGTAGGAATATATTTACCAGATTAATCACTGTAAAACAGACACTTCGGTCCCTTATAAATCTCATGGCTGTGGAAGTACATACAATGTATGTATGTGTAAATATTCTAGTAAGAAAAGACAATAAAGGGAGTAGGACAGTTGACGTAGTTTATTTGTCGGTTTGGTTATGGATGCTTCAAAACTTCCCCGAATCATCTGTAACTCTGTAGCTATGTATTCTAGTTCTACATTAATTATAAAGAAAGAACAACAGCCTGGCTGACTATAACCATTGACAACATTGAAACAATTTTTGTTCCTATTCTAATTGTATCTATAACGGTTTTATATCTAGTAAACTAAAATTAAAGCTGATTGATCGTCCTACGTCATCCCATGACAGTTGACTAATCTCGATTCAATGTAACACGATTGACATGCTGTGTTTCTCGTCCAATCATGTCTGTCTTTATATGTGTAGTCTGTTCCGTTGTTCGTCCAATCATGTCTGTCTTTATATGTTGTAGATTGCTGCGCGGCTCGTCCAATCCTGTCTGTCATTATATGTGTAGTGTGCTGCGTTGCTCGTCCAATCCTGTCTGTCATTATGTTTCGTGTGCTACGTTGATCGTCCAATCCTGTCTGTCATTAAAAGAGTAGTATGGTGTCTTGCTCCTGTTATGATTACATGTAAGAAACCTTGGATGAAAAACAAATAAAAACAATACATTTAAGTACATTATTTTAATGAATAAAAATGTTCCATGTTCATTATATATCTATATATATATATATATATATATAGTCACTTGACAGGTTATGATTTACCACATACAATATAGCATATAATACAGACACATTCAAACCAACCCAACATTTATCTGCAAATGTATTACAAATGTATTTTACGGCAATTACCCGGTCATCTGGTACTACTATACACAATGTATATACAGTCAATATAGGTAGAACGATGTGATATGGTTACAAAACAAATACACAATCACAGGTAACAGATGATTTGGTCACACCACAAGTGACGGGTGATTTGGTCGGATGATTTCGACATATCACAGGTGACAAATGATTTCGACACATCACAATGACAAATGATTTTGACAAGACGTTGGTGACGGATAATTTTGATATATCACTAGTGACGGATTATTTCGACAAATCACAAGCGATGGGTGATTTCGACATATCACAAGCGATGGGAGATGTCGACACATCACAAGCGATGGGAGATGTCGACACATCACAAGCGATGGGTGATTTCGACACATCACAAGCGATGGGAGATGTCGACACATCACAAGCGATGGGTGATGTCAACACGTCACAAGCGATGGATGATTTCGACACATCACAAGCAATGGGAGATGTCGACACATCACAAGCGATGGGTGATTTCGACACATCACAAGCGATAGATTAATTCGACACATCACAAGCGATAGATGAATTCGACCCATCACAAGCGATGGATGATTTTGACACATCACATATGGTGAATTATAACGACACAATCAAATTAGTTAAAAACGAAACATTGCTGTTGTCAGTCCATAGTATAACGTTTAGATCACAGTGAAACTTGAACGTTTAATCCCTTCCTACATTGTTTTGCGTGCTGTGTGTCTGATAGTAATATACACCCTTACTTCCCACGCAAACACAAACTCTAATCATATACAGGCACGTGACTGAAAAAAAAAAAACCTAACAGATACAGGTAAGTGACTGAAACACATATAGTTACATGATTGTAAATATGAATGCAACACGTTCAGGGGTTTGTAAATATTATATATATAAACAGGCTATTGAGTGAAATGTATGTAATTAACAGTTTGATAAACAAGTTACTGTTAACGCCAGTATTAAGCACGTGACTGTGAACGGCAATCAGAAACAAGCACGTGACGGTGTACACAAAATCACATATGAGATAGGGGAACATGGCATAAAATGAAACATTTCAATAAAGAAAAAGAAAGCATACTGATGTATAGGGGCATCTGTAGATATACTGATGTACCGGGACAGAGACAACTGTAGATATACTGATGTACGGAGACAACTGTAGATATACTGATGTACAGAGACAACTGTAGATATACTGATGTACCGGGACAGAGACAACTGTAGATATACTGATGTACCGGGACAACTGTAGATATACTGATGTACAGAGACAACTGTAGATATACTGATGTACAGAGACAACTGTAGATATACTGATGTACAGAGACAACTGTAGATATACTGATGTACCGGGACAACTGTAGATATACTGATGTACCGGGACAACTGTAGATATACTGATGTACCGGGACAACTGTAGATATACTGATGTACAGAGACAACTGTAGATATACTGATGTACAGAGACAACTGTAGATATACTGATGTACAGAGACAACTGTAGATATACTGATGTACAGAGACAACTGTAGATATACTGATGTACCGGGACAGAGACAACTGTAGATATACTGATGTACAGAGACAACTATAGATATACTGGTGTACCGAGACAACTGTAGATATACTGATGTACCGGGACAACTGTAGATATACTGATGTACAGAGACAACTGTAGATATACTGATGTACAGAGACAACTATAGATATACTGATGTACCGAGACAACTGTAGATATACTGATGTACAGAGACAACTGTAGATATACTGATGTACAGAGACAACTGTAGATATACTGATGTACAGAGACAACTGTAGATATACTGATGTACAGAGACAACTGTAGATATACTGATGTACAGAGACAACTGTAGATATACTGATGTACAGAGACAACTATAGATATACTGATGTACCGAGACAACTGTAGATATACTGATGTACCGAGACAACTGTAGATATACTGAAGTACCGAGACAACTGTAGATATACTGATGTACAGAGACAGCTGTAGATATACTGATGTACCGGGACAGAGACAACTGTAGATATACTGATGTACCGGGACAGAGACAACTGTAGATATACTGATGTACAAAGACAACTTTAGATATACTGATGTACAGAGACAACTGTAGATATACTGATGTACAGAGACAACTGTAGATATACTGATGTACCGGGACAGAGACAACTGTAGATATACTGATGTAAAAGACAACTGTAGATATACTGAAGTACCGAGACAACTGTAGATATACTGATGTACAGAGACAACTGTAGATATACTGATGTACCGGGACAGAGACAACTGTAGATATACTGATGTACAAAGACAACTTTAGATAACTTCTGTACAGACACGAATGTAATACAAGCAGTCTAGAAACTGTATATTATCAATGTACACGAGGATTTCCATGCTGACAGCTCTCATAAACAACAACCAAATAAAGCAAAAAATATCTAAATAGATAATAATATATACAGACATCTTAACAATTCTGAAATAAAAAAATCGATGAACCGACAAAAAAAGATTTACTTTGAGATTTCTGAAAAAAAAGGATCAGACCTGATGTTCCTAAAGGTTAAGCGTCTTTATAAGCTAGTTTGTTTAGTTCTATTAGTTTTGCTAGCCAATGTTTGTTCACTGTATTTTGTTGAAGTTATATGAAGTACAATTTCCAAGAATCCATTTCCGAATTTATATTATTGCTATCTAACAGTTTAGAAAAGAATCGTTTCTGTTAAAGACACGAAGATCAACCCGGAGGCAAGAAAAACTGTTATATAGACAAAGTGATATGGGACAGAAGTGGCAGTTAAAGGCACGGTTTCTTGGAACACGTCAAATTGAGGTCAAGAACACTGGCTTCGGTTTTATGTATGACTTTCGTGAAATACGGCGAAATAAGAATATGGTTCACGGGTTAGATAATAATTCAATCACTGCTTTTCAAGCTTGGTAATCCCTCTGCCGCTACCAAATGTAACCGGAATACGCCGAGAAGTAACTCATGCAACTATTGACCGCGCTTGCTTAACTTCAGAACAGGGACAAGACATTAAACAGGACATCCACTAAAACTAGGTTATGGACTCTGAATGTTTACTACCTATAAGGGTATATTCATGAGCGGTCACATATTTTCTCGGTTAACTGTACCTCAGTGATATAGCCTTCGTTTTAATCGATGAACACTTCTCACTCTAAGCAATGGATTTCAATAAACTGGAGTTATTCACCTTTCTTTCACCTAGCAAAGCGCATTTTCTGTAAGTGGAACGGAGTAGTTTTCATCCGATGAAATGCACCTTCTCTGAAGCATGCTCCCTCAAGAAATTTCTCTGAAGCATACTCCCTCAAGGAATTTCTCTGAAGCATACTCCCTCAAGGAATTTCTCTGAAGCATACTCCCTCAAGAAATTTCTCTGAAGCATACTCCCTCAAGGAATTTCTCTGAAGCATACTCCCTCAAGAAATTTCTCTGAAGCATACTCCCTCAAGGAATTTCTCTGAAGCGAACTCACTTAAGAAACTTCTCTGAAGACGCTACTATCATTTCAATAAGATTATCTATTAATTTCTCATATGACACACCTCAATATTTGTTTACGTCACGTTTATGAGATGTATGCTTGTAATACCGTGATACCTGTGATAAATTTTGTAATATGAAATACTTACTACACATAGGTAGCCACGAAAGAATGACTGGATAATAAGGCATGCATTTTAGATTTGGTTTGATCACAGAATGATGTACCGATGCTCTCTGTTAAAGTTGTCCCTCTTTGCTGTAGATTTCTGTCGTTTTGATAGAAGCAGCGCAGCTTTTCAGACAGAAATTGTGTAAGATGTAATTATCTCGCCGTATTGAAAAAGTACTAACTCTTATAGGATAAAGGTTATTACGGACGGACGGACAGACAAGCGGAGAGGCTGTTACTGATATATCTGGTAATGAAATACATGGGAATGCCATTTTTCAATTAGTAGGCATGGTACAGAGCGTGTAGCACACAGCGCCAGAGTAAACATTCCCGATACGGAACAGTTTCATATCAGCATGTAACACAAGTGGACAAATATCCAATTTGTTCATATATGTCTGGTTCGCAGGAATAATTGGGGTTATACACCGTGATGTGATTTCGCCAGCCACAGAAGCATGTTTTGTGCGTAAAGCAGTACCATGCTCGGACAAGAGTTAACGGCTAGTATGTTGAGTCGTCCAGTACATTATGGATTACTTCACATATAACGAAAAACAAAAACCCTGCTTAACATCACAAATACACAAGTCCCCGGAATGGTCCAGAGTGACTGAGATCAAGGGATCGCAAACTTTGGGACAAATCTCCTCTTCTTCAATACACCGTATTACAATATTGTGCGATATTTCCTTTATTACTGCCGTTTTTACAATATTTCTTTGTTGCCATTTACGTTAAACTCTTCTTGGTGACCGCCCCGTTTTTATATACAAATTTATATAGCATCCTTTATTACTATGATGCCACACGTATATGTCACTAAGTCTTCATATACGTAAATGATTGTGCGTGACGTTTCTGATCCATTCTAAGTATAGAGGCACATCAGTGTACACTCCCGGGATGTTGGGCACAGCACATCCTACTCCCCACGAGACCACTCCTGCCACGTACCATGTCGTCCGCCTTTGGTCGGCTGGACACAACAAAGGCCCACCACTGTCGCCCTATAGAACATGACAGAAAAAGTCGAACAAATTATAGGCTGATGAGGTGTCAGAATATTGAGTACATATTACACCTACTAGCTATGTGCCACTATACACCAATAAATCTAATTTCCATTTCCAACCAATTTCATTTTATGTTGTTAATAATGCTACCATGAGGAGGTAAATTTTGATCCTGGCCTTTTACCTAACTTTTGATCTTGACCTTTTACCTCACTTTTGATCCTGACCTTTTACCTCACTTTTGATCCTGACCATTAACCTAATTTTTGATCCTGACACTGAACCTGACCTGGTTTGATAACGAACACCATAACAGATAAGATCACAATGTTTACAAGTTCCGCATCATCATACCAATATATTTAATTTAATTCCGTTTCTTTAAAATTACATATCTACTATCACAGCCCATTGTTAGCAAACAAAGAATTGTTGGTAAATGAAGAGTGGGAAAACAAAAAACAAAAAATGAACTAGATCTAATGTGATAAATGTACACAGTAAAATGCATTGTTTGAAATGAAATATGCTCGATGTTTCCTAAGGTATATCGTTCGGATAAAATAATATGTATGACGTCTTTCATCCTATAGTTAAGTTTGGTAATGATGCTTATAAAAGGACCACCATAGGTATGTGAGTACAAGTTGAATAAGAGCAGACACGTACAGAACACGCATCATGCCCCACTCCGCCTCCGGCACACATCATGTTAGGCGTTAGCTTGTAAGGGGTGGAGATGTCCGACGTGGCGATAGCTTTGCGACAGCTTTCCCAATTCACCACATCCAGATTTACTTCCTGTATAGCTCTTTGGTACTCCAAAGCTGAAATAAGAGACGTAACAAGGACTTGATCTAGGAGCAGTTACTTCAATGAACCAGAAATCCTAGCATGTACTTTAGGAAAGTTCAAATGTAATGTCTTGTTCTGCTTCATGATTTATCCCATATAAGCTACGATAGTGCTGCCATTTTATTCAGAAACTGTAAATCTATTATCTACATAAAGAGAGAAGAAATAAGACACTGAATAAAAAGAGACTTAATCACATAATGTTAAGTAAGCTTAGAGTTACACACATGAAAAATGGATGCACTTAGCTATGCCGGCATACAAACCATAAAGACAAATGTGTTTCTTACCCGTCTCGTTGGCTTTTCCCCAGCCCGTGGCGAAACAACGTGTTCCTACAGGCGTCCTATGTTCCCAGTGTGGCAGACAGATCGGTCTAACGTAGTCATTAAAAAACACCGGTGTTGCCAGTTCTATGAGTGCAATGTCGTTGTCCACTGTTTGTGGGTTATAACCTTCATGCACGTGCAGTGATTTTGGTTTCCGCACTTGTCGGAATTCTGAGTATGTGTCTCGTCTCGTGGCACCAATCTTCAAAGTGATTCCACCAGGGGAGGTTGTCCTAATAAAACAAAATACACTTTTATCACTTTCTGAATTGATATCCTGTTTGCAACATTATGTTGGTATATCTAAAATGTCAAGATACTAGTGCCGTCATCTGGATAACTAGAGTGTAAAGCGTCACGCAACGTACCCTCCGAGACAATGACCAGCAGTTAGAACCCACGTCTCACTTAGAAGCGTACCACCACAGAAGAACCGCTCGGCTGGTCCACCATGCAAGGAGACCATGAAGGGCCAAGTGCCTGGATCCACTTCTTTCCCAGCCACAATCCGCGAAGCAGATTTATAGTTGGCAGGTCTGGTACCACACACTATAAAGAAAAAATATTTAACAGCAATTCTAAAAAAAAATTAAAAGCATATTCTACTCAGTTTTTTGGTCCTGATGGAAGCGCATGAAAGGTCTTTCAGTGGTAGGATTACGAGTACCCGGGAGAAACCCCAGACCCAAAGCCAAAACGGTACATTGAATCAAAGCAGAAACGCTTGACTAAGCATAAAATATTATTATTTCAGGTACGCAAGGTCTTAAAAAGCCATTGCTTAGTTTTAACTACATATATTTCTTTCGATTAGCGAAACACCGAAAGAAGTCCCTTATGTATTATCATCCTTACCAGGAGGTCCGCACCTAACATTCACGACTTGGTTACTCGGACAGGCAACACTGAAAATTAAAAGAAAAAACACCGTTTTAACTGTAATAATGGGTTACTAGAATGATCCATAATTTTCCAACTTGACTGGCAAGTCACAACAGTTTGAGATATATTTTTACATTGGCGGTCTTTATATTTACGTGTAAACATCAAAGGTTCACTCCCAGCATGTGATGGTGCTCTAAATTGAATATTCTTCTGTATATATATATATATATATTTAAATTATCTCTTTTCCTAGGTACATTCAACTAAATGTCGTTACCCTTTTGTTAGAAAACTCTGGAGAACGTTTAGGTCACTAGAGTTGTGCGGCGAGTTGTGGAGGATGGCCTTTGTTCCTCCTGGTTTTGGAGCATTGTTTATATAGCTCACGGCGTACCTGCAAATCAAAACAATATCAAGTGTTAATACAACTTGTATTCCAACTAAGCCCTGACCATTTAAAAGGTATTTGTGTCCCTATAATAATCTGACTTATAAGTGTCCAGTCTATACGGTTTTACTCGTTTGTGTACTATCACGTTGTCTAGGTGATTCTCTTGTTCCTGATGATTACTTTCCCTGGCTAAGACAACTCGAGATTTTTCTCTTTCACCTTTGTCACTCATATGTAACTCTTTATTTTATCAAGAATGGATATTGTTCACTTTACTTACTAATAAACGGTCTTTTTACCAAGGACTTACCTGACCTTGACTATCAACTCGTTGACTGAAAACTTTAATTACAAATAGCCGAGCTGACGTCTGAAGATTAGCCCCTAGCACATGTTTTGACTGTATTTTACTTACTGACAGCCAAGCTGAGTATCTACTTACTCGTAGCCCAGTTGTTGACAAACAAGTTGACTAAATGTGATGTTCCAGTCGTCCGCGCACACTTCCTCCCATGTCCCAGACGCAACGTTGTGGATTTTAACAACACCGCTAGACGTTCCCTCGCCAAGTTTTACTATCAATTATAAAAGAAAATGTTTTTCATGAAACACTTGATTTAAGTTGCTAAGTATCATTGATATTTGTACACCAAACAGTTTGAAGCGTTAAAACGTCACCAAATAACCGATCATCAATATAAAGAAAGTAGAGTGTGCTGCGCTTGAAAAGTTCAAAAATCGCTTTACAACCATCCATACCACTTATTAGCAACGCTTTGGTATAGCTATGGATAGTTTCTCCAAATGTGACAAACATTTGAAGAAAGGAGTTGGAGCTTCTGCCCTGTTAGAGTGCAAGCTTATGGATACGACAACATCAGAGACAGTCAAAAGAGTGAACAGAATAATTTGACTACGCATACCAATACTGTAGATACACTTGCACCATAGACAGCATTCGATTCACATTGGCGGCATAAATCAATGGCATTCAGTCCTACTTGTAAAGAAAGATCATGGGAAAGTCAAAGTATTGGTCCAAAGGATAAGGACACACAGGTGCCCGTAATGCTCCTTGTTTGATGAAAGCATAAACTGAATAAATAGGTGAAAGGAACGAAAAGATGAAAATTAGTATCACCAAGGGAAAAAAAGAACAGAAAACACCAACATATCAACAGAATCATAAACCAAACTCAAATGAAGTAAACTTGTTGCAATATGAGTCATGAAAGGCATGCATGATACGATCCAAAGGCCATGGCATCACAACTGCGATGAAACCTCACAGGACACTTCGAAATAGTATGGTACAGTCAGTGTTTAAGCACATTGTGGAGTGTGCATACAAAATACTAAGCAGTGATGCATTATATATCGGAGGGTCTGGATTTAGTGAGTTTGTGAACACCTAAGAGACTTGGAAAATCAATATGGCGTAGTATACGAAAGTCTTGATGATTACAATTTCGTACATTAAACCTAATAAAAAACTAATATATAATCACGCATGAATCGTCTTATATGTCTATTAATATTTTGTAGGATTCGTTTTCCATTCATATCACTAAAAGAGTCACCCTCTTACTCAGTAATGTGTCATATGATTTCCGGGAATGTTCCAGCCACGGAAAAGATTTAGAGGGTACCTACCACAACCAGCCTCATCAACATCTTCAAAACAGTCTGTGATTCCGTCACACACAGCAGCATTGTCTATACAGAGAGCAGATACTGGTCGACACTGGTACTGGTTACCGGAACAGGAAGCTGTAACATGTATCATACAACTATCTATCAAGGACATACACGAGTAAACAATGGTACCGGTTACCGGAACAGGAAACTATAACGTCTATCATACTACTTTCTATAGAGGGCATACACGAGGAGACACTGGTACCGGTCACCGGAACAGGAAGCTTGAACATGTATCATATTACTTTCTATAGAAGACAGACACGAGTAGACATTTGTACTGGTCACCGGAACAGGAAACTCTAACGTGTATCATACTACTGTCTATAGAGGATAGACACGGATCGACACTGGTACTGGTCACCGGAACAAGAGGCTGTAACATGTACCATATTACTATTTACAGAGGGTATAAACGAGTAGACACTTGTACTGGTCACCGGAACAGGAAGTTATAACATGCATCATAATATTGTCAATGCTGTTATTTTCAAAGTACTCTCATTTCCAAGGATAGAACTGCGGAATTGCCCACTTTGAAAACAAAAATAATAATGAAGAACACAAAAATTTATTTGAACTCCCGCAATCAATACGTGTTTCAAGCTTCGGTAACATTGCGAATATCTGAACCATTGAAAATACATCCTTTACGATAACCAATTGAGGAAAACAATTTCTAATACAGAAGTAATTGTTAAAATACATTAAACGTCATACAGCTCATACCAAATGGCCGCCAATGAAAAAAACACTACTTTATTCTTTCTTCCTTTTCGTCTGTTCGCTATATATTACATTTGTGGTGACTACTAAAATGACGACAAGTTTTCGCCCGTATCAATTCTATTCTTAGTAAAACAGAGCATGTGTCACTTACCGCAATGCATCTCATCTGCCTTGTCGGCACAGTCGATGAAGCCATCACATATCCAGGAAGGTGGGATACATGTGTTGTTGTCACAACGCAATTCTCCCTTCTTACAATCTGAATGGCAAATGGCATCAAATTGAAAACATCCAGTTGTAACATCTATATTCTATACCAAATCATATTAACCGAGTTAATTAAGGAAAAGTGATAAGATCCTATCGTTGCTTAGTGATAACCGTAGCATTGTTTATTGTTATATATCAAAAACTATGATTTATATCCAAGATACGTGATCTATTAATTTAAGTTTAAAATCCGTTGCAATTCTAGTTGCTCTTAAAGAGGCTCCACTGCATCGTCGGTAACCCACAGTCTTGACGTTTACACAATGACACCGTGGGTTACCGACGATGGCTCCACTATTTATCTGTAGCCTATCTTATATTACATTAACAGATGGGAAATATTTAATCAGTCCTATCACCGTTACCAACGTGTCAACGATTTTAAGTTAGGATCATGAGTTATTTTACACGTCGTCATATTTATTACCTTCTATCTGTTTATATGATCAAGGAAAAAGGTTTGATTTACACCAGCAACGTTCATGTGTGGAGATTTTTATCTATAATGCCTGAGAAATAACTACAAAGGTGTGACATGATGAGGTATTAACGTATATCATGGTACCATATGCTATTTACCTTCTATCAGGGGTGGTTCATTTGCCTGGGCGTAACCAATACACACAGACGTATCATTAACATCAGGGAATGCGGAACAGTTCAATGAAGACGGCCAGGGCGCGTGAAAAATCTCCATAAATATTGAACAGCGAGATTTAACGCCTGCAAATAAAAATGAGTTGGAGCCATTTTCAATTACATTCAATATTCCCTAAAACACGGCTGTGCTGCATCTATTAGCTTTACTCTGCGTAAAGTTGAGGTGCCTTTTAATACTACCACCCTTAACTGGGAAATAGTTTCCCTTGCTCTGTGGAACTATTATTAGCGACAAAATGTATTATTTCAAAGCTTCAAGTGATAAATTAAATTACACGTGATCCTCATATTCACAGCTGACAAAAAAATAAATTTAAAGGATTTTATCCCAAAACAAATCAAACAGCAATATATTACTCATTATTCCATTGCCTGCATATGACTTATAATTAACCCGGCTTGGTGATTTCTATCTCTGTATAAAACTCAAGGGATACAATTATGCACATTTTATACTAATACCACCAAAACCACAATTTAATTATAACATGTCCAGGAATATAACAGTGTATGGGCGACTTAAAAAGTGACCCTTTCCAGTCGTGATACTGACTGGCAGTAGGGTTACTCATTTCTTTTCGCCGTTTGTATGTACATGTACATCGTATGTTTAACCACTTTTTCTCCACAAGAAGTAACTCGACAATGCGCTCTTCTATGACATTATCTAGACTGACGGTATATTAAGCAGGAAAGTACATCAGCTGGAGGAGAATACATCTCGTTTTTAGACAACCCTACATGATATACAAAATGGGCGGAGAGATGACCTTGTCAAATCATCGATATATGCCTATGAAAACAATTGCATTTCTGTTGGAATATGTGTTTGGAATCATTAGAAACATGTGTTTCTTCCAATAACCACTTTCGTTTAAAGAGGAATATATGTTCCGTCCACAGAATAAATGTACGATTTTATTCCAATCATTTGTATCTTCCAAAACAAATGGTCTGAACACAACGTTTGTACAAACCCATGAATAACGCATAGTATGCATTCATCAGAACTAGTACTGTTATTTACACATTGGTCCGCATGTATCAGTGAAATAGTCAGATAATGTTCAATGAAATGAAAATGTAAGGACATGTTCCCCACGTGCTAGATCTATCTAGGGTGAGTTTTTCAGTGTTTCGATAAAAGGCTTATACATGTTGTTATATCAACATTCTATCGGTGAAATCACAAACGCGTATTGTCCCGTAACAAATAAATCATATATCTAAAAGTATATACCTTCACACAAACTTCTACATGGAGGAATGGTATGTTGACCAACAACGTCACTTCCAGAACACTTCGGAACAAAAGCTGCACATGCGAAGTAGGAGGCATGTCTGTTGCACATAGTGGCAGATTCAATGTTACTCAGCAGCATTAACATGTCAGCTGCTGATGTCTGGCCTATGTTGCCGGCGTAGTTTGGAAACGCTGTCTCCGTGAACCCAAGGTGAACACAGGTGGCTAACATCGGATTTGTCACCTGCATACACTTCCCAGCTACAAAGTACAGAGAAGTTACAATAATTTATAATGGGCATATGGCGATACTTCCACCACAGAGTGTTAACAACATGAACAAAATAACATCTGAAAGCCGATAAGGAGATCACACACAAAGCGTAAATCATGTTTCAAAACAAAAAACACATGCTGACGACAAAAGATACGTCTAAACAGCATGAAGTATATTAGTTATGTTACGTAAAAGGAAAAACATTATTACTCTACACATTGGCAGGTGCTCTGAATGTTGACGTAGAGAAACAACAAAAAAGGAAATACGTGATAGTTCCAAATAAAGGCACACTATGGAGAATATAATTCCTTACCATGTAAATTGGAAGCAAAATATACATTATTGTTAAGTAATTATCAGTGTTTTAATGAATACTTGCGTTGTTCAGAGTGGTAACCTTGATATTAGGGGTTCAAATTACTCCATACAGTCACAAGTACAAGTATATCAGGAATCTATAATATTGATAAACGTATCTCATTTTCTTTCTAAAGAATATCTGGGTCAAATTAATTTAATCTATTTCCGGATGTCTTTATTTACTTTGGGCGTCTTGCTTCACTGAACAGTAACAGTAAGGTGGGAAAATGCTCTCTTGTTTAATTATACTATTTCTGCGTAATTATATGGTTTTTTTGGGGTTTTTTTTGTGAAATTGTACATATTTGATGATTACACTGATATTTTACTGTTTAAAGGTTATCGCAGATCGTCAAGACAATGTTGATTATTTTATATTAATGATTTTAAAACCCACTTTTCTATTTGTGATAAAAAAGAAACTTACCCTGACAACTGTTTAATTGTGACCCGTCCCAACTGGATATTGTAATAGGATTTGGATTCAACTCTTACAGAAAAAATGAGTACTACATCATTTTATTATACAGGCTATCTAACCTTTCTTTGCAACAAAGTAGCGTTCCTGAAACCACACTGCTGGACAATTGGAAACTGTTTGATTACACACCATGACTTGATGTGTTTATGTCTCTACAACACTTGGCAATCTTATCTAAAAAAAACTCGAGCCACGTATATTTCAGTTACCCAAGTTATTCTTTGTTTGTCTGGAATGCAATTGCAATTTCAACCTGTCATTCACCGACATCCTTTTGTATATATTGCAATATGAATTGCAGACAAGTAAAACACAAATAGATCCTAGCACGTCCGATGTACGGATGCTGTGGAATTGTGAAAGTATCGAGAATGTCGGCACAATCTTTATGACCTTAGAACGGCAACGAGACAGCTCCGTAGCTCTTCAGTGCAGGGAGGACGGGACAAGGTGATAACGCACCTGAAGTCATCTGGGTGGTGATGGAAATTGTTATTGATATTATTGAAGTAAATGTCAGCCATTACAGACCCGTCGCAATAACCAGCAAATTTCTCCGCTATCGGATATCGCTCCGAAAGTGTCGAGTAAGGAGGTGCCTAGAATGACACAGCATATGAAAATGCCATGCATGTTAAGACAATATACCACGAGTGTTTACCATCAAACACTCAGCTTTCAATCAACAATAGTTTTAAAAGTACAATTCCTAAGACGTCGCATGGAAATAGCTACCTGGAAAGATTAATGCGAGGGCAGATTAAAGACTGCACTTCAATTTGCAGCTTTGGGCACAAGGGAAGTAATGAGAATTAATGGGGCACAAACATCACGTTTAATTTTTTTTCGTTGCAAGTAAAGACATCTGTTTATGTCTCTTGGCGGAACAATGTTTACTTTTAATGACTTTGAAACATAGTTTATTTGAGATGCGTCGTAGCAATTTTTACCTTTATTACATTTCATGCGAATCTTATTACACTATAGACGATGTCAGATATCGGCATTAGAAGGCTCCATATACACGGTGTTGAATATTATGAAGGATAACAAACTAACACATTCATTCTGGTGTCGCTGACTAGTTACTTATAATTAAGGTTCAACCAGCCTTTCAAAATAGTTTGGTCATAGTAAACTCAACCCCGCGATCATAGTCATATTCGCCAAGAACACTTGCGCATCAAAACTGAGATAGTGTATTGGCATCTAATGCACGTGTACTCTTTGTGATACGTAAGCGTTGCTTTTATTTGTAATGAGGCATAAGAGACTTATATATCACCATCTGTAAGAATATCATGTGTGACGTTTCGATTCACCAACGTTCATTATCATCTCGAACACTGGTAACTGTGCAATCTGACCATAACTAATAGATTTTGACCACCGAAACGTATGCATATGTGTCTTCGTTATTGAGAGTACCACAATGGTACAATGGTTACTGTTGTAATTATAACGGATAAACGTTTTGATGCCAAAAATAATTATTTCGAGGCTCGGATAGGCAAAAAGACCATTACCAATGTGCACTTTGATGTGCTTTATTAAGATAAATCTCAGTTTTTACATGTAGGAAATAATTCCATGTACACACCAGTTTTTACATGGAGCAACTAATTCCATGTATACACCAGTTTTTAAATTTCGTACATTCCAATTCAATTTACCATTGTTTATATTTGTAAAGCACAAGGCACTTTAATGGATATGTGGATGTTTTAATCAATGTTGCACATAACTTTTGATTGATGTCCATTTAAAAGTTTTGATGAAGTATCTATGACTACGTAATAAAGTCACGTAGATTTAGATAAAGATTTACCTAAAAATACCTCACTTAAGGGTATGATTCCATTAAATCAATACTTGGAGATATAGCAAAGCACTGTCCAATGGACTTTTGTCTTTGGTGAGTTCCTTTCCAGACATATCTGAAACATTGTATTTACCTTGGGAAAAATAAGTTCATTCAAAATTTTAAAAATCAGCAATGACTGTGTGTTGCATAAATTGAGTGTTTGTCTGTTGTTTCCTTGTTAAAATCTTAAATCTAAGATAATATCACTGGAATAAAACTCTAACTCTTTAACAAAACGATGAGTTTATAATTTGTCTGTCTTGCCATAGTTTGACAAAAAGATGATGACGTAAACTAATCAATATACTTACGTGTATAAGGATTGGGCCGACAGACGGATGGGTCATTCGAGTCTGGCAAAGAATTGCAGTGGATGGGCCAGGAAAAATTGCTGGGATAGTGTCCATCACAGTGCCTCTGGACATCTGCAATTCAAAACATAAGCTTTATAATACAACGTTAACTGATTCGAAAATCCTTCCGTGACGTTACTACTCACAGTAAGATCGCGTCAACACGTTTGGTAGTGTAACCGTACCACAATTGGGCATCGTTACCAATTTCAATTTGAAGGGAAGAGCAGTTTGGTAAATGGATTGATTTATTTCGGTAGATACAACGGAAAACATTAACCTAAGAATAACGTATTAATAAAGGGGGGTTCATTTTGACAGTCCTAATGAATGTGAATTCCTTTTACTATTGGTAAATCTATAAAAAGGTAACCTATTGCTTTATAGTTAGTCTTTTTCTAAGATGTTTAACCTTGACAATAGTCCCGGCATGGTGGTATGATACGACCTCCGCTACATTCGGGGGCCCACGCTGAACACCAAAAGTCGTTTGAATAGTCGTAACAGGGAAATGTAAAAAGTTCCCCGTATGTAGATAATGCTGTCATAGCCTGGTGATCTGACATATGACCGAGAGCGTTGGGATACATCGTGTTGTGGTATGTTGTGGCATTTTCACAAACTGGTAAAGTGATTGCGGAACACTGGCCTATAAAGTGCAAAATGAAAGTATGAATTAACAATCGAAAAGTAAATGAAAATTTATGTTAAAAATACATCGAATAATGAAGGGAATAAAACGACAGTGTACGCTTACTATGATACGAAAGATTAGCATTACAAACGACTTTTAACATGACAACAGTTACAATGTCATTACGATTACACATGAAAAGGTAACAGATAATTCACCATTCAACAAACAATAATAATCTATATATCGTTATCTTGAACATCTGCTCTTGAAAAACACCTCTTTTTATAAAAACATGTCTTCCCCATTATCTACACTATCATACGATATTCTTAACTTAGGTTTTTTCATAAGAAGGAGGACGACAGTACATGAGTACGGTCGTCAGTGATACTGAATAAAATTTCGTGTCAAAAGTGTGTGAAAAACAAAGAGGATAGAATCGTTAGTCAGCTGGTGAAATTCGTCAGACATACTATTACCATACACATAGAACCGTACTAGTGCGACTTTTTTTACTTCCACATTAAGGCTGAAATCTTTCTTATGAAAACAGCTACAAAACCTTGTTAAATTCTTCAATTTATTTAAGATATATTGAAGTCTTGTTTTAAATATGAAGAAATAAGTTGGTCACTTTCATTAAGTTTACACACCATAACTGGTAAACAAACTATTTTATGTAAAACACCTACTTCGACGTCGACATCGACCACGCAATCAATATAAGCGTAATGGCTCTAATTAATGCATGTTCCGTTTCTAGATAGTAATAAGCCTCCTTCCAAAAGTTCCAGTGTTTAAATGTCACGGTTAATGTTTTGGAGGGCTGGTAACCAGTATCATGGTAAGCGTGATATCGACGACTGACTGAGGAACCACAGGGTACTCGTTGATGAAGACTTAACCTACATCAATGGAACCTCGTGCTGTGGTGTTATATTCTGATGTTCATACGTAGTGATACATATGGCATTACATTACTTACTTGGATTCAGCCAGATTTATATTACTAATGAAACGGGTTTAAGATACTTAACATGAGTTTTAGGACATTGAATAGGAATTTAAAGATATTCAACACAAGTTATAGGACATTAGATAGAAGTTTAAGGATATTCAACACGAGTTATAGGGTACTAAACATGAGTTCTGATATATAACATTAGTTTCAGGTTTGTGTATATTAAATGTGAGTTTTAGGATATTTAACACGAGCTTCATGATACTTGGTATGATTTATGATATTCATTGTGAGGTTTAGGATAGTTTTTATGAGTTTAGGACTTTTATCATGATATTTGGGATAATTGACATGAGTTTTAGTACTTTTGCCGTTGCCGAGAATGAGTATTAGTATTATACCATTGTCGTTAAATCAGTATTCTAATATATTCATCCTCGCTCCATTATTATTCACTTCTCATTTGAAACTATTTGTTGTTAGACAAAAAATATATATTCATTACTCATCGGTCCTTTTTCTCCCCTTATGGTAATCTGTGTTGAAGACATAACTTTCACTATATAGTGTTATTTAAACAGACGATTGGACACATACCTGATGGCGGTGCTGGAGTTGTAGTAGGGATGATAGCTGCAAGTACATCAACAACGTACTTTACAATACATACTTTTAATTAAAACAGCTACTCACCAGGACAATCAGTCAACCAATTAGAACAGTAAACCATTTGAAAGGGAAAATATGACACCATAAGTATGGGTAGTCGTCCTTTTGAATATCGATATTTAAGATGATATTCCATTAATCCTGACTACACTTACGATTTTAGAATTATAGACAAGATATCAGATTTGGTCAACATATATTACAATATCAAATGCAGGAATAATGAACAATAGGTACACTTATTACAATACAGACATAGCATATACTTGTTACAATTATTGACAAGAACGATAACTCTTCGGGTCGCATAATGTTAACGCACTCGCGTTTCAACTCGTGAACACATGTTCTACTACGTAGGTATTCTTGGGGTATTCAATTTCCCTCCTACGTTAAAATCTTTTGCGTGTTTCCGTACAGCCGAACGACGAGAAAAAGTTGAAATGTATGTATATTCAATGAGGTTTCTGACGAATAAATTTAGATAAAGCCGAACAGTATTATATAAATGAATAATGGATAAAGTTCGTTTGTGGCAGCATAAATTGATGACTGACACAAGTTAAAGGGACTAAAACCAGCAGTGTTCTCTCTATTGCTACAGGATGTTTGGATAAAAGCACATCGATCGATACGTATTATCATTGAAACATTCGAAACAAGTTTGTCATATAATTCCTAGATATAGTTTCTTTACAAAGAGATCATCCGGATGATGTATAAAATAGCAAATATCAAATGAGAGATATATCACAAATCGAATCACGGTGCGTCACCCTTTATTATTTCTCATCTTGGGTCGACCAATAACACGCCTAATGAGGAAATCGACACCGACGTCTATCACCTTTGTCTCGTGCCAATCAGACGGTCGCACCCCCGGCATCCCCAGGAGGGACCGTTTTTACACACTATAACGGTGGCCTCGCTATCCCCGGAGTATGTCTGCCCGCTAATGAAAACGTTCAGATATGTGCAAATGTTATGGCCGCATTTTGTTCAGCTGCGACCTGTTCCTCAAGGCAGACAGATGATACGCTCTGACACACAAATAACAGGAGGAGAGTCCGTAGTCGTTAATGATACGTACTCTCCAAAGTACGGATCTGTATATTCGGCACGAAAAGCCAAACATATCAGCGACGAATGTTGATAGAAAGCTACACGTTCCATGTAAACAATTTGTCCACGACCTTGTACATAGACATAGCCCCAGGATCTCGTATAGATGGTTATCGTTTTCATTAATCAATAGATGTAGAAAACTTCGATAATGATGTAATTTCAATTTCCTTTTCAACTGAAACGTATTCTGTTTTTCAAATTCCAAGATCCACATCAAAAAATATTTTGTGTTAATTTTTTTTTTAGAAAAAGAAACCTAAAGTTATTTGAAAGATTATTAATTCTCCTGCTCCGTTACATATTACGATGTTACGTTCAGGAAATTAACAATACTATCCTGTCAGCATAACGCAGTAGTGCTAGGAACCACTTCTGTCCTGATATCCGTTGGATGTGTTAATGCGGGTTGAGATGGTTAGAGGTGTTACCATGTTACCAAATGCTTAGATCTTTCAAGAGAGTTACATTGGTGAGTTGTCACGGCATTACATTTAGGACAAGATCCAACTTATTTTGTATATCAGTTTTCCAAAGTCAGTAAGTCGAGCACTCGAGATAATATGTATAGCGAGATTATAGACAATAATATTGTTCCTATCCTAAATTAATAAATGCTTTTTATAGAAAACACATCAATTTTCAAGAAAGTCGTACACGTGCTTTGCTCACTACTCAATGAAGTTAAAACTAGATGGTGAACAACTATACAATACATTGTTACATTGAGGACTTGATAACTATGGCTGAAAATTTTCATCTTCATTTCAATTCTAAGGAACAGGTTCGCTCTGATGTTTTTTACAAGGAAAGTGACAGGCGCAACACAATATAGATGGTTCTGATGCTATTTAACTCAACCCAGTTCAAAATTATCATCTGACTGTTGATCTACACCCGCCACCTAATCAGCTAACTATCGTGAAAATGTCTGAACCAGACATCCACCTCTAAGTCCTGAGTTCGAGACCTACGTGGAATAGTCGCGAAGCGCTTGCCGCAGGTCGGCTGTTTTTCACCGTGAACGCCAGCTGTTTCCCATCAACCGATACGTCCTTAAACGACCCTGGTTGTTCATAGGACGTAGAACAACAATGAACTTCACATTTATTTTTACGCGAAATTTCTGTAACTTTATGGTAACATCAAGATTATCCTTCAGTTCTAAGACGCGGCTGTGTAGATATGTATTTCCGATGATTACGAACAATTGATGATTTTGAGTGACGAAGGCTGACTGGTGAAGATTTTTAAACTTGCGTAATCGTAACGTGTATGCTTTATTCCTTGTTGACTTGTCTCAATATGTGTACTGAATTCCATACGTATTGTTACGTGTGTACTGAATTCCTTACGTATCGTTACGTGTGTACTGAATTCCTTACGTATTGTTACGTGTGTATTGAATTCCTTCATTACGTATCGTTACGTGTGTACTGAATTCCTTACGTATTGTTACGTGTGTACTGAATTAGTTACGTATCGTTACGTGTGTACTGAATTCCTTACGTATTGTTACGTGTGTATTGAATTCCTTCATTACGTATCGTTACGTGTGTACTGAATTCCTTACGTATTGTTACGTGTGTACTGAATTAGTTACGTATCGTTACGTGTGTACTGAATTCCTTACGTATCGTTACGTGTGTACTGAATTCCTTACGTATCGTTACGTGTGTACTGAATTCCTTAAGTATCGTTACGTGTGTACTGAATTCCATACGTATTGTTACGTGTGTACTGAATTCCTTAAGTATTGTTACGTTTGTACTGAATTCCTTAAGTATTGTTACGTTTGTACTGAATTCCTTAAGTATTGTTACGTGTGTACTGAATTCCATACGTATTGTTACGTGTATACTGAATTCCTTACGTATCGTCACGTGTATGTTCAATTCCTTCATTACGTATAGTTACGTATGTGCTAAAATTCCTTATGGAAAATGTGCCCTACATTCCTTGATAACGTATTGCAAAAGTCCATGATTATGTAACACGAAGACTGCCTTAGTTATACTTCAGCGTGTTGATTTGACCTTCGCCTGATACATACCTTGAGCATGTATACTGACTGAGTTGAAGTCAGTGGTGAATAGGTCTCCGTCCAGACTACGCTTGAGCAGTGATGACATATATGATTCCGTGTTTGACGTCACTGTGATGGGTGGTATGAAATGGAGGGTGAAACTCACAATGACACTACCAGACCTGCCGTAAGTGAAACATATATGTGAAGTTAGAGAGAACACAATCGTTAGTAGTACAATCTAGAATTAAAATAACTGAGGTCATTTTATTATTCGACAATACATTGAACCTCTCCTACATGAAGTTATAGCCAAACATGTAATAGTTATCAATAAAATTGCATCAAAGATATATTATGTCTTTGGAAAATTACAACTTTAAAGATCTAACGGTATATAAAAGATTATTCTTAAACGTCGTCCCTTCCAGTAACGCCATGTAATGCTCATTTTAGGCACTGCTCGTAAACTGGAGCAACATGTCACAAGTGAGGATATGCTGCCATATTGAATTTTCGAGCCTCTGGCTTGGCAAAACACAAAAAAAATGTTACTCGTTTCATAAATCTCATATGAAATGGAAATGAAATTGTGATATTAGAATTATTTATCACATCAGTTTGCAAACAATCGCGAAATCAATATTTCATCATGCTAATACGAAATATAATCTTGAGGTATTCTGACTCTGTATCCCTTTGTCAGCTGACGACACTGATAACAGAGTAACTTTTAGACAACAACATGACAGTACGATATTGGGGTATTCTAACAGAAACAAAGTATGTTGGGAAAATCACAAGGAAGCAAAGTGTTCAACGTTAAAAGAAGTGTAATTCAAGTAAATGTTAACATTCATGGACAATTCAGACGAACAGACGAATCCCGCTTATTCAGACGGACGGACAGACGTCGGAACTACTTACGTGATGGATTCTATCTCCGTACGATTATAATCTAATCTGTATATACTGCTTTGAAAAACTAATTTCATCTGAAAGGAGACAATAACACAAGTTAAATAACAAATAATGCAGGGAGATTGAAGAGGAATTTATTCATTTATCTTCAAAATGTCGAATCAATGTCTTCCATAAACATATCTTTTAAGCCACACACACACACACACACACACACACACACACACACACACATATATATATATATATATATATAATAGCACATAGCCGTCAACTTACTATGACATGTGCTTGTGCAGCTATCTACTGAAGGGAAAATGGATTCCTTTCAGACGTAATAAGAGTGACAATTCACAGTCCTTTTTCTTCTCTTTTGTGTGTTTTCTTAATTTTATTCCTATTTCGTTTCTCTTTCTGAATAATATTAATCAAATATGACCAGTACGTTTATACCGGGTCAAATAATATGTTTATGGCACATACAGACTGCAAAACCCTCGATGATTTGACAGCAATGTTATGGTTATTTTATATACTCACTCGCCTGTTGGTTCCGTTCTTGTATACCTGGTTCTTGTTTTAGAACGTGACATTACTTACTTGGATTGACCAAACTTTACATGGCCGGTGTCGTCGATGAAGCTAAAGACGCTTACTCTTCCGGAAATGCCTGATCTTATACTCCTAGTACTTTTCAGGAGTCTCCTGCTAATATTTGTTTTGTTCCTATTTTACCTAGTTTTATTGATTTGAGTTTTGATTATAACTGAATTGATAAGTTGGTATTTTCTTGTTGTTTCTAATAGTATAAAATGCACTAAACAAGGTATTTGTTAGCGTGATGGTTATCGTTCTATTGATTTGGTGATATAGATGCATATGCGTATAAAATGCGCTAAACATATATGGCCACACGACTTTTAAGAAATCCCTGCTAAAGACCAATCTATATTTCTAGAAGGAAAGACGTTACAGATGCTGAAGTGCAATTTTAAAACAGTTTTCCTATGATTAAAGCTGAACAATAAGATTCCTTAAAGCCTACGTTTATGTAATGATGGCCAAAACAGAACTAATATTTGCTGTATACTTTTTACGGGGATGTGATTGACATTGACTTTCTAAATAATCTGGTGGACAACAAATGTATAGAAATGCATCCGAGTAATCAAACAAGGATAAAATCAGCATTTATCAGTGTAGCCATCAGTACGAGAAAATCACCCAGCACACTCCCTCCATTCAGCTACTTTGCATATAAATTAACAAGGACCTTTGTACAGGGAAGGATTTTTGTTAAATTAATCAATATTGCCCCCACCCACTTCATCTATCTATATGTTAATCATTCACCATATAGCTATCGTGCGATTTCAGCCATTTCCATGTTTAAGATTTTTCCTATCTTTAAAGATTACACGTGGTTATTTTCAAAGAGTCTGAAGAAGAAACCCGTTAAACTACGATTACAAAGAATTGTAATCACGATTCATGCATATTTGTAGTATGTTACAACAAATATGACACAGGCTAAATAAACAATACTTACTTTATATAAAAAAGCGTCAGAAAACAAGACGTACGCTTCCGAGTCCGTGTTACTATAATCAGGCTTATATATAGAAAATGGCCCCTCGATTACCCGCATGCTTCCCCTAAACGTCGAAGACAGGAAGAGCACTGGAAGGTAAGAATAAATTATTCAGTGAACAACGACGTAAAAATAGCAACGTAAATATTAGGATTGCTTGCACGGTGTTGTTTATAAACCAAGCTGTACAAACGTATACATAATTATATGTATAAAGATAAATACAAAATACAAAAATCATCAGTGTATAAAGAAATATATACAGGCTGTCTCGAGTACACTTTCATCAGTTGGAAATCCAACGCAAAGAAGTAAATAAAGATCAGAGTAAAATTAAATAAGATTGCTTTTGTATGTGAGGTGTGAGCGATTCAGAAAGTAGAAGCGCCATTAACACGCTGGCAGACTTGGCAGAAAAGAACTTGTCTACGGATGATTCATACATTCGTAAATCAAATTGCATATTAATATCACGTCATCAATTTAGCAAAGAAGTATTCAAAAGACAAAATGAGTACACACAGGCATCGAGCATCATATGAAAACAGAAAAATAAGAACAGGGCAAAACTATCAGTAAAACCAAAGAGACTGACCAGGATTCTTTTCCATACGTATTTTAGATTTTAAAGCGGGCAGTTGAATTTGGTATAGGCAATGACATGTCATTATGATAGCTCTGAGAAACGATAAATAAAGATAATTTTTGAAAAATCAACAATTTTACCATATAGCTTCACAATAATGTGACAATAATTAACAAATAAAAAAATTCATTGTTACCGGGGGAATTTCCTTATTTATGGCTTTTAAATACAGCAGATCTTGGAATTGCTTTTGAAACCTAATCCATTATTCAATAGCACAATGGAACAACAATTAGATCGCCAAACCACACCGGACCCCGAAAACAAGATCTGCATTATATTGAATTCGCCTTTAACAGGTAGCAATAAAACTGAATATGACGCAAAACTAAATAACAATTGGTTAAAAAAAGGAATCCAAATTAGAATTACTTTGAATAGCAAAACGTCTGAGCAGACATTACTATAGACATCATGACAAAATAAGTGTTATATCAGAAAACAGACTAAAGATTTTTCTAGAGGTTCCACAAAGTATTTTCCAGATATTATATGCTTACCTTGTTTCTTAACATTTTTCTTGTGACACATGTGCAATCGGTGTAATCCTATTAGACATTGTATTTATTACGCGATAGTAAGTAAAAATGGAAAGAACAACAAGGAAATTACATCTCAGCATAATCATGATCCAATATCAAACCTAATATAACTAGGTCAAACTATGAGCAAAAGGTAGATTTACACGACATGGAGACTCATAAAAAAGTACACAGAAAATTCGACCAAATATTCCGGAAGAGTAAGCGTCTCGAGTTTTATCGACAACCGCCATGTAAATCTTGGTCAGATCAAGTAAGTAATGCCCCCGTACACAAATGAAAAAAGGTATATAACAACGGAAGCGACAAGTATACAATCGAGCCCATTATTGTCATCGACCTACATCTCTCGTGACTTTGTCTATCAGTTTCTGACATCCTGCACGAAAATCGTGATAATGAGAAATGGAAACTCACATTTATCATAAAACCTGGTAGAAGTTTACCCTGTCGAGTTCGTTGTAGGAAACGATCGATGTAAATAGAGTGTGTCGTATCCTTGACTTCCTATTCAGGTGGGTATATACGATTGACAATCAATACATTTCTAGTTATTTAAGGACAAGACATTATCAATTTATCTTAAATGGAAACTTGATTTTTGTTCAAGTCCAGCGATTTTTTCTGGAGCAGGTTTGTTCCCGAGTTTCTGCTGCCTACCATGTTTGATAATGCCAGCCAGGTTAGTGCTATCGGCCTTCAGTGATTTCTTTGAAATATGATTTATTAATGAAATATAAATCTAAATCTGAAGGTTTGGAAAACGATTGTGTGCAGCTATATAAATGTTACAGACGTGTTTTAAATGGAACTATGACATTTCAATCTAAAACAATCGTTGAAGCATTATCAGCCTGTCCAACACCAGGTCTTCAAATAACTAGATCATGCTGTAAGAATTATAACTATACGGATTATCTGTAAGTCGATTATGGGAAATAAACGATCAGAAACACCTTAACGGCGCGCCGTATGATGTTTAAACTCAGTTACAAGTACGTTTATGAGTTTTCTGACACTGAATGCGTCATAACTCTTCAATCCGTATATCGATTGGTTCTTTTCCCGAGTGGTAACTTGTGCTGATCTATCATCGATGTCTTCGTATTTTGATGGTTATCGCGTGTCTGTTCCATAATACAACAGAATCGGTATTTTTTTTCCTCTCGAGTTTCGATGTATCAAACATAGGACAGAAGCGGTGTAGAGATTGCTTGCTTTCAAAAAATATAAATATAAAAATATATTAAAAGTAAACGGGTATTTTACAGTATCATCAGGCTTTATTCTATTGACCAGGAGGACAGTGTCATTTCGTTATCCTCAATGTTCTGTCTGTTGACCAGGAGGACAGTGTCATTTCGTTATCCTCAATGTTCTGTCTGTTGACCAGGAGGACAGTGTCATTTCGTTATCCTCAATGTTCTGTCTGTTGACCAGGAGGACAGTGTCATTTCGTTATCCTCAATGTTCTGTCTGTTGACCAGGAGGACAGTGTCATTTCGTTATCCTCAATGTTCTGTCTGTTGACCAGGAGGACAGTGTCATTTCGTTATCCTCAATGTTCTGTCTGTTGACCAGGAGGACAGTGTCATTTCGTTATCCTCAATGTTCTGTCTGTTGACCAGGAGGACAGTGTCATTTCGTTATCCTCAATGTTCTGTCTGTTGACCAGGAGGACAGTGTCATTTCGTTATCCTCAATGTTCTGTCTGTTGACCAGGAGGACAGTGTCATTTCGTTATCCTCAATGTTCTGTCTGTTGACCAGGAGGACAGTGTCATTTCGTTATCCTCAATGTTCTGTCTGTTGACCAGGAGGACAGTGTCATTTCGTTATCCTCAATGTTCTGTCTGTTGACCAGGAGGACAGTGTCATTTCGTTATCCTCAATGTTCTGTCTGTTGACCAGGAGGACAGTGTCATTTCGTTATCCTCAATGTTCTGTCTGTTGACCAGGAGGACAGTGTCATTTCGTTATCCTCAATGTTCTGTCTGTTGACCAGGAGGACAGTGTCATTTCGTTATCCTCAATGTTCTGTCTGTTGACCAGGAGGACAGTGTCATTTGTTCTGTTATCCTCAATGTTCTGTTCTGTCTGTTGACCAGGAGGACAGTGTCATTTCGTTATCCTCAATGTTCTGTCTGTTGACCAGGAGGACAGTGTCATTAAGGTATTCTCATTGTTCTGTTTGGTGACCAGGAGGACAGTGTCATTAAGGTATTCTCATTGTTCTGTTTGGTGACCAGGAGGACAGTGTCATTTCGTTATCCTCAATGTTCTGTCTGTTGACCAGGAGGACAGTGTCATTTCGTTATCCTCATTGTTCTGTCTGTTGACCAGGAGGACAGTGTCATTTCGTTATCCTCAATGTTCTGTCTGTTGACCAGGAGGACAGTGTCATTTCGTTATCCTCAATGTTCTGTCTGTTGACCAGGAGGACAGTGTCATTAAGGTATTCTCATTGTTCTGTTTGGTGACCAGGAGGACAGTGTCATTTCGGTATTCTCATTGTTCTGTCTGTTGACCAGGAGGACAGTGTCATTAAGGTATCCTCATTGTTCTATTTGTTGACCAGGAGGACAGTGTCATTTCGGTATTCTCATTGTTCTGTTTGTTGACCAGGAGGACAGTGTCATTTCGGTATTCTCATTGTTCTGTTTGGTGACCAGGAGGACAGTGTCATTTCGGTATTCTCATTGTTCTGTTTGGTGACCAGGAGCATAGTGTCATTTCGGTATTCTCATTGTTCTGTTTGTTGACCAGGAGGACAGTGTCATTTCGTTATCCTCAATGTTCTGTCTGTTGACCAGGAGGACAGTGTCATTAAGGTATTCTCATTGTTCTGTTTGGTGACCAGGAGGACAGTGTCATTTCGGTATTCTCATTGTTCTGTTTGTTGACCAGGAGGACAGTGTCATTTCGGTATTCTCATTGTTCTGTCTGTTGACCAGGAGGACAGTGTCATTAAGGTATTCTCATTGTTCTGTTTGGTGACCAGGAGGACAGTGTCATTAAGGTATTCTCATTGTTCTATTTGGTGACCAGGAGGACAGTGTCATTTCGGTATTCTCATTGTTCTGTTTGGTGACCAGGAGGACAGTGTCATTTCGGTATTCTCATTGTTCTGTTTGGTGACCAGGAGGACAGTGTCATTTCGGTATTCTCATTGTTCTGTTTGTTGACCAGGAGGACAGTGTCATTTCGGTATTCTCATTGTTCTGTTTGTTGACCAGGAGGACAGTGTCATTTCATTGTTCTGTTTTCTCATTGTTCTGTTTGGTGACCAGGAGGACAGTGTCATTTAGGTAATCTCATTGTTCTGTTTGTTGACCAGGAGGACAGTGTCATTAAGGTATTCTCATTGTTCTGTTTGTTGACCAGGAGGACAGTGTCATTTCGGTATTCTCATTGTTCTGTTTGGTGACCAGGAGGACAGTGTCATTAAGGTATTCTCATTGTTCTGTTTGTTGACCAGGAGGACAGTGTCATTAAGGTATTCTCATTGTTCTGTTTGTTGACCAGGAGGACAGTGTCATTAAGATATTCTCATTGTTCTGTTTGGTGACCAGGAGGACAGTGTCATTTCGGTATTCTCATTGTTCTGTTTGGTGACCAGGAGGACAGTGTGTCATTGTTCTGTTTCATTAAGGTATTCTTGACCAGGAGGACAGTGTCATTTCGGTATTCTCAATGTTCTGTTTGGTGACCAGGAGGACAGTGTCATTTTCTATTCTCATTGTTCTGTTTGGTGACATTGTTCTGTTTGGTGACCATATTAAGGTATTCTCATTGTTCTGTTTGGTGACCAGGAGGACAGTGTCTAAGGCCTTTTCTGTGTCCTCTATGTTCTGTTTGGTGACCAGGAGGACAGTGTCATTTCGGTATTCTCATTGTTCTGTTTGGTGACCAGGAGGACAGTGTCATTTAGGTCATTTGACCAGGAGGACAGTGTCATTTAGGTAATCTCATTGTTCTGTTTGTTGACCAGGAGGACAGTGTCATTTCGGTATTCTCATTGTTCTGTTTGTTGACCAGGAGGACAGTGTCATTTCGGTATTCTCATTGTTCTATTTGTTGACCAGGAGGACAGTGTCATTTCGGTATTCTCATTGTTCTGTTTGGTGACCAGGAGGACAGTGTCATTTCGGTATTCTCATTATTCTGTTTGGTGACCAGGAGCATAGTGTCATTTCGGTATCCTCAATGTTCTGTTTGGTGACAAGGAGGACAGCGTCTTTTCTATATACTAAGTGTTCTGTTTGGTGATCAGAAGGGCTAAGGCCTTTTCTGTGTCCTCTATGTTCTGTTTGGTGACCAGGAGGACACCGCCTTCTCTATATACTCAGTGTTCTGTTTGGCAATCAGAAGGGCGAAGTCCTGCACTGTGTCCTCTATGTTTTGTTTGGTGACCAAAAGGACAGAGTTTATTTGTATCCTCTATGTTCTGTTTGTTTGGTTAACAAAAAGTCAGTGTCTATTCCGTACACCAATGTTCTGTTTGGCGAACAGGAGGACAGAGTCTTTTTGGTATCCTCAATAATCTGTTTGATGACCAAAATCAATGTCTGTTCTGTATTGATAAAGTTCCTATTTTACAAGTAGGATTTTAATGATCAGATCAGATAGGGCCTTTAATTTTGTTTGATTGCAGTCAGAATTACTTATAAATAGGAGTTTGAGGAAACTGTTGTTATTATTCCTTGCTGACAACATACACATGTGTGTCAGCATTGTTAACATTTATTAGGAACAAGAATAAGCATTATTCCTATGCATGTGTTACATGAAGGGGGGAGGGCATTATATATGTTTACAGGGAATACGATTTTACCTCTGGAATCTGTGCAGGCTCCGTATCATTTTCTCGTCACACGTTGCGATCACTGCTGCGCGTGCCATTGCCGACTTTATGACATTATAGTGATTCCAAATGCAGACCCGTCCGTGGCATCTGTGGTCAGTTGGTAATAGATGTATGTAATTTAGTTAACGTCGAAGTAAAGTATGCGTTTCCACATTTAGCCGACCAAGTTCGACAAGTGTCTCTTCCTAAATATAGATTTCCCACATTACAGAAAGCCGGCTCCTTAGGAAAGACATCACGGACTATGTATCAATGCTTTTGCGGATATGGCCTTTAGTATAGTGCAATATAAGACACTTTGAAGAACCAAAAAGAAGACAATGAGTGACTAAGTCTTAATATATTCAGCTTATTGTCACGTACGTAAAGTTAAATACAGAAATAAAAACCCGCAGCGTGAAAAAATGTCTTCTTTTCGTCTATATCTAGTTTGCTTAGGTCGAACGGTAAATGTATTTCAACATACGCTCCCTTTTACTGACATTTTTGTATTTTGAGTACACATATCAACGTCGATTTCTCCTTGTACAAGGACACACCAAACAGAAACACTGTTATATCTCAACTGTGAGTGCCCTCTTCTAAGAACGGAATATATCATAAATTAAAAATTCATTCATTATTGTGCGAAAAGAAAAAATTAACAAAATACTCGTTGGCTTTGTTATCAGTTTTTCGACGGGTTGTAATAATTAAGAATAAATGAGTGATCTTTTAAGATCCCTTCAGTCAATCTTTCGAAGCTGTATTAAAGATGAAACTTCAAATTAAGAAGGTTGGTGGTTTTAAAGGCTTTCTTTGCTCTCCCTAGCTTCCACAAATTGATGCATGGATAACGGGCGACAAATGGATCTTAATTTTAACCTGGCCCCTTTAACACTTTTAGAGAAGCAGTTGTAACAATCTGCATATATTTTCCTAATTGAGTCGAAAATGACTTTGTGGGATCTTGTTTCCAAATTGATGAAATTTGACGCCGACAAAACTAAGGACTACGATATCATGTACAAAGGGCTTTGTTATCATCCATCCAGCAGCTTATCAAGCGAAACAAGGTAACATGGAAGATAATAGGACTGCTAATCAGCTGCTTTTTGTCTACAGTTAAATCAAAGTGAATAAAGATATCATATTTCGTCAAATTCCCTTTTATTGCTCCGAGAAAAATAATTCAATTTTTTCTTTTTTTTCTTTTTTTTTTCTATTTTTTTTTTCTTCAGATATCATTGCAATTGAAATATGCGTAATAAGAAGGCATGTCGGATAATTACTCCATCATATCGCCGTGAGAAATAATCATATCATGCTTCAAATCAATGTCTGATGGCTACGGGGCTTCACCGACCCGCCTTCAATTTTAGCATGTCCAATTAGGGATCATGGAGGTCTAGTTTACAATATTTCATCATGTCAGAGAAAAAAAAGCAAAATGTTTGTCGACTTCCTAACACATTGACCGAATGAACGACGAAGCATACAAAAACAATACCAAACCATCATAAACCAAAGCTGTGTTTCGGGAATCTAGAGTCTCCTATAAACATGCAAGCATGCGTGGCGATTACATGATTTCAACTCCTGAATAGCAATAAAATGGAAGGTGCCCCTCCTGAACAGTATATTATTAGTATCATTATTATTCAATTGTGGTATATACACTCATCCAATTTTTTTCATTGTTTGTGCAAATTTCAGACTGATATTGTCTTTTTAGGCTAGCGATTTATTCTAGTGTACAGGAAACACCTCAACGCCAGGATGTTATATCAATATAAAACAGTATAAATCATTCTGTAATAGATAACATTGTTCCTCAATTTTTCTTTTATGTCAACATTATGTATAACACCACGTGGTGCACGATCAATCCTGCTTTAAACGCGGAGAAATTATTAGGATTGCCAATATCTTTCCCTAAACCAGTTATTACATTTCGGAATGAAACAACTAGATTGACCATGGGCTGTTACGTGTCTGGTAAGACCTCCTAATACATGACAAATAACGGCGTTAATATGTTCATGTTATATGTGACGTAATCGTAACGATAGAGGGAGCTCCCTGAAAGCCGAAGACCGCTATATACAACCTTTGAGTAAACAAATTATACCGTTTAAGCATATATGAATACTAATTAGTCGACACATGTCTAATAATGAAAGAGTTGCTAATTGGTTAGGCAGCTCCTTAAAACAAAGCACAGGTACTTAAAGCTTTTTGCTTTTGATTGTGACCTAAGTATACTTCAAAGTGTCTGCATATGTACTATATTTGTAACTAATTAAGTTACATGTTGCTATGTCATAATGACATATAGAGATTCTTACAGTTTCAAGGCATATGATATATATGAAAGAAGTGTGAGAAATTTTCAGGCGAAATTAAATCAAAAACTCATGATGAGTTTTGTAAGTCCTACAGAAATTTGAAAACGAATGTAAGATTCTGTTAATTACACAGATTAGAATGAAACAAATGTTCGCGCAAACAGCTTTTGATTACACTAAAACACAATCTAAGAGAACCTTCAGCTAATCACAGCTCACAATTCATATTACACGTTGGTCATGACAACAAATATTGACGATATTGATGTTATGAGAAACAGAGGCTACACAAGTGGTTGTTGTATATGTATACGTGTATAGAGTTTTACAAAGCACACTAATTTGTGTTATCTGTTTTTACCACAATGAAATAGTTTTCCGACGATGAATTCACCTTTTCTGTAACAATATTTGGGGCGTAATATAACCTATATTGAAATGCTGCTGCTGATTAATTGGTAAAACTAACAGTTTCAGAAATATGTGAATTTTTTATGATGTATTAGAAATCTTAAGATGTAATTAACGGGTTTATTACCTGAAACAGAAACTCTTAAGTTAGATATCAAGTCTTGATGAAGACAGTTGCTTGTTATCAGTGTTAAATATATATTTACACTTAAAATAATAATTCATGTAGAGTGTATCAGTATGGGGAATTTCAACGGTCATCGAGAGGATCTCCTTGGAAAATAGTCTCTTTCTTTTCGCGTTTTTAAGTCGTACGTGTCTGATGTCTTGTGGCTCGTTTGACGTTTACTTTGTTCTCATTTGGGAATGTGACAACACTTACATGAACAAGCTATTCCGTGGATGAAGCAACATTTACACTCCTGGAACACCCGTTCTTATTCTTTAATTCGAATCTGTTGTACGTTTTCAGAGGTCTCCGTGTACATTTTGCTTTGTTCATACTTCGCTCACGTTTTTATCGAATTTGAGTTTAAATAAAGATTCTGTACAAATGTCGATAATTTCTCTGTAGTCAATTGCGTGTGTAATGTGACTTATGTGAAGTGTTTTGTTAAAACATATTTTATTTGAAAAATTCGAAAGGAATCGGACACAAGTTATGACAACCTAGAAACGTCCTTTTCCATCAACAATTAATTAAACACTGGAATCATTTTGATTATTGACAATGTAAATGATGTTAAACAAATATTTTTAAATGATGAATACCAGAATAGTAAATCGTCTCTGTGATACAGAATGACGAATACAAGTATAATTAAGCTTCTATGCATTTCCGAATGGTTAATACAAGAATAGTAAAGCTTCTCTGTGATACAGAATGATGCCAAAGCTACTCACCATTAGTTGGTTGATATGGAACTTCTTCTTTTGTTCCTGATCGGGAACCTGAAAAAAAAACATGGTAAATATGAATTTCATTCCATTAGCAACTAGTGATAGACTTAATCGTAAGTCAAGGGTGTTTAGAGCATTCCCATCAGCTGGGGAATCACACCATGTGAACGTGCTCACAAACGACAGGAGACAGACAAAAACAACGACTCAACAGCAATCAGTAATTTGCTATTTTTCTTAAATATTTACCTAATAACTTTGTCTTCATACACCATTAGATAATTATAATGAGATGGACATATGTTTTATCAGTGTACAGAAAATATCGGCTAAACAGGAAGTCCGACATCGAGTCCGACATCGATAAAACCATGTATCGATTGGAATATAGATGCTCAACAGTTTTGTCATAAAGCAATATGATAAAGTAATATTTATTTCATGGATTCAAAGAATAAAAAACTTTGTATCAACTGCAAAGATAAAAATCAGACTAATACGAGTGATTTGTTGGTATAGTGAAACATCATGAAATTAAATTAAATCATGACAATGCAATTAGTTGTTTGCAAAAAGAAAATAGTGTCAAAATAATACAATGTTTGCCTTTTTACTATTCTTTTCGTTTAGTGTACAAGTCGTGGAAGAGCTTGTCTTTGGGAAATTAAGTCTAGAACCACCCACACAATAAGATTCATTATCAGCATTTTATTTGCTCGACTTGTAAATATGGCTTTTTCTTACACAAGGGTCCATTGACAAAAATATATTCTTATGATATCTTCTCCATGGCTAAAAGATTATTTGAGTGGTCGCAAAACAAAGAGGGGTTTTCATTAGAGAAGTATGTTGAGTAGGTGACATTAATGCCGGAGTACCACAAGGGTCAATATTTTGGACATTTTTGTTTCAAATATTTATCATGACATAGCAGACAATTTGTATAATCTTGTTCAAATGTTTGCAGGAGACACTTTTGTCGCCTAATCTTCTAATAACAGTTAAGAAAATGAATATTATATCAACCATGATCTATCAGATACTGAAAACTGGTCAACGCAGTGGCAAGTTAGTTTTGATCCCAATAAAAACGAAGTTGTATTATTTCAAGGTTCTCTTGGAAAATAATGGTGTTGAATTTATAATTCAACAACACCTACTTATAAACGTCTGACTACCATAGATGTATTATTGGATGAAAACGGGAAATGGTCCTCTAAAAAAAATAGTATTTCAAAGTCGGTCTCTAAACATCTTTCAGTGATGCGGGGGTAGAAGTATAAAGATACTTTGTCTAAAACATATGTTGTTTTTGTTTGACCTCTCTTGGAATATACATCTGAATTATGACACGGCTGTACTATAAGAGACTCGGACAAATTATAAAAATTTCAACTAGAGGCAGCTAGAATTGTTACGGGTCTTCCGTGTTTTGAGAGCAGACAATCTCTATATTTCATGACAGGGTGGCCAAAATTTGAAGAGTGTAGAAAGTAGAAAAGATTGATCCTTTTTAATAAAAATATGTACAGAATACTCCGTCGTATCTGAAAAATCTTCTACTCAGGAATGTTAATCACGTAAGCCAACATAATCTAAAGTTAAGTTATACCTCGCTTTTGTTTAGTTACATATGAAAAATCTTTTATTTCGGACATGATTATAACGTGGAATTCGCTAGATATGTCATTTAGGAATTCCGGTGTCTGAATATATTTAAAAGTAGGACTACAATGAATGTAGATAGGGTACATCAATATTATTCATTAGGATTTTTTTTCGTGCTAAACTCAGACACGGTTGTAGTGCGGAAAATTCAGATTAATTTAGTCCATTCTGCTGCATGTACTTGTTCATATCCATTTGGGAATGTTATCCATTCTTTCTTTGAATGCCATTTACACGAAGAAAACAGAGAACAACTTTTTTTTTTAAATTGGCAAGGTACGGAGAGATAGATATAGACATCTTGTTACATGGATCAAGTGTACTTTTTCCTTCCGGCTGTTTGCGAACGTATGAAGAGTTCAAACCGTTTTACATTTCTATAAATAGTAACATCAATAAAATACTTGAGCTGAAATTTTAGAATTATATTACTATCATATTTTCTTCATCATTCTCATACTTAATAACAGGTGCTTTCGGTGCTCGCATCAATCATGTCATTTTATATTTTAATGTTCATTCTATCCTTAAAACTATCATCATGTTAGTAGGCATTTTGTATTTTGCTGTGTATCACCTGTATTGTATGTTATATGGGCAAAGACGTTGATCTTTTTTTTCAACTTGTGTGCAATTCTGTTTGATTTCATCGCGTGAAAATGTGTTTTAACTAAATATGACTTTTTTCTTCGGAAACATCTGACACTGTTCTAGTCAATTAAAGATATGGAAACTTACGTTTTACAAAAATGGTGAAGGTCAAGAACCTAGCATTGAAGAATTTCACTCGCATGTCTATTCTGATATCTATCTCAGCATAAAATTTCCCTTAATTCTGACAATACAAGTGTCGTCTGGCACAATCCCATCTTGTAAATGCCAAGGTCACGTAGAGTCACGTAAGGATCCATTTAAAGCGGTAACAGGTTTAATGACGTGAAGCCGTGATTTACGAAAGGTTTCGGGAACAACAAACAACCTTGAGATAACAGAGAAATGTTTGTTGTCCCATAAAGAAATACAAATGATTGGTTTAGAACATCAAGTCCCGCTCATGGCTGTATATAGTCTTTAACACTACAGTATAAAAACATTCTGTTTATTGGAGCTGCCACGACGTTATAGGTGTTCCTTTGATTAGTTGAGCATAAAAATCCACTGAGTACCACCATGACGTATCAGCGGTTTATAGTAACGCATCTCAAACAATAACAGGTTTAGAATGTTCCCTCGATGCAACAACCCCTTAAAACACTATCTGATTATAAATAGTATCATGTTTATTGGCATTGCCTGATATTATTGGTTGAAGTTATTTAATTACAGTTTCCGCTGATACTTAAAACCTGTATTTACATTCGAGATATAAATAAATCCAATGTAATTCGCCAGGCTGTGGCTGACGCTTGCCACAGTCTTATCTCTACGTAAGTGAACATGAAGAGATATCAAACAGCTAAATGCCTACAGAATATGTCTACTTGTCATTGTTATTCGTTTTCCTGTCGCAAATTCTGTATTGCCTTTATTTAGAAACATTACTACCGTTTCTACGCAGTGGACACACAACTCGCTATTTAACATTAGTACATCGAACTGAAAGCATCAACAATTTTAAACTATTATAAGTCATGATATTTGGTGAGAACTTATTTAAATAGTAAAGTTTACGTACGCAGTTTTAATGTCATGAATTACATTCAAGACATGATGTTTAAAGTAAGTAGTCACACTAATGTTTGATCAATCACGATAAGTTGAATATTGAAGATCATAAAATCACTGTAGAGATATGTATCATCATCACTAACAGTAGATAGAAACATTGTTCAATTCTTCCCAGAATTAATCAGTCTAAGGCAGACACGTTTTTCGCTGTAGAACATCCATTACCGTGTTAGGGTTAGGACCTTTTCTGTGAATGTATCTTTATCCTAATAGGGTTCTCCTAATCACCAGCATCTTATGTATTTATCTTGTGCTATCCCATTCATAACCTATAAACGTGTGACATTTTACACTCTATCAATATACATTGTCCCAGAGTATGAATGTGTAACCACCAATATAGAACATTACACTAGACATGAGAACACCATCAGTCATGTATTTATATCACACGCCACTAAATTGTTCGTGGTTGTTTTTCTCCAGGACATGCCTAGAACAGCTGGATAGTTTTATCCAAATTGACCACAGATAGATTAGCTAATATCCATACCTAGCTATTGTATCTAAACCGTTTTTTTTAATATAAACCTACATATAACACATTAAGCTTTAGATATGCTAGTTTCCCCTTCGGACGTTAAACCAGTAACATAATTCAAATAAAGATCAACGGTTTTAATTGGATCCTGGAAACATCCTTTAAGCAGATTTCTCGCCTCTAATTTTACACTGAAGCAAATGCCAATAATCGGAGCAACGATCTTTCATGTTGGTATGAAGAAATGATTCGTTGTCCTTATATTCTATCAAAATTCCCCACGCTAACAGGGCAGGAAAACCATCTTTACTCTACCGATGACAGCTATAGAGTCGGAAATGATACATAGTTACATCAGATCGAAGAAATTAAAAAGCGTCGGCATGGATACCTTACAATCTCATCTTCATTGAAATATACCTGTTACTAAACATTATACAGGAAACTATCATTCTTCTCCTCTTTGTTTAAAAAGGAGATAGCTGAAACATCTATTTATTTGCTTTTTTCCCCAAGAATGACAAATCGCCCGTAAAATGCAGTGAAAGTAAACTTGATATATAACCTCATCTACAGCAAAATGCACTTAAGCTGAAATATGAAAAAAATATTGTTTTCAAGTGAGGAGAGATCAATCATGAAGATTTCATATTTTCAAATCCTGTTACGGTATATTTTTCAGCATTGTTGGCGGTAGTTGAACTATATGTTCAAGGGGTAAATTCATCTTTGTTAAGAAATACACAAGAATTCACTAAGATCCTGAAATAGGAATTGTTAATACCAAGCAATCGATCAAGAGGCCACCATCCTTAATTCTAATGATTGATGTCACCACACTCACTGCCCTTTACACAGGTGAAATTGCTGAAACCTATCGGGACACCATCTTTTTATTTAAAAAAGAAATTGAATTAAATATCCTTTACAAATTTTCTAGAGTCGTTGCTGTTGCGGTGTCGCAGTGGTATTTTGTTCTGTGAATTTCGCATTAATCATCAAAGAAAGACTCGTGAAGGGATGATGAATGTATTACAAACATCCATTTTTATTTCCACAACACAGGAAACAAGAGATCCCATATGAATTATTATCTGAGCTCAGATGAATAAATCACAAAATCATCATTGTTATTGATAATCGTATACACCAATGGAAAATCGACTTCGAATCA